TATTCACCAAATTAAATGTAAGTTCTTACCCGTTTCACTTCAGTTACTATACATTTTACTTTGCTTTAATTTCTTCTGATTCTTTACCTTATTTTTACTCTCTCTGTCAAGTTTATGTTGATCTCCTTTTTTCCTCCTCTGCTTTTCAATTCTGACAGCGGTTACCCTCAGTTTAACAATGCTAACTAAAATCACAGTTTCCTTTAACATCAAACGTAGCATTAACTCTCCCTCTGCAGTATAGTTTATTTACTGTCTGATTTCCCAGTCATCAAAGCTGAAATACCCTTTAGGATACCTTTATTTTTACCTGTCCATGCCTGTGCTTTGTTGATACTTGATTATTTTTCAGCTTTTGATTAGCATTTTTTATTATGGTATATTTCTTCCAATTCAAAAATTCTTGTTTAATATTTACCATGACAAAATTTTAATCACGCTGTCATCCTCCTGTAAGATGTAATTGTACTGCAAAATTAATTATCCACTGGTTTTCCTCTCTTCACCTCCCTATCTAAAAGTTTCTCTTCTGACTAAAATATCATTGATTCAGGGCTGCCTCAAGATTTCCCTTGAGTAGGATACCTGATATAAAACATTGCATATTTTGAAATTCCTTGACATGTGGGGGGCTGGACACTGAATTATTCTGTCTTCCTAGTCCACATTCTACCCATTTGGGGAGTCTTTTAGTTTTCAGTGCCAAAGAGGACAAGTCAGATATTAGACTTATTCAGTTCCTTTATACACAACTAGTGTGTTGCAAGTCCAGGTTTTTTAATTTATCCTTGGAATTTAACATTTTTACTAAAATATTACTAAGGGTATGGATGTGTTCTCTATTCATCCCACCTGCAACCAAGTGGGCCCTGACAAACAGCAGATCAGAGAAACACTTCCTCTATTCGCTGTTTCATTAATAGCATTGCACCATCTGTTTCACTTTGTCCTTTGGGACATGCTTTCATATTAGGTCCTTGGCATCTGTCCTCCCAGCCCACCTTTTCCTTTCTTTCCATCTCATAGTGGGGTTGCCCTAGATTGTGAGACATTTCCTTCACATTATCTTTGGGGTCACTAATGCAGATCGCTTTACATACCGAATGTTTTAATTCAACAAATCAGGTCTTGTTTTTGAATTCCAGAAAGCTTTTTCCAGTGCTCTACTTGGATGTCTTTGAAAGATCCTATGAGTTATGTGTTACAATTCTCATCATCTGAGGCTTCCATTGGCTCAGTTTCAACTGCCAGCCACCTGTTCCAGGTGTGTACCTTTGTCTTCCTCTTTTTCCACTGCATGCTCATGGTTTTGTCTGTTCAGTAGTCATGTCAAACTGTTGGGTCATAGATGGTAAACAAACACAGCAGTTTTTGCTCTTTGGAGCCAGCACTGGGCAAACTGACCAGCTTTAGCTGATGAGGCATAAGGAAGGCCTTTGTGTCCCCCAAGTTCTCCCCAAGTGTGAGGAAATCTTTCCCAACCTCAAAAACCAGGACCAGCTCAGTGCCAGAGTGCAGCTCCCAGTCCTGGACCTCCAGGATTCTAAAGCGTGCACTCTTCTACAAAGGGATTCACGCATCTGATCTAGGATAAGCCTTAATCTAGTTGACAGCATCCTGGGTTTTCTTTCACTCTAAGGAAGGGCCTCTGTACCCCTTGCACTTTAGCTCCTACCCAGCACAAAACAGAACCCAGTTCACCCAGGATCAGTACTAAACAGGTCCTGGGGCAGCCAGTTTTCTCAAATGTGCCCTCCAGAAATGGCCAGTTTGCCCAGGGAAGATAATGGATATTTAAGCTTTCCTATTTTCCCCAGTCCCATTCTTCGGGATCTCACCATGTTAAATCATTCCAGTGAAGGCCTATTCCAGTTAATGGCAAGATTGGATGTAATACATCAACTTAAGAGAAACTATTTACTTTCAGAGAACAATTTGACATGCAGGTAAAAATACATGGTCCTTTTTTCTTTGATTTATTATTCCATTGCTAAATATCTAGCCTTGGGAAATAATTTTTAATCAGAAAATGTTACATGAAGACCTATATTATTTATAAAGTAAAAAACTGCCAATGACTTAACTCTCCATTAGTAGGAGAATAAGTGAATTAGGGACCCACACGTAATGAAACAGGCATCAATGGCTTTGAAAATCATTTAAAGTCGTCAGCGAAGTAGAAAAGGGCACCTGTATGAATCCGACTATGGAAATATCATATACAAAAAATCATAAAGCAATGGAAATCTACCAAGATGGTAACGGTGGTTAGATACAGGCTGTTTGTGAGGACTCTTTTCAACTCCCCCACCTTTCTTTCCTTACATCTTAAAATACAGTAGGTAATAAAATGGTGCTGAAAATACTCTTTATAAACTAAACATACTGCTAACAAAGTAAAGGACTGCGACTTGATAAAGTAATTGTGACATGTAAATGGCTTCTTCAAAAGGTGTTTAAAGTGCTTATTGACAGTTTTCTGGGGCTGTAAAATCTATCTCAGCAAATGTTTTATGAGCAAACTCCATTTTAGCCCTTACTGGATCAATCATTTGCTCAGAAAATGCTGTCTTGAGGCTGTTTACCAGAGTTTCTCCCTGGCTTCCAGAGGATATGGTGATAAATAAAAGGTATGACCGTGGGCATTAAGGAGAAAGCCCAGGTCTACCGAATGCAATTCAGCTCGGCTTCCAAGAGCGACTTCTCATCCCAGTGTGGACAGAAATGCCAAGCTGCACCTGTGAGTGGCACAAAACCAGGTGACAGATGTGGAATTAAATGAAATCTCAAGAGCTAGCAGCTAAACTAAAGAAAACTTTCAGAAAGAAGATTTGCGAGCATTGACTTTCCATTTAGAAACCCATACAACGCCCCCTACTCCCCACAGTGGCAGCCCCGGCATTAAGCTTCCCTCATCAAGGAAGTCAAATCTGCATCAACACAATTTTCTTTTAAATATACTAATTTTCTCTGCTGCTGGTGATACCTAATCACTTAAATTATTTATGCTGTTTCCAGTTGTTTACAGCAGCCTTGCAAAGCAGTGAGCCTAGGCAAATGCTGCCCTACCACCATCTAAAACCATTTTTATCACTTGACTTTTCTGTGAAGTGTCTGCAGAGGGGTTTTATGTATAGAGAGAGCAGCACCGGTTCCCTTTCCCCGGGCAACAGATGCGCAAATCCCAGATCCTTTGGTGAGCTGGGAAGGGATAAGCTTAACTAAGCAAAGGGTCTCTGTGCTCACTAGTTTAAGGCTTCTGCTAAAGCCCAGGTTTTACAGTTTTACCATTCAGCTAAATTAATTGATCCCACTAATTCTATATCTGAGTATTGATCCTAAGGAAAGAATTCTGGCATAAAGGAGGAAAAGGGTACTCACCTAAAGCTGTGCATGATCGCCTTGTTTGTAAATGGATTCCATCTAAATGCTCGGCTTGGGGTGTGATTAATTTATGGTCATTCTACTTGATGGAATACTCACACAGTCATTTAAATGCTGGTGAAGTTTATTTTAGGCCACTGAAAAGTGAGACTGTCTCAGGCTCTTTGGTCCCTAACAGCTGTGCTTTTTAAGTCTCTCTCAGCAGTTTTTCCTGCTCTTTCTTCCCTTATTTTTTTTTCCTTGAGACAGGGTCTCACTCTGTCACCCGGGCTGGAGTGCAGTGGCACAGTCTCAGCTCAGTGCAACCTCCACCACCCAGGCTTGAGCTATCCTCCCGTCTCAGCCTCCCAAAGTGCTGGGATTACAGACGTGAGCCACTGTGCCTGGGTCTTCCCTTACTGCATCTTCTTTCATCTCAGTGCTCCTAAAAATGCTCTGGGAGTAGAAAACTATCAAAGTTGCAAAAGCTGCACATCAGGAAATGGCTATGCAGAAAAGCCTAATATTCCCTCCTCTGAGTCAAGTTCATGAATTTTTATTGCATGGACTGTTGTTATGGCTGTTCAAAGGTCTGAATATCCCTGTTTAGTTTTTATAGCCAAATTACAGACCTTGATTTCTCTATCTGGAAAACAAACCAAAATGAGAAAACAAGATGGGTATTGTGGGGCACTAACTAAACCCACATCAACCCACTGGGGTTCAGAACTACAGTTTTTTAGGTCAGCCAAAGAGAATCTGACCACAGAAGTCACTCAGCCCACATCAAGCTTTAGCCCATGTCGAGCTTTGCGGTTCTGCAGTAGGGGGAATGAAAAGATCCTGGGAGATGGTATTGCCTACAGGTCAGGCACTGCAAAAACATAGGCCTGATAGGTGGGTCTGAGCCTATGAGAGAGGCCATCATCGAGTCTCTGGAGCCCCAGAATCACAGTAAGTAAATACCCAGTCATCTAACCAAACCCAAGCCCTGACTCCACACAGCAGGCAGCTCCATTCTTTTTTTTTTTTTTTCATTATACTTTAAGTTCTTAACCCTTCATCCTGAGCAAACTTGCCACATTTTTAAATACAGCTCAAGACCAAGCCTATCCAAACTGATTAATCAAAGGAGAGACTCAGTATCTTCAAGGCCTGGGAAAATCAAAAGAACCAGGAAGGAAATCTCCTTCAGTCTTCTCTAGAGAGAAGTTGGGGTTCATGCATTTTTGTCCCCAGGACAGGCCCTCACTGGAGGCTATCAGACTTTTTGACAGGATTCCTAAAGACCCACTGGCACCAAAAAAGCATCCAGAAAGGATGAGTCTATCTAGGAAGGCATCATGTGGCCCGGCTCTTGCTGAAATGAAACTATGAGGAACTTACAAGTACCGGCACCCTTTCCTTCACTGCCTACGCAGAATCACACAGCATTCTCCAAGAAAGGAGGATGCTGGGAGGGAAAACCCAGGAAACTCTGGGGGATTAGCAAAAAGGAATTCTTGTATGATGTCTCATGCTTGGGCTAGATAATTCTCAATGGACTTAAGTCCATCAGCCAATGGTATTCATAGGCCATTTCTACCCCCACCAGCAGGCATGGCTCAGGGAACCCTTACTGGCGTATCTCCACTCACCAGGACTGGCCGCATCTCACAGAAAACCAGGAGGGAAGCCAGCTCTATGTCCTCGCTGTACCCATTCTTCAGAGGAACAGACCTGAATCCTGAAGCAGAACAAGGAGGAAAATGCAAAGGCAGGTAATTAATGTCAGACCTTAGATTTTTTTGGAGGATACCCAGGGATCACAGGCCTAGTTCAAAGAGAAGAGAAGTCAGTGCCCCCTGCTGGGGGCTGACTTTGTGGAAGCCAGAGGTCCTATCCTGATGGTTAGGGACACAGGCCAACAGCCATGACTGACTGGTCCATACAGGGAAGCAAGGTTAAAAATATCTACCATCTAGAAATAAAAATGATTCACTCAGAAGAAATTAAAACCCACAGAACATTCCACATTGAGTGTAGTGATTGCAGCTGTGGTTCAGTTCCTTAAATACTCCTGAGACCAAAAGAGTAGTGAATCCTCATCCATTTCCTCCACTTAGAGCCTTACAAAGCACAGGACCAGGGAGTGTGTTTTATCTTTAAAGATTTCCAATGGGAGGAAATCTTTCTGTCCCTTAGTAGTTCATAGCAGTATTGATCTTCCTCCTCCGAAAGCCATTCCCTGTTTACAAGTAGGACCTGTGTTTGACAGTCATTTAAATGTTTCTTCTTATTTAGGGCTGAAGGGTGGGGGCGAGTTGGAGCTGAATCTTCCCCACCCCCATTCAGTAATGTTTAAGGCAACACATCTCAAAGGTTGGTTGCTGGCTTCTTTTAATTTAGTATAAAAGAACACAGGGCTAAAACAGAACTGTCACTCCCACCCAATCCTCCTCTCTGTCCTAAAAGGAACCACTGTTAACAGTATCTTTCCCAAGACTGCCTATGCATATGTTTGAGTTGCTTTTAAATCACAAATGATAGTGCCTTACCAGTGAGCATTATATCTTAGAGATCGTTTCTGTGGTCCTCGTTTGTCTTGAAAGCATTTATATCGTATCTACTGATTCTCCAAGACAAGCAATGCCCAAAATAGGACCCTCCCACTGTTTCCTCTGTGCCTTCCACCATTCAGATTTTGGGCTTATTTCTCTTGGAACATTTCATACTTTCAGTTGATTTATCACCTTCAAACAATAGCCATTGAATCTCTCACTTTCCACTGCTTAAGACGAGGAAAGTCACATACTTACACAGACCTGTACCTTTTCTCCTCCCAACTTCTCCTTTTACACCCCTAAGGTGTATGATTTCTGTATGGACATGGTGTATAATATTTGCATTCCATTTTGTAACCGTAATTCTCCCACAAAGGGAGGCTTCTGTTTTTCTGGCATTTTAGTATAAAATTCTTAAACATACAGCAACACTAAAAAAGTATTACAAAGAACACTTGTATACCCACCACCTAGATTGTATGAAACTTGCACTCTACGGTTGTCCCTTGATATCTCTGGGGGACTCGTTCAGGACTTCCCCAGATACCAAAATCCTTGGATGCTCAAGTCCCTGATATGAAATGACATAGTTGGCCAAGTATGGTGGCTCATGCCTATAATCCGGGCAATTGGGGAAGGCAAGGCAGGAGGATCACTTGAAGCCAGGAGTTCAAGACTAGCCTAGGCAACATAGCAAGACCGCATCTCTACAAAAAATAAAATAAAAAATTTAGCTGGGCACGGTGATGCACACCTGTAGTCCCAGCTACTAGGGAGACTAAGGCAGGAGGATTGCTTGAACCCAGGAGTCTGAAGCTGCCGTGAGCTATGATCATACCACTGAATTTCAGCCTCAGTGACAGAGGAAGACCCTGTCTCTAAATAATTAAATGATGTAGTATTTGCATATAACCTATGCACATCCTCCCATATACTTTAAATTATCTCTAGATTAATACCCAAGACAATACAAATACTGTGTAATTGTTATACTGTATTAAGGAAAAAGAAAAAAGTCTGTGTATGTTCGATACATAACGTTTTCAAAAAAATTTTCAATCCAAGCTTGGTTGGTTGAGTCCACAGATCCAGAGGGCCGACTGTGCTTGTTTTGTCATGGATTTATCCACCCATCAACCCATCTTATTTATGTATACAATTCAAAGTATGACAAAGACATCACTATACTTTCCCCAGCATGCATCTCACCACCCGGAGCTCAGTATTGGTTTACAGTGTTCGTCTTCTGATACACAATTTTATACATAAGGAAATGTACAGATTCATATTTTGTAATGGCTCGATGCTCATCATCTTACTGAACTCTGTGGATGCCTTCGTTGGCTAAATGTGTCCTCTTTTGTTCTCTTCAAAAATTCCTGAGCTGTGCATGTTTGAGAGCATCCGTCCTTTGATTTTATAGTTGAATGACAGTTTGAGTGGGTATAAAACATTCAGGTTTTATACCCACTCTTTTCCTGGTAGGGTTTTGGGGACACTGCTCTCATTGAATATACTGCTATAAAGAAGGCTTCTGACCTATTTTTTCCCTACGGCTACAATGTGATTTTTGTTGCTAGTTTGTTTTTTGCCTTGATAAAGCCTCACAGAATTCTTGCAGTCTAGCCCAGTAGTGATAGGCCAACCTTAATGCAAATATGAATCACCTGTGAATCTTGTTAAAATGCAGACTCTGACTTGGGAAGTCTGGGGTGAAGCCTGAGATTCTGCACCTCTAATGAGCTAATCTGTGGACAGTGGGGAAGAATTAAGTCTATGTTATGGTTTGGCTCTGTGTCCCCACCCAAATCTCATGTTGAATTGTGACCCCCAGTGTTGGAGCTGGGGCCTGGTGGGAGGTGACTCTCATGATAGGGAGTTCTCACGAGATGGGGTTGTTTAAAAGTGTGTAGTACCTCCCCCTTCACTCGCTCTCTTTTCCTCCTGCTGGCCATGTAAATATGTGCTGGTTTCCCCTCGTACCAGGATTGCAAATTTCCTGAGGCCTCCCCAGAAACAAAAGCCTGTACAGCCTGCAGAACTGTGAGTCAATCAACCTCTTTTCTTCATAAATTACCCAGTCTCAAGTATGTCTTTATAGCAGTGTGAGAACGGACTAATACAGTCTAGCTGCTGATTGACTGTTAGAATGAACTGGAATGACTGCTCCATGGTGTTCCGGGAGGTTATCAGGTAGCCTGTACCCTCCAATAGCATGGTTCCAGGCCAGAAAGTACTATCTGACACTAGGCGTGTGCCTCTTAAATCAGAGACATGAGCTCTGCCCCCATGGCCAGCTATCTCCAGCTCTGTGTACCTTCTCTCTCACTGCCCAAGTCCCATTTTTATGCACTGGGCAGCCCTCCTTATATACTAGAGTCTGCTCAAAGGTGTTTCCCAATTTCACCCAAAACAGAAAGATTTTTCTTCTCGTTTCTAGTCATTTCACAGGGGAAAGGGAAATATAGACACCGTTTAAAGTAAGATCAATGCTTCAGGCTTTGAGGGCCCAGTGAGAGGGCAGCCTGCAGAGGAGGAACACGGGGTTTGAAATTAGACATTCCTGGGTTTGAATCTCAGCTCTGGTCCTACAGGTGTGTGACCTTGAGCAAGTTAAGTCATAGTTTCTAGGCCTCGAAGTGCTCAGAATTTTAAAACCAAAGATAAAACCCCTTTCACAGGATTACTGTGAGGATTAAGAGAGAAAGAGTTTAAGGTACCTAACACAATAAAGGCTGCTTCTTTCCTTCCTGCGCGCCAGCTGGTTTAAAAGCTTAAGTGCATCTCTAATGACAATGGGCGAAGTTTATTTTTTGAGTTTGGAAGCCCCTCAATGCCTTCTGTTCACTCTATTTCATTCCTCCCATGAATATGGATGTGCCAGGCACTGCTAGGAGCTAGAAAGGAGCGAGGAAAGGTCCCTGCTGAGAGTATCTCACAGTTGGGGGAGGACGAGGTCACATTTTTAATCTCCCTTGAGGTTTTGACCTTTGTTTTTTCTAAATCTCCAAGCTAAGTCATTGTATTCTGCAGATGAATTGACACACTTTGATGCCCAGTAAGGTAACGAGGTTTTATCATCAACTCGGACATCTCTGCAAGGCACTGGGAGGGGTTATGAAGCTCATGGCCTTCATCCTTCAACAGGATGTCAGGGTAACCAGGGGGTTTCAGCACAGCTACCCCTCAAACTGGATGAGTCCAGTAGAGGAACTGGCAGGCAGTTACCATAAAAGGAAGTCTGTTACAGCATCAAGGCTAGGAAGGTAAAGATGTACCAAAAGCTACACTTCCTGCACCAGAAGAATTGGTTTCATTCCTAAGCCTTATTAGACTAATCTAAAAGAAGCAAATTAAGGAATCACAGCCTCAGTGCTGGGTTTAAAGTAGTTCATAGGCCAGGCACAGTGGCTCACGCCATAATCTCATCACTTTTTTTCTGACCAACATGGCAAAACTCCATCTCTACTAAAAATACAAAAATTAGCCAGATGGGGTAGTGTGCACCTGGAGTCCCAGCTACTCAGGAGGCTGAGGCAGAGGTTACAGTGAGCCGAGATCACCCACTTCACTGCACTCCAGCCTGAGCGACAGAACAAGACTCTCTCTAAAAAAAAAAAAAAAAAAAAAAAAAAAAAAGGTAGTTTATAGTGTGGGTGAGTTAACCCAGAAGGGTTGCCAAATATCAGGCCTCTTACAGATGAATACTCATTATGATTGCTAGAGTAGCAATATTCATGAAAATGAACATTTCTAGAGTGCTAAAAAAAAATCAAAGTTTAAACATTTTCCCAAAGTCTTAACTTGCTAAGGAATTCATTTCCTCAATGGTAAGATAGGCAGCCTTGACATAGTTCAGTTTTCTCAAAGTGCCATCCAAGGACCATCTGGGGAGCTGCCTAAAGATGCACATTCCTTGGCCCCATCCTGGGCTGACTCAGCACCCTGTGGTGGGTCCAGGAACCTGCATTTTCTTTTGAGTCTTGCTCTGTCACCTAGGCTGCAGTGCAGTGGTGCAACCTCAGCCTCCCAAGTAGCTGGGATTACAGGTGTGAGCCACTGTGCCCAGCCAGCACCTGGATTTTCTAGCATGCCTGCTGCTCAGAAATTGGGCTCCTGCCCAGTAGCAGAAATGGTCAGGTTTATGATATTATACTAAGAAAGGTGGAGGTTGAGACAATGTCTGAAAACAAAAAAGATCCAATTCAGCTCTTCGTTGAGCCCTAGGTTTCCAAACAACATCAAAAGACTATTTTTATATAAGTAACTAAAAATGACAGTCATCTTTCTCTTGAAAAATGATCCTCAGAAAACAAGGGAACAGTGACCTCTTGAGGAATCTGGAAGAATCTATGATCTCATGCACCATGCATCAGAAATACTAAAGGAAGAGGAAGAAGGAAATTCAACATCCAGCAAGGGCCTATTTGACAAACATTATACCTAAAATCCAGTGGGAAAGGAAATACATAGAAGCTAAGGAGAGCCGGTTTTTTGTTTTTATAAACGACTGGCTCTAGAAGCAGCAGAGTCCCAAATCCCCTCACCTGAAGGTGTCTATCTCAGCTGTGCAGGAGGGGCTCAGGCATCTGGGATTCAACAGTGTTCTTAAGAGCTGGTCGTATGACCCAGCTTGGCTTGGTTGCAGAAAAATACGAAATGACCCTTCTCGTACCATGAAGGGGTTTTGTGTTTTCTTCAGCAGGGAAGAAAACTAACAATTCAAAGAAGTAAATTAACCCGCCCAATTTTATACAAGAGGAAGGTGAATTCTGAAGGATTGGGGGAGTTGGACTCTCGAGATTGTAACCCCCCCCCACGATGCCAAAGTTCTCTCTCCCTTGCCACCCTCTCACACTGCCAGCCAGAGAGCAGGAGGGAGATCAACCCAGACTTAGCCCTGGCTAGGGAGAAGCAAACCGTGTATAATATTTCAAAATGAAATCAAACTGCAGTGCCAGGTTGACGATCCACTAACAATCCAATTTTGCATGTAGACATCCCACTTCGAGGGGCATAGCCTCCCCTGTCACCCGCTTCCTCCCACCTGTGTGCTACACGACAGGCTGTACGTGCACCAGCTCTCCAAGCCACCCAATCGGTTTTCAGTGATTCCATCCAAACCGGGAAAAATGATTTTTCATTCTTTCTGAAGCCAGCAGCCAAATCAAAGTACAATGCCAGCCCAAATTGAACATCTTAATTAAAATGCCTCTTACCTGATTTGATTGCTTTAATGGGGTAAGTGGCATGAGCAAGAAAGTTGGGATCACTGAACATATCTTCTTCGTAAACCACAAAGCGCAGAAATGCCAGGTTTGGGTCATAAATTTCAAATGTCACCTTCTCCTGTGTTGGAGCCCAGATAGGGCTGAGGCCATTATCATCTGGAAGGAGATCAAAGCTCATTAGAGGACGCATTGGAGCTGCCCCCTTCTGGTAAGACAATCTCTGCATCCTTCAGCTGTGAATCCCCATAGCAACCATGTAAATAAATATGCATCTATGCCAAGATCTAAGAAAATCTGAGTAATTTTCTTCACTCCCCCACCCCACCTTGAGCAATCCTGGAAGCTGCTGTTGCAGGCTGGTCCCTTGGTGAGCAGAGCAAGGAGACCACCTCCCATCTCCCCTCCCCAGGATGGGGGAGAAGGGAAGAGGGGAGGTGTTTGCAGAGCAGGAAGGTGGAATTTGGAAAAGATGAAAGAGGAGAAGAGAGCCTGCAAGCCACATCCAGCAGCAGGGGATTCTACAGCTGGCAGGTGAGAGCCCAGCCTCACAGAGCAAGCAAGCAGCAATCCTGCAACTCTCCATAAATGCCAATTTACTCAGTCAGCATCTGAGTTGTTCACTGGGCTACTTTTTACCAGGAGCAAGGATCCTGTGCCTTAGAAGGCCCACCATTCACGGTTCCCTCCTGGCTTTTCCTGGAAGAGCAAGCATTCCTCCTGCTCTCTAGGGGCTAAGCTCCCCCAGGTTAGGCTGATCCTCTGGGTCAGGTCAGCCATGTAGGTTCACCCCCTCTCCATGTCTCTGCCTCTTGGCCTTTGACTCAGTAGATCAATCCGATTGGGCTGTTGCACAAACAGGACCAACCAAGTGTCAGGGCCTCACCTAGGATTCCAGACTTGAGTTACAGGCAGGCAAACAGCACTGGGGAAGGTCTAAGGATTTAATAAAGTGGCCCTTTGTATCCCCTCCTCAAGCTGAGCCACGTGGGCAAGAGGGAGGAAACAAAACCTTGGACAACTGAAGTGCATTGCAAAATACCCCAGGAAGAGCACTCCCACAAAGGAGTCACTGGTTGGACGTTTCAAAGCAGAGGGGCCAAGGCAACTTACTCACAACCGTCGTCTTGAACTTGTTGTTGTCATAGTCGGCTCCACAGATCTCCACCTCTACAAAGGGACAGGCAATACTTCGTCCAAGTTTGGGGAGATGGCGAGCACCGAGAACCTGGGACACCAAAGGGAAGAAGCATTGGAACCCTCCTGGGGTCCTGAATAGACAGCCTAGCATGGATTGCAACTGGGTTCTAGAGTGACACTGGATGAGTTCAATGCCAGCCCTAATTTTCCCAAATTCATTGGAGAAGCCAGAGCAACCTTCTGTGGTGGATGAAGGTGGACTGTGGTATATCCCACAGTTCCTCAGCATCAGCCTGGGTCTCAGCCCCATACGCCACCTGACTCAACAAGTAAAACTCACCTGAGCTCATGAATGCACATCCATGCCCACGTAGGTGCCTCTGATCAAGGCAGAGCTTAATCACTGGATCTCCCCGCCCCCAGGAAAGGCTGAGGGACAACGTGGCACTCTTTTTGTAACTGCAGTTTACTTAAAGGCCTCTGTTTACATATGCTTCTTCCCCCCACCGCCCTTATTTTCATGAGAAATGCAATTCATTTATCTACTTTTCAAAGATTCTTACAAAATAACAACACTTTCTCTGAAAGTCAGATGAATTTTAACAAGCCCTGGAACTGGACAAAGTAAGGGAAAAAAATGTCTCCATTAAGACCAAATGGCTGTTTCCCATGTTTTTTTTCTCTTTCCAGCCAGAGGCTGACCTCACTGGGACCCCAGAAAGACAGGGTCATACCTCACCCCCACAGACGACAAGAGGACGTGGGTTTGAGGTTTCCCCTCCCTTTCCTCTTCTCCCAAACGACCGTGGAGTGTACTGTAAGAAAAGATCCTCAAACACTGCCTGAATGTGGATAGTTTAAACAAGACAACAAGCGTTCCTAGCCATGGAGCTAGGAGGCGGCGTCGGCCCAGCCCCCAGGGAGGGCAGCGGGCTCCCCTGGCAGGAAGGGAGGGCTGGCTTTACCTTGACCGTCAGCGTCATCAGGATCTTCCTCTGGGACTCGGGTGGCATTGGGTCATATTTCTCTGCCCTCATGCTCTCAGGCTGCAGAACGTAGCCCGTGCGCCCATTGAGAGAAAACAACGCGTGATTCATCTGCATGAACTTATCTGGGAAGGAAAGTGAAGGCCTGCTGTAAGTCAGGCATGAGCGTGCTGGCCTCCTAGGCCACGAGTTCGTAGGTGGGGAATGAATGACACCTTTTCCCAAAATTAATGTGAGGCCACTGTTCAAATAAGTATCTCACTGGAAGAAAATATAGGGTTTCCAGACAACAAAATCCCAGACTGGGGAACATCTTTCCAAGTATGTCACAAACTCCCGAATCATAAAAGAAAAGATTCAAACTTGCTAAACGTATCTATGTAGAAACAAATTGCATAGACCATTTTAATTCAAATGACAAATATATGAATATAAATTTTTAACCTCTTAGTTCTGATACATCTATGCTATAAATACCTACTGCATAGATACATCGGGTAAGAAGCACAAATAGTTTACAGAAAAGAAAATGTCACTGCTCCTTAAATAACAGAAAAACTGGTTAATGTCACAAGCAGCAGCTCTCATGGACTACAGTATATCAGTTTTCACCTCTCAGTTGTGCAAACGGCAAAAAGTTCAACAAAACTCAGTGAAGTTGTACAAAAAGAGTGTACTCCAAGCTCCACCTGTTTGCATCTCCGCCCACAATCTGTCTGGAGGGCAGTCTGGCAGCGTGGCTTAGCTCAGGCACACCTGCAGGCACATCTTCAGTGGTTTTCTTCAGGGCAAAGTTGATCAACATGCAAGTGGCTGCTTGACCCTCCCTGCGCTTCTGGGAATTCTGTCCCACAGACATATTCCTACGTCTGCGGAATGGCGCTCACGTCAGGGTGCAGAAGGCAGTGCTGTCTGTGACGCAAGCAATGGGGAATACCTACATGTGCCTACACGGGGACTTGTTAAATAAATGATTGTTCCATTCAATGGAATCCAAGGTGGCTACAAAAAGAATGTAAAGGAGGCTACTGATGACTAGATCCCCCGAAAGACGTTTTAAATAACAACAGAAGCACAAAGCCCCATGATTTATGCGACCACTTTATGTCCAGAAGCTTCTGTATGTTGGTTATGCCACCATATGAATGTCTCTGGAAGAAAGTCTGAGCAGAACGCCCTCCCAGAGCAACAGGCCAGGAGAAGAGGGCTCCAAAGATGCTTGAATTATGTGAGCTAATGCATTTTCTTTTTCTCTTAAGCCAGACTAACTCAGCCTCTGTTACTTGCAATCATGAAGCCTGCCTGAGCCAGGCACCCTTCAGTCCTCTCATCACTCCATTCAGCTGCCGGACCTCATACTAACCAGCACTCTGCTGAACCGTGCAGTCCCTCAGACAAACCACTCATTGCTGGACACCACATGGCATCTCTGACCCAAGCTGACTTGGCCTGGAGTGATTGCCACCACCACCTTGCAGGGACAGGACTACCTTCAGTCTGCCTTTACCTGCCGTCTGGAAATTGAGTGCCACCATCTGAGAACCGCACAGCCAGAGGCGGAAGGGGTCGTAGTTTGAAGAGTCAACTCTTTGTCCCTTTGGGTAGACGCGGGTCAGGCCCTTTTGATTATACCTCAGGAGGTCGACGGGCTTCTGTCTGGTGATGCTGTCAGCCTTCGTCTCCACAAAGGAGCGGATTTCTCGGAAATCAGGATTTTCTGCACACAGAGAAAAAGGTCATCACTACTTCTGTGTCTCATCTCTGCATTTTCTTAATGCAACGGCTGGATGCTCAGATTATAAAAGGAAACCAGGAATCTCCCTCTTTGACATTCAGGGGGTTCTGATGATATTGTCCCAATTGGTGTCACTATGGACTTTTGCCCTCTGGGGGGATACAGGTATTACAAAGGGACCTAGTTTTCCCACCGCCTTTTAGTCTAGAATTATTGTAATTTACTTTTTTTTTTAACTACCAACATCCTTGAATAAGAAAACACAAAAGCGGCAGTTATAGAAGAGGGAATATGGGGACGGTTTTAGGTAAGAGAAAATCTTGGGAGAGGAAGATCCAGAGAGCTCACAGACACAAGATGAACAAACTGAGAATCACCTGCCACTGCCCACAGGTAGAGTTGCACTGTGGGTGCCTGTGCGGGACAGAGGAGAGGGAAGGGGACAGGCCTCATCTTGGCTCCCTCCCATCCAGCTGCGGTGGGATAGCCAGGCAGTCAACACGCTGAGCCTGCTGAGTGCTGAGCTTTGACATCTGTCCCTGAACAGAGGTTCCTAGGGACTGGCCTCCCAGTAAGTTAACTCAGGGGTCTAGTATTGTCTGGCTGGTCTTCTGTTCTAAGATGAAAGATAAGGAAGCACCCCAAAGAAAAAAATATGTACAGCATCATCAAAAACTTGTACCTGGAGAACATGGTAGAAGGCCCCTTTTTTTTTTTTTTTAACTATATCTGTGGTGGGCTGAGTAATGGCCCCTGAAGCTGTCCAGGCCTTAATCTCTGGGGCCTGTGCATGTGTCACTTTATATGGCAGAATAGACTTTGCAGGTGTGATTAAGGAGCTTGAAAATGGGAGGCTTATCCTGGAATATCCAGGTAGACCTAATGCACCACAAGGGTCCTTGTAACAGGGAAGCAGAAGAGGAGAAGCCCATGGGACCACAAGCCAAGGAATGCCAGCAGCCCCCAGAAACTAAATTGCTTTCCCCTCTGGAGGGAACACAGCCCTGCTGACACCCTGATGTTGACCCTGATACCGATGTCAGACTCTGGCCTCCAGAAATGTACAAGAATAAATGTTTTCAGCCACCAAGTTTGTGGTAATGGCAATAAGAACTAATCCACCCACTAAGTGGGTGATATGGTTTGGCTGTGTCCCCACCCAAATCTCACCTTGAATTGTAGCTCCCATAATTCCCACGTGTTATGGGAGGGACCTGGTAGGAGATAATTGAATCACGGGGGTTTCCCCTATACTGTTTGTGTGGTAGTAAGTCTCATGAGATATGAGGGTTTTATACGGGGTCTCCCCTTTGGTTGGTTCTCATTCTATCTCATCTGCTGCCAGGTAAGATGTGCCTTTCACCTTCTGCCGTAATTGTGAGGCCTCGCCAGGCACGTGGAACTGTGAGTCCATTAAACCTCTTTTTCCTTAGAAATTACTCAGTCCCAGGTATGTCTTTATCGGCAGCATGAAAATGGACTAATACAGTGGGTCTTCCTACTGAGACACCAAAAGAGCTTCTTCTACCAGCTCCCTCACCTGGAGGACAAACCCAAGGTGAGGCCATCTACCGGGAGCAGTTAAGAACAGGAGCATGCGCCCACTCTGCCCTCTCTGAAAATATCAAACTCGAAAGGAAGGAAATTTTCACTGCAGTTATAGGGCAGATTCTTAGGAAAGATGTTACCTAAGTTGTCCTTGGTTTTGCTGGTTGGTTTGCAGTAGACAACCAGGTCAGAGAGCTCGATGGCGATGGACTGGTTCTTCTCCCAGTACTTCATGTTGTTCTCCTGTTTGGAGTTCACCATCTTTAGTGCCCGCCCCTGAGAAATCCCATCTTCCCAGCTCGCCCTGTGGTTTTTCTCCTGCATTCCCACTTTGCTTTCTCGCATGCTCAGATCTTTAATATGGTTGAATGTTTTCCTTTCCTGAAGAAAACCCTGCCCCTCTCATTTCTTCCTCTGTCAAAATTCTTGACAAAGCTATTTCCATGAGGATTTGGTGTCCAGCTCAGTCCTGGCCATAGCCCTCAAATATAGCTGAGGTCAGGATGGCAGGGGAAGGGGGGGCTCTTCTCTGTCACCACCCCTTTGTCCTTAACTCTGCCTCCCGTTCCCACCCCTAAAGCCACACTGTTAGAGTATCTCAAATTCTAGTTCTTCAAATCCTCGTGGGTTCTGTGGACCCCAGCATCTTTGTCATAACTTTTTATCCCCTGCACCCTCAAAACCTGCACACCTGCTCCCCAACTCTGCCCATCAGGGCTCTGTCCAAGGGGACCACAACCCAGTGGCCAGACTATGTGCCATGGACTCAGGAGGTGCCTCCCTTCAGAGGACCCACCGCCAAATCTAACTCCTTGCATGTAAGGATGAGCTTCTCACTTCACCCTAAAGCAGGCAACCCTGCTGGGCCTCCCCAAATTCTACCAGACTTTTATTGGCCAAGGGGGGACCTTGAGAGAATATTTAGATAATAACGGTCACTATTTGGGGGGTGCTTAGCTCTAGGCGTCACAGGCTAAGCACTGGATGGATACTACCTAAATCAATCCACACCCTGACAGGGAGAATTATCTCCGTTTAACAGAAGTTGAGTCGCTTATCTCAGCCTTCACAGCCAGCCAGTGTCGAGACCAGATGCTGCCAAAGCCCTGTTAACACGGGGTGGGCTCCTGCCCACCCACCACATGTTCCAGCTCTGCTTTGTCCCTCGCACCCCATCAGCTGCCAGGTTCTGGAGACAATCTCACTAAAATGCCTCCTGCATCCAGACCCAGAGTTCCTATCCCGGCTCCCACTGAACCACAGCAATGCCCTCCTGACTCCTCGTCCTGCTGCCCATATACCCCCACCCCACTGGTCCATCAAATCCCTCCTTCTAGACCCAGCCCAAATCACTCCTTCTCTGGGAAGCGGGTGTGGTTAGGCTTTGGATCCCCATTCAAATCTCTCATCTTGAATTGTAATCCTCAGGTGTTGAGGGAACGACCTGGTGGGAGGTGACTAGATCATGGGCTCGGCTTCCCCCATGCTGTTCTCATGATAACAGCGAGTTCACCGAGATCTCATGGTTTTATAAGGCAGTTTTCCCTGCTCTTGCTTACCTAGTCTAGGGTAATATCTTTACAGCAGTGTGAAAACGAACTAATCCGTGGATTAGCTCCAGCCAGGACTGGGAAAGGATATTGCCCTCCCGGAACCTTCCAAATCACTCAGTGCCTCAGCTGGTGTGCTCTGCTTCTCACCGTCCCTTGCCTGACGGTCCTACATTAATGCCATTCAGTGCCAGTGCGCAGACCTTACTTCCCCACTGAGATATGCCCCTTGATGGCAGGGCTGTGCACAGAGCAAGTGTTCAGGTGATGGTGGTCACTAGGTGAGAGAGGCAACGCGACCCAGTTGTTAAGACAGTGGGAACTGGAACGTGTTTGAAACCTGGCCCGGCTGTTCTCAGACTGTGCCGGCTGGGCAAGCCATACAGGCTCCTTGTGCCTCAGTTTTTTCTCAGCTGTAAAATGAGGCCGATATGAATCCTTACCTCACAGGGCTATTGCAAAAATTAAACAAAGAGGCCTTAGCACTCTATGGGCACATGGTAGCTACTCATACTGCCCCAGGAGACACCTCCCCTAGGCAAAGAACCAGAAAGTCATGTTTTGTAAACAAGCACGTGAAGGCACCCAATTTCTTCTATAAGAACGCCTTCACGCATGAGTGCTGACAATTCCCAGGGCCAAAGTGGACCTTGGCAGTGACCAGCAAACGAGCCTTTTACGTGAGCTCCTGCTGTGACCACATCATCAGGACAGCTTCGAGTGTGACTCTAAGCCCCTGATACTGGCTCTAGTTTGTCCACATACCCCCAGCTTCTGTCAGCCCTTTCCATCCTTCTTGAATGTCCTTGGGGACACAGCAAGCTCTAGGGGTCAGGCTGGAAGGGCTGTGGTGGGTGGGAAGTGCATGAACTAACAGGTAAAGAAGGTGTCAGCCAAGCAGTCAATAGCAAAGTGCTGTCACAGAAACCAAACCCATGTTTCTTTTCCAAACCTCAGGTGTTTTCTCCTGGCTCTTGAATTAACTTGACTTTGTACTCTTAGCGCACAGTTTTCACCACGGGGTTGTCTGCAGACAGGAAACCCCAGAAATAACACAGCTCACCTCCAGTGACAACAGAATTGCTTAAAATGAGGGAGTGGGCATGCCTGTCAAATTCTGGAATGTTGACCTCACACAGAACACAGCGCTATGACAAGGTATGGGGCTTCACTTTTTCTTTTTCCTCCCAACCTTAGCAGAAGACAATATCAGTTCAAGAAGAAACGCCAGCTGCTGCTTCAAAATTGCATGACAAGGTCGGGCACAGTGGCTCGTAATCCCAGCATTTTGGGAGGCTGAGGCGGGCAGATCACTTCAGGTCAGGAGTTCAAGACCAGCCTGCCCAATATGGTGAAACCCCATCTCTACTAAAAAGTACAAAAATCGGCTGGGAATTGTGGTAGGCACCTGTAATCCTAGCTAGTTGGTTGGCTGAGGCAGGAGAATCACTTGAACCCAAGAGGTGGAGGCTGCAGTGAACCGAGACCCCACTGCTGTACTCCAGCCTGGGCAACAGAGTGAAACTCTGTCTCAAAAAAACAAAAAACAAAAAAACTGCATGACAATTACTCTCTGGGCCTGCAGCTGTCATCTCAGAATGGGAAGTCACAAGACAGTTGGTGAGGCTCTGGAAACCCACTAACTACAAGGATTGTGTGACTGCCCTCCGCCATCAATGAAGTGGCTACAGACCGTGTAACAACGCGGGCACTTAGGGACAGGCAGAGGTCCTGGCAGCGAGCAGAGTTTATCCGCCGCTGGTTGCCCAAGAGTGGAATGGGGCCTTCTTCCTTTGCCCCCCAACACCAGCTCCCCAAAAGGGCTAGCTGTGCTCAGTGCAGCAACTCCATCAACTCTGCTGTCCCGTTTTTTTTTTTTTTTTTTTTTACCCCTCAGATGTAATAATAGGACTTTAAAAATCATTCTCATGAAATCTCAGCAAATATAAAAACCAATTAGGAAGGAATGTAGACCAAAGGCCACCAACAGCAGCCTTGAACAGCTCAGCTTCATTTCAGAAACCCTCATGCGGCAGGAGAGGAGGTGCGAGGCAGGGGAGAGACAGAGCCTTCTAGGGAAGTAACACTTTTCCCCATTAAGCAAAGCAGAGAGAGCCGGAATACGCTATTTGGAGATTTTTCAAATAAACCTCAGGGTTGTGGCGCCCCCCTGTGCCTCAGAGCTGTACTGCAGCATCAGAGGCACTCGAGGGCCTAGAAGAGATGGCTTCACTGGGAAAGCCAGACGGACAGCACAGCTGGCTACAAGCTCATGGTTCCTCCCCCATGGCTGGTGGTGTGAAAAGCCATGGGAAGAATTAGGAGCCCTAGGGAAGGCCCCCAGGAGATCCTAGGTCAGAGAAAGACGATGTCCCACCAGTGAGGGTACCCACGAACCGGCCCCCTCTGCAAAGTCTCCTAAAGAGGACACAACGATCCTCTCGTGACCAGGGACTGGCCAAGATGTGAGGCCCTCCTGGGGGAAAAAAAAATGACCTGGCCACGGGTGGATGACTAAGTATCTTGGGGGAGAGACTCACTGACACTAGCCAGAAGTCAGAAGGCACGAGAGGCCCCACAGGAAGGCTTTAATCAGCCCTTGGGGTCAAGATCTACCTTAGAAGCAAATGGGTCCACAGGAAACCCTACAATTTCTTTCCAGTTCTGCAGCCACAAGGACAGCCCTTACTCCATCATCAAAGACAGGGTGGCACTTGCCCATGTCGCTCTGGTATAATGGCAAGGCAGTGATTAAGTACTTCTGAGTTATGAATTTGGTTCCTCATTTTGCCGACAAGGAAACTGAGGCCCAGAGAAGTGTGGTTGCTTGCCCAGGGTCCAGCCCTGCCAGGATGCAAACTCCAGTATGCTCAACTCCAGACCTCCTATTCTTATCCAGAAGCTCACACCTTCCCAAAATACCTCCAGCCAGAGACTAGTACTTCAGGTAGGACAGCCCTGAAAAGGTCATTCCCATCTAGAAGGGAAGTTCCTCCACCGGAAAGAACCGCGTCTCGCTGATTTGCTGTGTTCCCAGAGCCCATTCCAGGTCCAGGCAGGTGAGCTCAGTGAGCATTTTCTGTGGGGAGGATCCAGACTGCTTTATATGATACTTAGAAACAAAATATTCAAAACGAAGAAGGCAGTAACTTCCTTGGTAAGATATGTGGGGCCGCACAGACCTCATCACTGAGCATTGCTGCACGCACTCAGCCTTCTGAAGTTCGAACCAGACGACCAGACCCACCTTCCCAGGGCAGCTCCACTATCCCTGCCTCTCCCTAACAAGAGGTGCTCCTATTGACTGAACCCACCTGGTCTCTTTCCCCAATTCTGAATAGCACCTGGATCTGCTCATCCTGCTGCCTGGACCCACCCACAGCCTCAGCTGAGCACCAGAGCCCTGAGGATGCAGGCCCACCTGCACCCGGTGAGCAGGTGCCTACCTTGGTGTCAATCTTCCAGGTGATCTCTCGGATGCTCTGAAACCACTCGAAGAGCTCCTCCACCCTGTCTGTGGCAAACTCCACCGGAGGATCGCCCTGCTTCTTGGGCTCCAGGATGAAGACAAAGGGCTTCTGGTTTTTTCCCTGTGGGGCTTTCACTTGGGGGAGAGAGTAAGAAATGTCCCGGTCAGCCTATTAGAGGGCCACAAAGACCCGACTGCACCGTGCCTGAGCAGCTTCTCTCATGGACCAATCGCCACTGCTATGATCACGGTTAGCATTGATGGGGACGTCTACTTTCCATCGGGGTAGGTACACGTCACACACATCACTGCTCAAGAGATGCAGGGGATTCAGTAGTGTCCTCCAAAAAGATGTGTCGGGTCACCAGTACCTGTGAATGGGACCTTATAGGGTCGTTGCAGATGTACTTAGGTTGAGGATCTCAAAATGAGATCATCTTGGATTTAGGGCAATTCCAACACCCAACAAGTACGAGTATCCTTGTAAGAGAAAGGAGAGGGACACTTAAGATGCAGGGGAAAAAAAAAAAAATTAAAATGCATGAGAGAACCTGAAAAAAATACCCTCTTGTCCGCTTTATAGACACATGTTCATCTTGATCAAAAGAAACACTGAAAATCTTTTTGATTGACCAATTAGAAAATGATTTTTGCACTCATCATAAATATTTTTTACAAATTACTAAAGCAATACATGTTCATTTTAAAAAGATTTAAAATATAACTAAGCAAAACTTGGCCTTTTTACAAAATGTTTACCTACAATACATAAAATTTTATGAACTGATTGTTTCACTTAGGATATTGTGCATAACTTTCTGTGTTATGTATAATATTTTATATATAAATAAATAATTTAAATTGTTTTTTTTTTGACAGGGTCACACTCTGTCACCCAGGCTGAAGCACAGTGGTGCGATCTTGGCTCACTGCAGCCTCCACCTTCTAAGATCATGCAAGCCTCCCACCTCAGCCTCCCAAGTAGCTGGGACCACAGGTGCACACCACCAAGCCTGGCTAATTTTTGTATTTTTTGTAGAGAGGGGTTTCACCATGTTGCCCAGGGCTGGTCTCGAACTCCTGAGCTCAGGCAATCCACTCGCCTTGGCCTCCCAAAGTGCTGGGATTACAGGAATGAGCCACCACACCCAGCTAAATGGCTTTAAAAACAGATGCAGACACAAGGGAGAAAGCCATGTGCAGGCAAATGTGGACACTGAAGAATGCAGCCACAAGCCAAAAACACCAAGGAGTCACCAGAAGCTAGGAGAGAAATGTGGCATGGCTTCTCTAGACACAGAGAAAGCATCTTACAGAGAAGAAAAGATTATGACAGGGAAACTTAACTGCCAAATAATATCAGTAGCTAAGATTTCTGAGCTCTTATATTCCAGACAATATTCTAAGCAGATTACACATACTGCATCTTTTTTTTTTTTTTTTAAGATTTTGAGGTCTTGCGACATTACCCAGGCTGGTCTCAAACTCCTGGGGCTCAAGGGATCCACCCGCCTCAGCCTCCTGAGTAGCTGGGACTACAGGCACCCTGCTTTTGCTAGGCCCATTTTACAGGAGGCAAAACTGAGGCTGATGAAGAGAAAGTAACACGTGGAAGGTCACACAGCTAGTAGTAGTAAAATTGAGGCTCAGTTCAAACCTGACTCCAAGATTTCTACTCAGAACCACTGAGCCATGTGCCTCTGCTCTGCAAATACAGGGATGGGGGAAGATGATGCAGAGAGCACCAGAAGTGGACGCAGGGGTCCCACACCCCCTGGCCCACAGGACCTCAGCACGTGTGGTGGTCACTTAGGACCTTGATTTTCTCATCTGGTAATGGGAGCAAAGATTCCCTCTCCGACCTATCCTGCTGGATCGTTGTAAAGGAAAAGCAGCAGGTAACAAATGTGGAACGTAGGCTGGGCGCGGTGGCTCATGCCTGCAATCCCAGCACTTGGGGAGGCCAAGGCAGGCAGATCACTTGAGGTCGGGAGTTAAGGCCAACATGGCAAAACCCCATCTCTACTAAAAATACAAAAACTAGCCAGGCGCAGTGGCACACGCCTATAATCCCGCCTACTCGGGAGGCTGAGGCAGGAGAATCACGTGAATCCAGGAGGCAGAGGCTGCATGAGCCAAGATCACACCACTGCACTCCAGCCTAGGTGACAGAGACTCTATCACAAAACATAATAATAATTAATGTGTAAAGCAGAGCACTGGCAATAGAAGCACGAAGTTCCTGGGGCTGCTATCACCTGAGTCCCAGGGAACCATGCCCATGCCTTCCCAGGGAGGGTCATGGGCTGCCCAGAACAAGGAGGCCTGCTACAGAGTCCCTTCACATGGGAGCTGCACCACGCCCAGCACACATGAGACCCCGGCCACCACTGGACAAGCCTGGCCTCGGGGCCACGCCTTCACGTCCCCTTGCAGCACAGTCAACATGGGTGGGCTGGGTTTCCTAGGCCCCAGCAGAGCAACCAGGAAGCAGAGGTTCAAAGAGGAGAAGTGACAGGTCTGTGGTCTCATAGCAACAGAGAGGCAGAGCTGGGCTTAGAACCCGAGACTCCCAACTCCATGCTGCGTTTCCGCCAGGCTGACAGCTCAGCTTTCCTTCGAAACGCATGGGAAACACAGGCGGATCCTGAGATAGTAAGAGTGATGTTGGTAATAATGTCCGCTAACCACCATCTAGCACTTACGTACCAGACCCTGTTGTAGCATTTACGGTTTTAGCAGAGATTAATAGCAGACATAGCATCATACTCACTGACCAGCCTGACCTAAATACTCAGCTACCGCCGGGGAAGGAGCTGGCATTCAAGACAAGACCCTGTGTCAGCCACCTCCCGGTGTAGGGCGGGGCTGAGGTCAACCCATGGGGGATAGGGGTGGGAATCCAGGCTAAGATGATGTGTGCACGTACCGACGTTATAGGTATTGAGGTCCAATATTCCTCTGCAAAGAGACCCTAAGGGATTGTCTTCAATAATCTATGAAGAAACAAGACATAACTCACGTTAGTTGTAACGGGAATAATAAAAAGACAACCCGTTTCCAAAGCACACCGTTTAGCAGAGACACTGCCTGTGGAACTGTTTAAAATGCACTTTCATTACCAGATACGTCTACGGGGAGAGAGCTAAATAATGAAGCATGGAGCTGATAGGGACCTGGCGCGGAGAGGGTGCCAGGAGGTTAGGAGTTTCATTTTGCAATCCGTAAAAACGTGCCTTGTGAATTCTAGAACAGGTTTCACAATGCTTCCTCAGATCTGGTTTCAAAACACATCCTAGACCATTTATCTGACCTTATTACAAAATGAGACTCTTTTGCCTACTAAAGCCTAGCTCAAGAACCTTCTGTGGCTCCCCATGTCCTGTGGAAGCAACGCCCATACTCTGTGATCTGGCTTTTAAGACTTTCAGAGCCCCCATCACCCTTTCCAGCTCTGCCTCCCATTGCACACTCGAACCATCCCAGGGTCTGGCTGAGACGAAGAATATCTTGGGCTTGGGAGAGGTGGCAGAACCAGGCATCCACTCATTGCCTGCACCACCCCAACCCCCAGTCCCTGTACCAGGCAAATGTTGATGCTCAGGTAAGGGCAGCGCAGTATACAGACGCAGCAAGGGCTTCACGTCTCTGCCTCAGCCCAAGCACACAGAACACAACCACATTCCCACTGCCACACCTTTGCTTAGACTGTACCTCCCACTTGGAACTCCCTTCTGCCAGTCTCTTGCTGTTGAACTCTAACTTGACTTTTAAGGCTCAAATACTCCTTCCTCCAGGAAGCCTTCCAAGATTGCCCTACCTCCCTTAGAAAATAAACATCTGGGGCTCTAACAGGATCTTAAAGTCCTCCTTACAAAGAAGTCATCTTTGCTGCAGCACCGGCACGCTGCATGTGACTGCTCTCTAAACAAGAGGCGGCAAGGGAACCACCACCAGGTTTACAAAGTCACCAGGAAGGCCTCATCTCACCTTCTGGTCAGACCCACTTGCTTACTCAACCCGAGCACGTTCTCAATGTCTGGCTGCCCAACATACATGTGTTTCATTTGCAAGTTGCTTAAGCGAAGGACAAATTCCCCATTTGGCCACTTCCACTCCAGTGGGAATTCTCCTGCATACTCAAACCCTTCCAAGCCCAGCACAACCTGATTAAATCACGGCCGGCTTGTCACAGCAACTCACCCGCAACAACTCAATCTCAATTTCCCTATCACTCTGCCTTTCCAGATCCAGAGCTCCACAGACACCACGAGCAGCACACGGAAAAATTCACCCACCGAGATGGCACAGGTCCCCGAAAAACTGGACCCGCAGATCCCTTCTTCCTGTAACAGCATCAAAGAGGGGGACTCACCTGCTTTTCCAGCTCCTCGACATCTGCCGTTGAGATGTCCTCGACGTAGTTGGATGGGAAGTACTGCTGGATCCTGGTTCCATAGTCTCCTTTCCACCTGGATAAGAAGAGAGGACATGGGGGCTGTCACCAGGTGGCATGCATTCCCCACTACTGCTTATTAGCCCCCAACTGCCGGCTTGATTCTGATGGTGACAGGCAGTAAGTGGCCAGGTGACCAGTGTCACTATCTGTGACAACAGAGCATTTCAAAGGCAACTTTTTTTTTTTTAATTACCAATGAGTTATTGGGGTCCGATTTCCCTCCTCATCACATGATCTTAATGTTTGGTCAAAGATACCCCAAGTCAGAAGTTTCAGTGCTTTAAGTGGAAGTCAGAGACCATACAAGACAAAAGTTCGCCCCCATTTCAGGGAGGTTGTGAATTTAGAGAGAAGGTGGTTCTGGAGGCAGACAGACTGCAATGAAATTCCAGCTCTCCCACTGACTGTAGAGGCTTTCTGTGCCTCCGACTATCCATCTGCAAAATGGGCAAATGCGAGTGCTTCCCTCAGAGCGTTTTATTGGGACTCTAAATTAACAAAAGCTGAGTGCTTGGGACAGCGCCTACCTAGTGCACAGTAAATAATAGTGTTAGCTCTTATTATTATTCAGCTAAAACACTGTTCTCTATCTTTATAATGACACTAACAACATGGGACATAATCCATCTATGAATGTTCCTGGACCCCACCAGACGGTGAGCACCTGTAAGACTGATTCCTCCCGGCAAGTCCATGCCCAGACACGCAAACCTCCTCCCTTCAACCTGTCCATCTCTTGAGCCACTTTCTGTAGCCAGGGACTCTCCAAAATGCACCTCTGAACACGCCACATGATGGCTCCCCAGGGCCTCTGGAATCCAGCCCAGACTCTTCAACATGGCAACCACGGCACAGCATAGTGTGACCCCAGGACTCCCAGACGTCACCTCCTAACTCTCCATGACATTTGCTCCAGATGACTCATCGTCCCCATCATGCCCCTGCCACGCTGCCTGGCTTCCATGCCTTGGCCCATGCCCTTGGTACCCAGTTTCCCCCCACTAATTTAAGACTCAGGTTGGGCATTTGCTCTCCCAGGGAGTCTTCCCTGACTGCCCCCTAGGCTGAGCACTCTTCCTCTGTGGTCCGCTGGCATCCTGTCCCCACAGTCATCCGAGCAGCCACACCTTATACTTAACGTATAATTACCCGTCTGTCTTCCCCACTATATGAGATCCTTCTGGATCTTTTTGTTTGTTTGTTTGTTTTGTTTTGTTTTTGAGACAGAGTCTCACTCTATCACCCAGGCTGGTGTGCATGGCACGATCTCGGCTCACTGCAACCTTCGCCTCCCGGGTTCAAGCCTCAGCCTCCCAAGTAGCTGGGATTACAGGCACGCGCCACCACGTCTGGCTAATTTTTGTATTTTTAGAAGAGACAGGTTTTCACCATGTTGGCCAAGCGGGTCTCAAACTCCTGACCTCAAGTGATCCACCCGCCTTGGCCTCCCAAAGTGCTGGGATAACAGGCGTGAGCCACTGTGCCTGGCTGACCTTTCTGGATCTTAATCAAGTCTGTGCTCCATGGTGGTGGGAAGAAATTAACACTTTTTTGGTCTGAATAAGCAGAGTGAGGACTGATGCTACCAATTCACCTAGCAGACACAGGACCGCGGGTTGTAAGCGCTTTTCACGCCCTCCGCACCGTTTCTCCAGACGCACTTCTGGCAAGGGCTGGCTGTATTTACAGCGATCATATATACCATCTATCCAGGACTGAGCACTTTACATTCCCTTCACTCAAGGAGCATCTTGGTTCAGACAACAATTGTTTGGTCCCCTAGCTACAGGGGAACCAGTTTGGGAGTATGCATAAAAGGCTGTTTCACACAGGCAGCCCCCTGTACCACTACTGCCATCAGAGAGAGAAATGACCACAGCCGCTGGGCCGTTTGCCCACACTCCCTTGCCAAACAAACTTCTGCCAGTCTCTTAAGACAAGAGCCTTCAAAATTCAGAGAACTGCCTATCAGAGTCATAGAAAGGCATGAAGCCATCTCACACAGAATGGAAAACTGTGATTTGGAGTAGTCACCTGGGCTCCACCCACAACTCCAAAAATGACAGTCACCCACCCAGTGAGCACCAGGATGTTGACCAAGGCAGGGACAGGAGCACAATGAGGGAAAGCCAGTGTGCCTGGAAGTGACCTCAACTCTGTGCCACTTCGAGTGGAGGGACTTGGGCAAAGCCAAGCCTCTGAACTGGGAGAAGCAGATGGACAACACTGTGGGAGCCTCCAAGGGGAAGGAGCAGGGGCTGCAGTAAGGACTGCGATGTCAGCAAGGCCAAACAGGGCAGGTCTACGCCCCTACTCCAGCTCAACAGATAACTCAGCTGCATCTTTGCTTCTGGGGAATCTAGGTATGAATTGGTTTGCAATGAGGTTCTCCTGATTTTAAGAAAAAGTTTGACAATCCCTGGATTAAGGCATCTTGCAAGAGGACAGGGAAGGACTTAGCAGATGAATGGGGTTAAGAGTGTAGGCTCTGGGGGTTCAAATTTCAGCCTGCTATGTGGCCCTAGGGAAGTGACTGTACTTCTCAAGGCTTCAGTTTCCTCATCTGTAAAATGCAGGTAACAACAGAACCAACCTTTTACAGTCATCATGTGGATTAACTGAGTTATTTCAAATGATGTGAGTTATTTCAAATGTGCTTAAAACAGCGCTTGACACATAGAAGCACTCCATGCATGCTGCTGTTCAGATTTCTAAGCCAGGTCTAGTTATCTTGTGGGAGGCAGAAATGCCAGTCTCTGAGGTACTTAAACCAGTGCTCACTGGTTTAATATGAGCGAGTTCTTACTGCTCTCAGACAGAAGTCACCCCACAAAACCACTTGCCCAGAAACCTATCGGTGGGCAGCGAATTTTTCTTCCAAGGTTAAAAAGCGAAGTGGTACTAAACCCTAGCACACCCAGGTACCCTTGCCCTAAAAACATATTGTCTTCGATTCAGGATGTGGCCATTGCATACAGCACAGGACTATGGAATAGCACAAGAATTTGAATTGGAAATAACACACAGTCTTATGTATTGGAAAGCGCCTGCACTATTTAGTATTCAGTATTTATTTGTGTGACTTGGAAAGTCTCATTCGCCGCATCTTTAAAGTGGGGATAATCATAGTCCTGACCACAGGGAGTAATGAAGATTTGGTTGAAGATTTGGTTGGACAATGCATGAAAGCAATTAGCAGACTGCTTGCCACTTAGTAAGACTTCAATAAATGGTAGCTGCTGTTGTAATTATAATAATATACAATATATGATATGTTGATAACTGTTAATACTGTTGTTTATCCATTTTCTCAAACAGAGCATGCACCAAGCCACCTTCCTGAAAAGGGACTTAACACAAGAGGTCAAAGCCAGCCCAGGATGACAGACAAAGGGGGTCAGACTTGGCCAGCACCTGAGTCTCATCACAAGAAAGGACAAGTCAAGCCCCCATGCCAAGCAGCCCAGCCTCTGTTCAGCCTTACCAGCCCCCGGGCTCCTTGGAGACATTGTGGATGAGAGCGCCACGGCAGAAGCTCAGCTCATCGCTTCGCTTGGCTTTGTAGTCATACAGAGCTTTCACGGTTCTCTGAGGCTTTCAGGGAAAACAAGAAGGAAAAGGTCAGGCCAGGGACAGGAGGGGAGGGAGGCGGCTGCGTTCCCAGGCACCATTTGGTTCTTCTCACTGAGGAGCAGGAGGCTTCAGGCCAAGGTGACAAAGTCACCTGCTGGAGAGGGACTGGCATTGCAAAGAATCCAAGACCCCAAAAAGTCAGTAGGGAGTGAAGGAGAACTGACCTAGTCAGAACCAAGAGTACCTGGGTTGAGATTAAGGATTAAGGGTGAGGGGTTAGGAGTTAGGGTTTAGCTGGGGTTAGGGTTAGAGTTCAGGCTTAGAGTTTGGGTTAGAGGTTAGGGTTTAAGGTTAGGCTTAGGGTTAGGGTGGGAGTGACCCTCTATTGTAGTAACACCATATTGCTCTATTTCCTCAACAAAGAAAGGATATGCCTTGTAGATTAAGCCAAGACCGTCATCACAGTGCCTGTGCTCAGCAAGCCTCCCAGAAGTTTAAGGGCAACCCCATTCTTCCTGCCTGTCCTGAGGGCCTCACTGCTCTTTTCCTGTAGGTCAACAATCCCCTATCTACATTCCTGCAGGACCTTGACATTTTGCAAGAGTCACTGAGCTTCTCCTCCATGAAATTCATCAAAAAGTGGTCTCTGTTCACAGATCTAAGATAGAACTTCCTTGGTATAGAAATTTTCTGCAATGAATTTGTTTTCATGCCTTTTGCCTGGTGGGCATAAATGAACACCCACACGGCAAGCAAATATTAGTGGGAAAAGCTGTGACATTGTCAAATCTATTTAAATCAGTGGCTTCCTTCTCCTCCCACCCGAAGGAAATGGGAATTTCACAGGGAACCCAGTAAAACTTTTCCTCAGAACACAGGCTATGGAGTCAGATATGTAGGTTCAAATCATTGCTCTGCCTTTGAATAATAATATAAGTTTGAGTCTCTCTAATCCTCAGTTCCCCCATCTGTGAAATGGGAATTAAATTTTTATATATTTCACAGGGTTGTTAAGACTATTACATGAGATCATATGTATAATGATAAAACTGACAACAGCTTGCAATTCTTAAGTGCTAACTATAGTATAGTGAAAGCATTGTTCCAAGCCTTAAGGTATCTCCTTTAATCCTTACAACAGCCATAAAAGGTAGGTAGTTATATGATTATGCCCATTTTACAGATGAGAATACTGAGATGCAGAGACAGACAGTAACTTGCCCCACATCAACCAGCTGCTTTAAGTGGCTCAGCCCAGAACTGGATCCATCAATGTGAGTGATTGCCATAGTTCATGATGTTTCATAAGAAGCAGTGTGGGTTCTAGAAGCCCTGCCACAGGGATCAGCAGCTGGAGGCCAGAGGCTAAGCAGAGCCCTCGCCTTTCTCTCCCCCGCCTGCACACAGAGCAGCCTCTACCTGCATATCCTGCTTCAAGGATGGATATGAGGACCAGAGCCGGTCTCCAAGGCCACAGGAAGGAACACTCATCGGTTAGAGAGGTGATTTTTCTCGTCACCAAAACATCCTTCACTTCTAACAAAAGTTTTTGCTACTAAAGTCTCTTAATGCATTTCACACACAGCTCAATTTGCCCACAACTTTTCAAGATTTCATTTCTTTCTGAAATAGATCTGCATTGGCCAAGGATTATAAATTTTTAAAAAAGAAAGTCATCGCTAGATTTCAACAGAGCCCACAAGCAGGGGCCCTTCCTAAGCGAGCACTGTACACTAATCGTGTGCCACATGACCCGAAACAGAAAGTTCGCAGTTTTGAGCCGGCAGTTCTTCCTGTGCCGGCTCAAACGAAATTTCAGATGAAACCATGGCAAGGAGGAGCCAAGGGCTAAAAGTAAAATCCATCCCTACACCTGCATGAAATTACACAACAGTGTCAGGGTGGGAATATGAGATAGCAGGTGCGCTGCAAGGAGGTCAGCGAACCAAATGGAATTTATAAACACTGCGGACTCCGTCAGCGAGCAAAAAACATTTGAAAGACTTTTAATTAGAAGCATTGGGCCCAAAGGTGGCTCGTCAAACCTCAGAATTTTATCAAAACACTGTTGCATTTGGATGGAATTCTATTAACATTTTCCCTGACACTAGACTTCATATTGTCAATCATCCTTTCTTCTCAAAAAAAAAAGAGAAAACATTATTTTAGCCAGGTTTTCCAAAGTCTTCCCTTGCCCTGTTATAACTGCCAGGGGAAGAAGATGGAATCCACATCAGCCTCGTGACTCAGAAATCGTGTGAACTGGAGGTTCAGCACTTACCATGGATGGATTGATTTCACTGGGATCCACATACATTCTGCTGACATCGTAGAGGGAGTTTATATCTCTTTCCTGGAAAAAAAGAAAGAAAGAAATGGAATAATCCATGCTCCTCGAATAGCCCTTACATATAACAAGTGTTCTAGGCTTCCTTATGGTTACCTATCCTTTGATAGAGGAGTTGAAACCTCACAGAATTTTCTTATGGCCCATGAGTAGACACAGAAAGAAGCTATAAAGAAGGTCCCCAGACTTGGAAACTAACCCAAAATCAGAAAGACCCTGCCCTGGCCTGCAGCATGCCAGGCATCGTGTTCCTTTGTAAAAGCACAAATCCTAAGATCCAGTGGTGTGCTGGAGTGACCCCCCGGCTCACAAAAGCCCACTGCATACATCACTTCGTGACTCCACATTCCAGGTTCAACCACAGCACATTAACAACTTGAAACTGACCACTGACCACCATGGAAGTATTTACACCATGGAAATTGGCAAATGCTACAAACCAGTCCCTTCCCCTGCCCCGCTCAGAGCTGTTTGAACATTTACTAGCACACCACTGCCAAGATCCACCCCCACCACCTCTCTGTTCCTCTCTAACTCTTCTTTCTGTTCCCCATGTCACTTTAGGGCTTGCGGTGTGGCCACTCCTCTACCTAGAGCCACCCCTTCATTCACTTCTCCCAAGAGCCCCTTCACTGCTATCTTCCATGTTTCAGCCCACATTTCTCCCCTTTTAAGGTGGCCTTCTCTGATCTCCACTCCCACAGCATAAGGTAGTGTCCACCCCTTTTCACACCATCCTGTTTATTATATTTCATGCTACCTGAAAACATCTTAATTGTGTATATTGTCTGTCTCTCCTCTCCAGAACCTAAATTTCCCAAAGCAGATTTTGTTCCACAGTACTCCCAGTATCTAGAACAGTTCTTGGCACATGGTCAGAATGGCATACATCTCTTTTCAATAAATTAATGATCTATGTGGTAGGAATGGAGACACAGTAATCACGTCAGGTCTCTCCTGAACCCAGAACTCTCCAGTGACTCAGAGAAAAAGCCAGGGCCTTATAATGGCCTATGCGCCCCTGCATGATAAGTCACCTGTGAACCCCCGTCCTCATTTAGCTCTACCCCGGCTTGGGCTCACTTCATTCCAGCCATGCTGACTTCCTCTTAGTGCCTCCAGGCAGGCTTCTACCTCAGGACCTTGGCACATGCTATCCTCGCTTCCTCCAGAAGATACCCACATGGCTCAATCCTTTTCAGTGAGATCTTCCTATACCACCCTCTGAAAACTGTGGCCCCTTCTCCATCACTCTGTATCCCTTTATCCACCGGCCCAGTGTTTTTCTCCTTAGTGCTCATCACCACCTGGAACATGCTATGGATATTTTAAATCTCATTTGTTGCATCTCCCCAACACTACACTATAAGCAGCACAAGGGCAGGGTCTTTGTCTGTTGTGTTCAATTTGTATCCCCAGGACCTACAGCAGTATCAGACACCTGGTGAATACTCAGAGGTCTGCTGAATTCGTGAACAGATGAGGTACAACCTCAGACAAGAAATCCCACCAAATCATAAGGCAGTCCACCACCTACCATGTTGTAGCGCTCCAGGAGCTCAGGGGTCACGGGGTAGCGCAGTCTCATCTTTCGGTAGAGTGAATGCTTCTCGTAGTAACTGACGAGCTCCACCAGGCTCTCAAAATAGGCGGAGGTCCCCAGCACAAAGTGCCGGCCATCCCGGTTGATTCGACAATGCTTCACCTTGCCCCTAGCCCTGGAGGGGGAAGAACACAGGGTTGACATGCCAAGATCCTGGTGGCCAACCAATTTTTATACAAACCACACTGATTAGATACAACCTAGTTATCCAGTCTTAGAGAAGTGGGTAAATAAACAGGGTATAGTCCTCCTATGGAATACAAGACAACTAGAAAACAATGATGTGGGTATTTTCAAAACAGATCTAGAAGAATCTGTGTCTCAGAAGAAATATTGCCAAGTGACTCAGCAGCTCCTCTTACTTCCCCTCCTCTCCAACTACAGGACTTGACTTTAGAAGCATCCTAGGGAACTAGGTCAAGAGTAGGCCACGTCTGGCCCACCACCTGCTTTTATAAATAAAGCTTTATTGAAACACAGCCACAGTTCATTTGTTTATACATTGTCTGGGGCTGTTTTCACACTGTAACAGCAGAGTTGCGTAGCTGCAACAGAGACCATATGGCCTGCAAAAACTAAAATATTCACTCTGTGGTCCTTCACAGAAAATGTTTGCAATCCCTCCCATCAAAATTATTAAATCTTGTCTTCAGTGACTCAACTAGTAAAAACAGTGACTTTTTTTTCAAAAAAGAAGTAAGTCTTTCATTCCTTCATCTGTTTGAAACATGAAGCAGAAAAAAATCCAAACAGAAGAGCCTGCTTGGTTTTATTAGCTTTTATCAAGACAGAAACATCTGGAAAAATATTTTTGACCCTAAGTTTACAGCCAAGAGGGTCTTTTTTAAAACATCTACCCCATGGCCGGGCGTGGTGGCTCAAGCCTGTAATCCCAGCACTTTGGGAGGCCGAGCCGGGCGAATCACGAGGTCAGGAGATCAAGACCATCCTGGCTAACATTGTGAAACCCCGTCTCTACTAAAAAATACAAAAAACTAGCCAGGCGAGGTGGCGGGCACCTGTAGTCTCAGCTACTCGGGAGGCTGAGGCAGGAGAATGGCGTAAACCCGGGAGGTGGAGCTTGCAGTGAGCTGAGATCTGGCCACTGCACTCCAGCCTGGACGACAGAGCCAGACTCCGTCTCAAAAAAATAAAAAAATTTAAAAAATTAAAAAATCTACCCCAAATAGCCAAAGCAATTTTGAGCAAAAAATAACAAAGCTAGACATATAACACTATCTTACTTCAAAATATACTACAAAGCTACAGTAATAAAAATAGCATGACAGGCCAGGTGTGGTGGTTCACGCCTGTAATCCTAGCACTTTGGGAGGCCAAGGTGGGTGGATCACGAGGTCAGGAGATCGAGACCATCCTGGCTAAAATGGTGAAACCCCCCTCTACTAAAAATACAAAAAAATTAACCGGGTGTGGTGGTGGGTGCCTGTAGTCCCAGCTACTCGGGAGGCTGAGGCAGGAGAATGGCATGAACCTGGGAGGCGGAGCTTGCAGTGAGCCAAGATCGCACCACTGCACTCCAGCCTGGGTGATAGAGCGAGACTCCGTCTCAAACAAACAAACAAAAAAATAGCATGACAGTAGCATAAAAACAGACACACAGACCAGTGGAACAGAATAGAGAACCAAGAACCAAGAAATAAATCCATGCATTTACAGTCAACTGATCTTCAATAAAGATGTCTAGAACCCACCAGGGGGAAAGGACAGTCTGTTAAATAAGTAGGGTTGGGAAACCTAGATTTAAAATATTTAAAGAATTTCAAAAGAAATTCCGATATAGAAATAATAAAGATTTCAAAAGAAGAAAATTAGACCCTTATCTCACACCATAAACAAAAAAAGCAGCTCAAAATGGATTAAAGACTTAAACATAAGACCTGAAACTGTAAAACTACTAGAAAAAAACAGAGAAGAAAACCTCCATAACATTGATCTGGGCAATCATTTTTCAGATATGACCCCAAAAGCACAGGCAACAAAAATTGAAAGTGGACAAATGGGATGATATCAAACTAAGAGGCTTCTGCATAGCCAAGGAAAGAATCAACAGAGTAAAGAAACAACCTACAGAATGGGAAAAACATCTGCAAACTGAACATCTGGTAAGGGGTCAGTATCGAAAATATATAAGGAAGTCAAACAGCTCAATAGTAAGAAAATAAATGACCCAATTTAAAAATGGACAAAGGCCAGGCATGGTAGCTCACACACACCTGTAATTCCACCACTTTGGGAGGCCAAGGCAGGCAGATCACTTGAGGTCAGGAGTTCGAGACCAGCCTGATCAACATGATGAAACCCTGTCTTTACTAAAAATACAAAAATTAGCTGGGCATAGTGGCAGGTGGCAGGTACCTGTAATCCCAGCCACTCTGGAGGCTGAGGCATGAGAATCACTTGAACCCAGGAGGCGGCGGTTGCACTGAGCTGAGATCATGCCACTGTACTCCAGCCTGGATGACAGAGTGAGACTCTGTCTCAAAAAAAAGGACCAAAGGATCTGAACAGACATTTCGCAAAAGAAGATACATAAATGGCCAACAGTTACATAAAAAATATTCAACATCACTAATCAGAGAAATGCAAATTAAAACCACAATGAGATGTCACCTCACACCTGTTAGAATGGCTATTAGCTAAAGGAGAAGTGCTGGTGGGGATGTGGAAAAAAGGGGACACCCGCACCTGGTGGGTGGGACTGTAAATTAGCATAGCCACTATGGAAAACAGTACAGAGGTTCCTCAAAAAATTAAAAATGGAACACCGTGGGATCCAGCAATCCCACTTCTGGGTATACATCCGAAGGAAAGGAAATCAGTATGTCAAAGAGAAAGCTGTACTCCCATGTTCATAGCACCATTCACCATAGCCAAGGTGTAGAATCAGCCTGCCCATCAACAGATAAATGGATAAAGAAAATGTGGCACATTTACATAATGGAATACCGTTCAGCTTCAAAAAAGAAGGAAAGCCTGTCATTTGCAACAACATGGATGAACCTGGAGGACACTGTGCTGTGTGAAATAAGCCAGGCACAGAAAAACAAATACCACATGATCTCGTATGTGAAACCTAAGAAGATTTAAACTCACGGAAGTGGACAGTAGAATGGTGGTTACCAGGGTCTGGGGCAGGGGGAGGTAGGGAGTGTTGGGGTTATGTTGGTCAAAGGGTAGGAAATTTCAGTTAGACAAGAGGAGTAAGTTCAAGAGATCTATGGTACAGCATAGGGACTACCGTCAGTAACAAAGTCCGGGCCGGGCATGGTGGCTCCCACCTGTAATCCCAGCACTTTGGGAGGCCAAGAGGGGTGGACGACCTGAGGGCAGGAGTTCAATACCAGCCTGGCCAACATGGTGAAACCCCGTCTTTACTAAAAACACAAAAATTAGCCAGGCTTGGTGGTGCATGCCTGTAATCCCAGCTACTCAGGAGCCTGAGGCAGGAGAATCGCTTGAACCCAGGAGGCAGGGGTTACAGTGAGTCAAGATCATGCCGCTGCACTCTAGACTGGGTGACAGAGCAAGACTCCGTCTCAAAAACAAACAAACAAAAAGTCCTGTATTCTTGAAAATTGCTGAGGGTAGACTTTAAGTCTCATCACACACTAAAGAAATGGTTAAGTATGTGTGGTAGTGCATATGTTATCATCTCAATTTAGCCATTTCACCACGTATACATATTTCAAAACACTATGTTGTACATGATACATTTATACAGCTTTTATTTGCCAATTAAATAAATTAGGAAAAGCATCTAGGTGCATAGTTTCTATGGGCATACTACTTATTTAACAATTTTGCATGGCAGGGAAAAAATCAAGACAAGACATTTTTTGCACTGTAGAGAGACTTTTTATTGTTTTCAAATATTTATTTCTATTTTAAAAAGGATTTCCAGTCTTTTGAAAAATACATATATATTCCTTTAAGCCATTTCTTCAAAAAGACCTGTGAAAAAAAAACGCTAGAAGACTTCTGCTTCAGTGGTTTATTTGCAGTGATATTTTATTAAATATTTATTCCTTCTAAAAAAAACAGAGGAAAGAAAAGAAACACTGCTGAGTAGAAAAGCTGCAGAATGATCCCATTTGTATTTTTCAAAAATAGAACAAAAATACCCACACACAAAATGGCACCATATATTTTCCATAGGCACAGACATGCATAAACACGTATTTATTTTTTAAATGTCTGAATGGACACACCAACTAGCAAACTGTGCTTTCTACCAGGATATCTCTACTGAGATTAGAAGGACCACAGGGGGCTTTAGCCTTCAGGGTAATGTCTTAATTTTTTATAGAGAGAATATATTCCTGCAATATTCATGTAATTAAAAATTAACTTTACCACTTTTCATAAGAGCTTCTCAGGGCAGGGTGGCTCTGGGGTACCGAGGTAGAGAGCCGAGGGCAGGTTCCGGCTCCTTCCACAGGGAAACCCTAAGCCTCAGTTGCCCGATCTACAGCATCAGGGATCCACATCCCCTGTCTCATGGGAGCATTAGGACCGTCGTCTATTAGGTGATTCGGGGTAAGCCCCCCGCACTGTGTCTGGCACTCAGGCAGGACTCAGTAAGTGAATGGTTTGGAAAACATAACTGAAATCAACCCACAACTAACTTCCCTGGGAGAAAAGAGAATCAAAAGGGGAGATGGGAACAGGGCTGGAATACGAGTTGCATCTCCCAACCTCCTGGAGCTTGGATGCCACAGCCACAGCCTGAGGTCTCAGCTTCACTGAGAAAGCCCTCATCCTGCCCATGAGATGCCTTCCACCAAGCACAACCAGGCACCAACTCAACACTTCCTTTGAGGATTTGAAAGCAGGTGTTTCTCCTCTCCTGGGGAAATCTATCCAGAAGTTTAGTACACATCCCCAGAGCCCAGAACAGTGCCTGGCACCGGAGAGGTCCTTTACAAATATGTAGAGGGCAAGGAGGAGAAGAAGTTCCTCCAGACCTGTGTTCCCCCACTGCCTGGTCCAAATTCCCCATCCATTCCCCTGGAGGGCCCCTACTCACCCTCCACCACCCTGCCTGACCAATCCCTCTGCAGCACTCACCACAAAATATTACACTGATTTCCTTATGTGCTCAAACCTCCTCAGTGCTTCTCAATGAAGGACAGTGACGCTTCACCCCAAACCCTGACCACAGAGGGTTTGAAAAAGAGTATGTCCCAGGGCAGGGATGAGGGTGGTATTTTTTATTGTTACAATGACTTAGGGTCCCAGATAGACATGCAGTGGGTGGAAACCAGGGAAGTTCAACATCCCAACACAACAGGATCAGTCCTCACACCCCTCCTCTTTGAGAAACACTGTGGGGACAGAGCTTCCATGACAGTGGGCGGTGGGGGAGGTGGGGAGCTGCCATCCTTGCTGATTGGTTCATTGAGCCCGCAATCACCAACCACCAACTACATCCCAGCCAATGTGACATAAGCAGGAACAGGTCAAAAACAAGAAATACTTGGAGTAAGGCGATGTCTCATCCCTGCCAGACCATTAGCCTGAGACAGCAAGGGCTGGGCTGTTTTTATCACTCCTGCGTTTCTGGAGCCCAGCACAGGGCCCAGCACACAGTAGGTGTTCTCCGAACATCTATTAACTCCTAAAAAATAAAAACTTCCATTCTCAAGACACCTCCAATCTCACAGGGAAGACAGGCTCACGAACTGAATGGGTCATGTATGTAAATCAGGCGATCAACCTGAGGACCCACCCAACCTCTTCATCCACATGGTCCCATTGAAGTGACCCCAACCCCATCCCCAGACGGCCCGTCAGAATCATGCCACCTAGCTCAGGGAAGGGGCTATCCTTTCTGCCGGACACTGTCCTGGCTGAGACAGAAGCTGACGGAGAGTAACGCCAGCATGCACACACAGGTGGCATCCCGACCATGGTCAGGCGAGGCCCCGACCCGGGTGTGTCAGAGCTGTCTCACCCCTTGAGCACCTCAGTTGCAGCCGGTTGAGTTTAGTTGCCATCACTTGCACAGTATGACAGCACAGTGGGAGTGCCAACACCCCACCTGGGGCCTGGCACACAGCAGGCCTTCAATCCATGCACAGCAGACTGAACACACCTCCTCCCTATCCAGGCTGAGGAGGCACCACCAAGAGGTTTGGGGGAAAGAGCAAAGGGCAGAAGCAGCAATGCTGAGAAGCCCAGGTCGCCCTCTTGGGAACACAGAGTACAGAAGAGCCATGCTGGTGGGAGGCTGCCCTCTGGCTGGAGCCAGCACACAGTAGGCCCTCAGTAAACTGCAGTGATAATGACCGTCACCACGGTCCCCAGGGAGGTGGCTCAGGCACAGTGGTGCAGGCAAGGAGGGAAGAGAAATCCAAACGCCCAGAGGGCAGCCTGGCAGGGTCGTCAGGGGATGGGACCAGGGCACAGGGAATGGGGAGAGGAGTGGGCAGGGGCAAACCACACCCCCCACAGCAGCTGCCATGCAGCTGGAACCACCACGCCCACGTGAAACACAGGCCCAGAGTGTTCACTGCCTCCCATTTTTCACAAGAAGCAATCTCTGAGTTTTTCAGTGAAATTTCTCAGTTTTTCGCATCAGTGTACAAAAGACGCCCGCAGGCCTGATTTGGCCCCCAAGCCTCTGGCTGGAGACTCTGGAGTGAAGAGTTTAGACTTTGGAGACGAATAGGCCTGCATCTGAACCTCAGACTCAGCTGACTATGAGGCTGTGTGACTCCAGGCAGGTCACTTAACCTCTCTGGGCCTGTTTCCTCCCTTGTAATAACTAGACCTCCCTCTCACAGGCTGTAGCAAAGGATTCAATCAGATGAGGCCTCGAAGGCAGCCCAGTGTCTAGAACACAGTTAGGAACTCAACATATGGCAGACGGTTACCACTGTAAGAATATACAGGGAAACCCTGGTGCTGGGGAGACGGAGGGACAGTATGCTACACGGAGTCTGAGTCATTCCTCCACTCCTTGTCATTAGTGAAAGTGGGGGAATCTGGTGTTTTGGGGTAAAATTAGAGAACCACAGGCCTAGAGGTGGTTGGACAGCAGCTGCAGATGGGAGGAAACAGATCTATATCATCACAGGCCTAGGTTGTCTGGGTTCGAATCCCACCCTCCACCACTTACTGGCTGCCTGCTTCAGCAAGTTACTTAATCTTGCTGTGCCTCAGTTTCCTCCTCTGAGAAATATGGATCATGGTCATGTTACTGGAAGCCAAAGTGAGTTACTACAGGGCATCCTGCCTGGAGAACACAGACTGTGCCTGGCACGCTGGAGCGCACATCCTCGCAGCGGCTTTTGCTGTAATTGTTGTTGTTGTCGCTGATGCTCGGGGTGGGGTGGGGGGGGTTCATGGGGGGACACTGCAGGTGAGCCCACACCTGAAATTCCCCCTTGTCTCTCCACACCTGTCCTTGCCAAGCCCCTGTGGAGGGCGTGTGCCTCCCACCCTCGCACCCACCTGAAGGTGATGGCGTAGGAGTCGCTTCCCTCTCGCTTCCGGATCAGGAAGGCTCCGTCCCGGGGGATCCTCATCAGCATGTCCTCTGCCTCTCCGCGGCTCAGGCTCTCATAGTACCACCTGCAGCACAGGGCCAGGGAAAACGACCAGGTGAGTGGCCTCCAGGCTGTCAGTGGGCCACCCGCAGAGGGCAAGATAACAGTGCCAGTGACACCTGGAACCTGGCCCTGGAAATGACCATGGAAATCACACAGTGGGCTTCCCCAGCCAAAAACACCTCAGAAAATAGCAATTTGTAAAAAGAACAGTGGGAGACCCTGTGGATCTGTTTCAAGCCCAAAATAATACACTGGGCCAGGCACAGTGGTTCACACCTGAAATCCCAGCACTTTGGGAGGCTGAGGCGGGAGAATCACTTGGGGTCAGGAGTTTGAGACCAGCCTGGCCAATACAATGAGACCCCATCTCTATAAAAAAATAAAACAGACTGGGCACAGTGGCTTATGCCTGTAATCCCAGCACTTTGGGAGGCCAAGGCAGGCGGATCGCTTGAAGCCAGGAGTTTGAGACCAGCCTGACCAACATGGTGAAACCCCATCTCTACTAAAAATACAAAAATTGGGCCAGGCACAGTGGCTCACGCCTGTAATCCCAGACTTTGGGAGGCCGAGGCAGGTGGATCATGAGGTCAGGAGACTGGGATCATCCTGGCTAACAAGGTGAAACCCCATCTCTACTAAAAATACAAAAAAGTAGCCAGGCATAGTGGCATACACCTGTAGTCTCAGCTACTCGGGAGGCTGACGCAGGAGAATCACTTGAACCCAGGAGGCGGAGGTTACAGTGAGCCGAGATCATGCCACTGCACTCCAGCCTGGGTGGCAGAACGAGACTGTCTCAAAAAAAAAAAAAATTGGCCAGGCCCAGTGGCATGAGCCTATTATCCCATCTACTCAGGACACTGAGGCACAAGAATCTCTTGAACCTGGGAGGCAGAGGTTGCAGTGAGCTGAGATCATGCCGTTGCACTCCAGCCTGGGACACAGAGCAAGACCCGGTCTCAACATAAATTAATTAATTAGTTGGGCACAGTGGCACACACCTGTAGTCCCAGATAGGAGGCTGAGGTGGGAGGATCACTTGAGCCCAGGAGCTCGAGGCTGCTGTGAGCCCTGATTGTTCCGCTGCACTCCAGCCTGGGCAACAGAGCAACACCCAGTCTCAAAAAATTGATTTCTCTTCATCCACCCAAGCAGCCCAAAGCCGAAAAGTCAAGTGCCTAGGGAGGCACAGTTATTACCACGTGTCTCAGAAAACTGAAGATAGCACAGCAGGAGTTTCACAGGATTTTGGGTAGTTTTCGGGTTATTTCTTAACATAAGAAATAGCAAGTTTTAAGAGGCAATCCATAGGAAAATTTGACAGAAAAAGTGGGGAAAAAAAAAAAAAGTTGCTATAAGTAATACGGCCTCCTCGGAAATGTACATGTTAGCAGTTTTCTGCCTAAAAATTGTTTTTTCTTTATTCCCGGGATTTGTTGACCCTTCGCAAGGCCTACCTTGATACTCATTTCACTAGACAAAAAAATCAAAGGGAGACTTTTACCATCATTGTTTTCTTGTTCATTTTCAGAACAAACAGGAAGGAGCTCTGAAAGGTAGGAGGATATCCTGGGCCAGAATGACCCTCTGAAAATCAAAGCCCAAAGCCTCGGGGCTATGAAGACAAAGTAGAAGAAAGGGAAAGGAGAAAAGAGAGGGGAGGAAACAAAGAAAAGAGAAAAGGACACAGCTCATGGTGCCAGGAATTTGGAAACCCGCCACCTCGGCAATTTTGAGACCCTGATGGGCCCAGGCGAGGGTGTCCTGGGGGTCTGGCCCGGCTGAACCACTAGGCCAGCTTCTATGCCTAGAGGAGCTAACCCGACCACCGCCTGCCTCCTGCTCCACTCTCAGACACGTACGGCTTGGACTCGTGGGGGTTGGGGTTGGGCACAGGGTCCGTGAGCCGCAGCTCGAACTCGGCGCAGCGCAGGTGCGTCTCGCGGTAGTGCTGGATGAGGGCGTAGATGCTGCTGAAGGTGAGGTTGTCAGTCAGGTAGTACTTCAGGGTTCCACCCTCCGTGGTGGAACGGATCCGGCAGTGCTGGACCCGGCCTGACCGCCTGCGGGGAGAGGACACCATCAGGGCTGGGAGAACACAGGCCAGGCCACTGTGGCAGCCAGGGCCTCCGAGGTGGGGACATCATATGTGGCCACACAACCTTCCCTCTGCTCCTAGAACAGACACAGGAGGCTGGGCGCAGTGGCTCACACCTGTAATCCCAACACTCTGGGAGGCCGAGGCCGGTGGATCACCTGAGGTCAGGAGTTCGAGACCAGCCTGGCCAACACAGTGAAATCTCGTCTCTACTAAAAATACAAAAATTAGCTAGGCATGGTGGCGCATGCCTGTAATCCCAGCTACTTGGGAGGCTGAGGCAGGAGAATCACTTGTACCCGGGAGGTGGAGGTTGCAGTGAGGTGAGATCGCACCACTGCACTCCAGCCTGGGTGACGGAGCAAGACTCCATCTCAAAAAAAAACAAAACAAAAAACAAAAACGGATGCAGGGCCTTAGCATAGGCTAGACCCTCAGCCTGGATTCTAGAACATTCTACCTACTTCCCACACCCCACCCCACCCCCATCCCCCTCTTATCTATATAAATGCTTCTCTAGAGCCAGGATGCCTGGATTCAAATCCCAGCTCTGCCACATATGAGCTAACTGTCCTGGAGCAGGTCACCCGTCCTGAGCCATGGTGTATTACTACCCTAGCGGTCTGACAGGGATGATAACAGTGTCCACCTCAAAGAGGCATCCTGAAGAGCAAACGAGACCACACACACGAGGTGTCTGGAATACTGCCCGGCACATGGTAAGCATCATTTAGGTGTCCAGTATTATTTGTGTGTTATTAGTATTCTAATTTTCAGCCAGGTGCAATGGCTTACAGCTGTAATCCTAGTGCTTTAGGAGGCTGAGGCCAGAGGACTGCTTAAGCTGAGTTCAAAACCAGCCTGGGCAACGTAGTGAGACTCCAGCTCTACAAAAAGTTTAAAGATTATCCAGGTGTCGTGGCATGTGCCTGTAGTCCCAGCTACTTAAATGGCTGAGATAGGATTGCTTGAGCCAGGAGTTTGAGGCTGCAGTGAGCCGAGATTGCACCATTGTACTACAGCCTAGGCGACAGAGCAAGACCCTATCACAATCTTTTTTTAAGTGACAGAATTATAATTTCCCTCTTTCAGGTCTTGTCTTCTTTTAGGAATGTTTTCCAGACCGTTCCCCACATCGTGGCATCAGCGCCTTCTCTCACAGACTTTCATAAATCCCAACTCACATTATACCCCCCCAATAAAGGGAAGGATGTCCCTTTATCTTGCCTTGTTTCACTGCACTCATCACAACTATACTTGCATATCATCTGAGTGACTACTTTTTCATTGCCCATCTCCTTCGAAAGACGCTAATGTCCAGGAGGACAAAGACACTGTCTGTCTGGTGTAAGTACTGCACCTAGCCCAGGGCACACCCTCAAGAAGTATCTTTTAATGCACTGACACATGGATAAGTGAGTGGATGAATGAATGCACAAGCTCATCACAGCCTATGACGGCTTCAAAAGGACAGCTATAGCGTCCCCCTTTTACGGAGGAGACGGAGATGCTAGAAAGCTGTCTGAATCATCCAGAGCTGCAGGACCCACTCCAGGGCCAGGACCGGGGGAAGTGAGTGAGGCCACATCATCTAAGTGTAGGGTTAGATCTTGTCTTAGTCTAAAATGTTCGTATTTTGCTCGTCACAGACGTTTTTGCATTACTTTTGATTTTTTAAAAGATTGCCCTGAAATTTCATTAATCTGGATTACTGTGCCCAGGTGAGTCACACCCACCTCACTCTTGTCCCAGCCTAGAAGAGCGTGACAAATGAAACCTGGGATTCAGGTCCCAGCCTGCCCAATTCCTGCCTGAGCTAGAACCACTTGCCACCCTGCCTCATCCGGCCGGCGTGGAGGAGAAGGCTGGTGTTCCCTGGGTCGGGGGCATTACCAGAAAGACAGGGTGTAGTCATTGGGGAAGGTCTCGCTCTCCCGAACCAGGAAGGTGCCGTCCTTGCCCCCCGTCTCCATGCAGTATTCCTGCAGCAACTTCTCGGCACTCGTCCTCTTCTCCACCTTCTTGTGGAACCATTTCTCCCCAAAATGTAGCTCTGTAGGGGGTATATCCTGGGCCGCAAAGAGAGGGGGGGTTTCTGAAAGCCTTGGACCAAACCCCAGCATCACTTGACAGGTCCTTCTGTCTCACCCTGACCCAGGGCACCAGATAGCACAGACAGGCCAGTCTCAGCTGGTCCCCACCCGAAGGGGTCTGGCAAAATAGGACCCACTACCCTCCTCCGCCTGCCTCCCACTCCTGAGAGCCCTCATTCATGGTGGCCTCCTGGCATCCTCAGACATGGAGTGAGGGGTTCCTAGCATAGCCCTCCATTCTGTTCTGTGGGAAGTCTGAGAGCCATGATGCCCTAGGGGCTGCAGAAATAAACAGCGGGAAAGATGACCACAGCTGGAGGAGAGGGCAACAGGAAAGCCTGGGACCAAGCCAGAGTACCGGCCTCCATCTAAGGCCAATCAGGCCCTTTAGAGAGCAGGAGAGCATCTTGAACCTCACTGGTTAAAGCACCTGCAGCAGCCAGCCAATCAGAGACAAGCCAACCAGGCCATGGTACCCAGAGTAGCAGCAGCTTCTTCAGCTGAGCATCCCCTTGCCAGTTGAAGCCAGAGAATCCAGGAGGTCCCGGGGGCTGGCTGGTCCTTGTGGGCCCCTGGGGACCTCCTCCCTATGTGGCTAGGGTGCCCCCTACCTGGGGCACTTCCTCCTCCGTAGTCTGTTCAATGTCATCACTGAAGGACAGCTTGGCATCGGCAACGGCGCAGTAGTGCCGAGTCCATTTCTAGAAAGTGAAACAGGTATTAGTGCCCCCCAAGTCCTCTACTTCATCAACTCTGGAGCCCAGGAGCCCTGCAGGGCGTCACCCCGGCATCTGCTGTGGATGTGCTTTTCCCAGTTTCACAGACATTTATGGTGACTTCTCTGAGTTCAATTCTCTTCAAGGCATTTCTTTTTTAAAACATTGATGCGTTTTGAGCTTCTTTTAGTATTTGAGCTTCTTTTTGGACTTTTTAAATCCATGTGTCTAAGGTAGGTACAACTCCTCATCATTTTCTTTTCTATTTCATCTACCTTTTAAGACTAACAGGATTTTCTGTCCAGTTTGTCTAGAGATCTCACCTTCAATATTTACTTGTCGCTTAATGACTTTTTTTTTTTTTTTTTAAACTGGTGAAATTTAGTCTCTGGTTTCACTGTAAAGTACCAGTGTTAAGTTCTTAGTTTTGGTCACTGTTTTACTGTCATGCATGATGTTAATGTGAGAGGAGGCTGGGTGCAGCGTATGCAGAAACTTTCTTTTTTTTTAATAATGTTTTTATTTTTATTTTTTTATTATACTTTAAGTTCTAGGATACATGTGCACAATGTGCAGGTTTGTTACACACATACACATGTGCCACGTAGGTGTGCTGCCCCCCCCTTTTTTTTTTTTTGAGACAGAGTCTCCCTCTGTCACCCAGGCTGGAGTGCAGTGGCTCAATCTCAGCTCACTGAAACCTCCGCCTCCCAGGTTCAAGTAATTCTCCTGCCTCAGCCTCCCGAGTAGCTTGGACTATAGGCACGTGCCACCATGCCCAGTTTATTTTTGTATTTTTAGTAGAGACGGGGTTTCACCATGTTGGCCGGGATAGTCTCGATCTCCTGACCTCATGATCTGCCCGCCTCAGCCTCCCAAGGTGCTAGGATTATAGGCATGAGCCACCGTGCCTGGCCCAACTTAATTCTTTACTTAAATATAGCCATTTTTGGCTGGTCACAGTGGCCCATGCTTGTAATCCTAGCACTTCAGGAAGCCGAGGTGGGCAGATCACTTGAGATCAGGAGTTCAAGACCAGCCTGGCCAACATAGTGAAACACCATCTCTACTAAGACTACAAAAATTAGTAGGGCACGGTGGTGCGCGCCTGTGGTCCCAGCTACTCAGGAAGCTAAGGCACGACAATCACTTCAACCGGGAGGTGGAGTCTGTGGTGAGCTGAGATGGTACCACTGTACTCCAGCCTGGGCAATGGAGCAAGACTATCTAAAATAAATAAATAATAAATATTGCCGTTATGTTTATATCTAGGATATAAGAAGACATGTAAAAACATACTCAAAAATGGATATACACATTAGGTAAAGGGATAGAAGCAGCATTACAGCCTGAAAAATAAGGCTTCTGGTGCAACAACTCTGGATTGGAGGACACGAGGGAGTCAGGGCAACCTAAGCGCACGCGGCAACAGGTACTGGATCCCGAAACAGGAAAACAGCCTGAATGGACACAGTGGTAACACTGAAATACAGTCTATAAACTAATTATTAGTATTGTACCAATGTTAATTTCCTGATTGCACTAATTATACTGTGCTTATGTAGGATGTTATTAATAACATTTGGAGAAGCTTGGTAAAGCTAGATGGGAATATCCCATACCATTTGTATGTGTATGTAAATATATTATATTGAATCTAGAATTATTTCAAAGTAAAACATTAAAAATGCAAAAGGAAAATAAAGTTGGCCAGGTTTAGCGGCTCATGCCTATAATCTCAGCACTTTGAGAGGCCAAGATGGGAGGATTGCTTGAGCCCAGGAGTTTGAAATCAGCCTTGGCAACGTGACTAAATCCCGTCTCTGTAAAAATACAAAAAATTAGCCAGGCATGGTGGTGCGCACATGCAGTCCCAGAGACTCAGGGAGGTCGAGGTGGAAGGATCACTGGAGCCTGGGAGGTCAAGGCTGCAGTAAGCCGCGATCACACCACTGCACTCCAGCCTGGGTGACAGAGTGAGACCCTGTCCCACAAAATACATAAAGTTTAAGTAGGAAGGTAAATTTGCATGGCAAAAACTCACTTGACTAAAAATGGGAAAGACAAGCATATTCTCAGAGCTCCCTGCAAGGCTCCAAGAAGCAGCTGCGAGGGGGGTGGCCATAGTGGCTATGGGAAGGGACCAAGGCCCACCTGGTCAATGGAATCCCACATGTACAGCTCTCCCTGTTGCTTGTGCTCATCCTTCTTGTCCTCCACGTTGACATCCACGTCGCCTCGGGGACCCAGTTTCTTATGCTGAGGGGAAAACATACACATAGACTGTCTCCATGGAGACCCAAGTTTAGGTCTTCGAGCCAGCAGCCTTCATCTGCCTCTTCCCACCCAGGGCCTTTGCACTGCCTGTTCTTGCTGCCCGGCTTCCCTCTTAGTCTGTTCAGCTCTCCAGGTTACCCTGAACAAGGAGGAGGACCTTTCCTTATAGTTTCATCTAAATATAGTCTATACTGGCCGGGCACAGTGGCTCACGCCTATAAGCCCAACACTTTGGGAGACTGAAGCAGACAGATCACTTGAGCTCAGGAGTTCAAGATCAGCCTGGCCAACATGGCGAAAACCTGTATCTACAAAAATATAAAAATTAGCCAGGCGTGGTGGCACGCATCTGTAATCCCAGCTACTCTGGAGGCTGAGACAGTAAGATTGCTTGAACCTGGGAGGTAGAGGTTGCAGTGAGCTGAGACTGCACCACTGCACTCCAGTCCGAGCAACAGAGTGAGACTCTGTCCCAAAAATAAATAAATGAATAAAAATAGCCCACACTCCCTTTCCCATCCTGCCACTCTCTAGCCCCAGGCCTGCTTTATTCGTCTCACATTTCTAGCCCTACACACACCATGCGATTGTCTTCTGTCTTCACGGCTAGAATATAAGCCCAATAAGGGCAGGGATGTTGTTTTGCTTCCTGTTGAGTCTCTTGTGCTAGAAGAGCACTTAGCAGACAGTAAGTGCTCTGTTGATACTCGGTGAATACGCAACACCCCCTGTGCCCAGCCTTCTCCAGCACACAGAGGGAAAGGCAGGCTGCAGTCCAGAGGGAACAGGCTGGGCAGGATGGCAGGAGACCTGCTGGGGATTAGACTAAGGCGACCTGGGTGTAAACAGCACTAAAGCTATTCGACCAGCTGTGTGACCCCGGGCAAGTGACTACACTTCTCTGAGCCTCAGACTTCTCATCTGCAAGATTAAGATAGTGATGACACCTGGCCTCCCACTCAGGCAAGCATCTGTAAGTTGAGGGTCATGTAACCTAGTGAAGGAGCTCAGGATGGACAGTCAGACCCAGATTTGAATTCAAGGCCTATTACCTTACTGGCCATGTGACCTTGGCTGAGTCACCATCAGAGTCTCAGTAATCTGTCTCATAAAATGGGGATGTAGCAGCCCCTGTGGGATCCCGTAAGTCAAAGAACGTGAAAGATAAATGTCCACAGTGAAGCAGGACCTCAGTGTCCCGCTGTGAATGGCAGCATGATACATGATACAGGCATGGGAAAGCAGGCTTTGAGGGCAGACCACCTTGACCTTGAATTATTTCCTCAGCAAATACTAAATGTGTGACCCTGGCTGAGCTATTTAACCTCTGAATCTCAATGTCCACATCTGTAAAGTGGGCAAGGGCTGAGGTTTTTCGTCCTGCAGTGTCGTGACGAGACTGAGGAAGAAGATACATATGACCATGCGTAGCCCAGTGCATTGTACAAGGTGACTGGCCAATGCCATTTTCACCTCATTTCTTGAAATAGAAAGAAGTAAGCCACAGCATATCAGGTGTGGGGCAGAGGGTGCTCTTAAAGGGGCCTTCAGTACTTTGCATCCTAGAACAAGAGCTGAAAAATCCCTGGGAACACGCAGCAAGCCATCCTAATGGAAACAGAAGGAATGAGCTGGGAGCAGGGAAGAGCAAATGCAACCAGGCTGCCCTGAAGAGTCACCAACCAGGTGCTTGAGAAGCCATGGACCCTCCATGGCCAAGCTCCCTCCACCCCTCATCCTGCCAGGAAGCATCCCTTGGCATCTCCGAAACAACTGCCTGGGCGCAAACAGCGCGGGAGCTATTTTGTTAACTCGTGACCCTGGGCAGGTGGCTGCACTTCTCCAGGCCTCACACTTCTCATCGGCAAGGCTAAGACAATGACAGCTAATCTCCTGCTTAAGTAAACATCTGTACCTTGAGGGTCACAGTCTTGGCCAAACACTCCCTGTGCACTGACGCTCTTACCCATGGGGGTACCAACATCCCCTCCTCTGGTTCGGCTTAGCCAAAGCTCCTTGCACTGCCTGGTGTTCCTCTGTTGATGGGTTTGTCTCCCTACCAAACCATGACTTCTTGGAACATAAGGATTGTGCCCAATGTATCTTGGTGACCCAGCGACAACTGAGGGTATATGCCACATGTTGACACCACCCACACCCCTGTGCGTGCTATTCCCCCAACCTGGTAGGACATCCCCCTTTCTCTGCTTACTGCTATGGTCTGAATGTCTGTGTCCTCCCAAAATGTGTATGTTGAAACCTAATCCCCATTGTAATGGTATTTGGAGACGGTGGTTTTGGAAGATGGTGGCTGTGTCCCCACCCAAATCTCATCTTGAATTGTAGCTCCCATAATTCCCACATGTTATGGGAGGAACCCAGTGGGAGGTAATTGAATCATGGGGGCGGGTCTTTCAGGTGCTATTCTTGTGATAGTGAACACATCTCATGAGATCTGGTTTTATAAATGGGAGTTTCCCTGCACAAGCTCTCTTGCCTGCCACAGTGTAAGATGTGACTTTGCTCCTCCTTCATCTTCTGACATGACTGTGAGGCCTCCCCAGCCATGTGGAACCATGAGTCCCTTAAACGTCTTTCCTTTATAAATTACCCAGCCTTGGGTATGCCTTGGGTATGTCTTTATGAGCAGTGTGAGAATGGGTTAACACAGAAGGTGATTAGGTCATGAGGGTAGAGTCCTCATGAATGGGAATGAGAGTAGAGCTCTCATGAATGGGAATGAGAGTAGAGCTCTCATGAATGGGAATGAGGGTAGAGCTCTCATGAATGGGAATGAGGGTAGAGCTCTCATGAATTGGAATGGTGCCCTTATAAAAGAGGCCAAAGATATCTCCATGTCCCAGATGGTTATTTATTAATAAATAAATATTTAAAAATAAAAGAGGCCCCAGAGAGCTGCCTGACCCCTTTCACCATGTGAGGACACAACTAGAAGTTGACAGCCTAAAACTTGGAAGAGGACTCTCATACCAGCACCCTGACCTTGAACTTCCAGCCTCCAGAACCGTGATAAATCAGTTCCTGTTGTTTATAAGCCACCCAGTTTATAGTATTTTGTGACAGCTGCATGAACACACTGAAATACCTAGGAAACAGCTGTTTGTCCTTCCCCATGAGCTTGTGGGAATGTCAACAAAATTCACATTCGCTCCTTCCATCAAAGGCTGCCCGCTAGGGACTTCAGATTCCACCACCCTTGCAGGTAATACGACTGAGTTCTCATGCACAGAACACAAAAGGACGGGACAGCTGACTTGCTTACCAGAAACCATTTGCCCTGGACACCCTTGGACTTCCCGTGCTCTGAGCTGTAACTTGGATGTGCCTGAGACCCAGCGTCTACCACACAAACAAGGACAAAGCAAAGTCCCTTCACCATTTTTGTGTAATGAGCTCCTTCAAAATCTGGAGAAGGCTACAGACCCCTTTCTCAGAATAATAATGCATAAAATTACAAAGGAAACTCGATTATATTAAAACACGATTAAGACATTAAATAGGCCGGGCACGGTGGCTCACGCCTGTAATCCCAGCACTTTGGGAGGCTGAGACGGGCAGATCACGAAGTCAGGAGATCGAAACCATCCTGGCCAACACGGTGAAACCCCGTCTCTACTAAAAATACAAAAAACAATTAGCCGGGCGTAGTGGCGGCTCCTGTTGTCCCAGCTACTCTGGGAGGCTGAGGCAGGAGAATGACATGAACCCGGGAGGCAGAGCTTGCAGTGAGCCGAGATCGCGCCACTGCACTCCAGCCTGGGGGACAGAGTGAGACTCCATCTCCAAAAAAAAAAAAAAGATATTAAATAAATATTTGCAATACACTAATAGACGTGTTTCTTTATTAACATCTTAAATAAGATCTAGAGGCAGATCTTATAACCTCCATAATTCCAAAGTGATGACGAGCACATTATTTTGAAATATTTGCAGTAACTGTAAATGTGATAAGAAAATACTCATGACTTCCACTGGTGACAGAGCCCCCAAGTGGCTTGCTGCCAACGTTCATAATGGAAGGAAGTATTAAGTTTTATGTAAAGGTTAAACAAATAAAGATGTAATTTTTTTTCTTTTGAAGTTCACATGCCCCTCTGATTCTAACCGTGGATTCTTTGGGGGTCTGTAAAACCCCAGTTGAAAACTGCTGCCCTGAGAGATGGTAGAGCAGAATGGGGGTTCCCAGGTCCCTGAGTCACCTTGTGGGTTAGAGCTCAAAACTCACAGAACATTCTCCCTCCTGTGGGGAAGAAATAAACTCTTCTGTGCTTTAAGCCACTGCATATCTGGTCTCTTTATCCTAATAATTCAAAAATCCAAATGTTACCGTGGCATCCCTAGGCACAGATATAATCACTCATCTCCCCTGTAGCACTAGGAATAACAGCTCTATTGCTGCACTTAGCGTTTTCTAGCCACTGCCCGCCTCCCACAGAACCGGAAGCTCCAATCACAGGAACAGCACCCAGGTCGCTGGACACCTCCAGCACCTCAAATAAGGCTGACTCCGACAGAGGGTGGGGAAGGTTCACCAATGAACGAAGAAACCATAACAAGTTAGCCTTTAACATAGCACCAACTACAGGACAGGCGCAGTTCCACGCACTGTGCACGCCTTCCCTCATATGATACTCCCAGCAAGTTGGCCAGGTGGGTTCTAGTATTACCTCCCCCTGAGAATGGTGAGAACAGAGGCTCCCAAAGGTCAATGACTTTGCCTGGGGTCACAGTGTTAGTAAGGAGAGCGGGTTTGAGCCTGTAGAGTAGGACCTGGAGCAGGCCCAGTAGGACACAGAACTTGGTGAATGGGACCCAGAGCCAGGGAACCGAGCCACTGGGCTCCCTGAAAAGCTGACAGCAGCACCCGGGGTGCCTACCTTGATGATGATCTTCTCCCGCAGCTGGCTGGGCGAGGGCAGCTGGTCAGCGCTGGCCTCTGTGGGCTTCATCAGCAGCAGGTCGCCAAACACTTCCTTGAAGGTCTTGGCCATGTGACGCTGCTGCTCCACACTGCAGTGCTCCTCGATGGACAGGATCACTGGGAAGCTGCAGGGGGAAGAGGATGGGCAGCTCGGCAGGGGGAGCAGGCACCTCTGCATCTGCTCCACAGAGGGGCCAGGCCAGCTCAGCCCCGGGGCAACAGAAACTGGGTGCTGCTCGGGACACAGCCCCCACATCTGCCCTCCCAGGAGAGGACCTCACCCTGGGTGTGAGGGCACAAGCCTTGGGGCTCAGAACAGCTGCAGTCTGATTCAGGAGCTTCCCCATACCCCAGAATGCACCTTTTCTCTATTCTTTTTTTCCATCCATTCAAGTCTTTAAACTTACAGGAAAAAGTCTCTAATTTTTTTTAAATTTCAAACTTACAGAAAAGATCAAAGACAGTGCAATAAGCACCCATGTAAGCTTCACCTAGGGTCACCAACATTGACATTGTCCCACATGCGCATCTACCTACTTTAGTATATTTATTTTCCTTTATTTATAAGGTGTATTGGTTTCATATACTCTCATTCATATGCACACACAGGTAATTTACATATGTATGCATGCATACATTTATTTGTATGTGTATATATGTATATTTATATAAGGTGTCTGCATTTATAGATCATTTGTGTGTGTGTATCTAGAGTTGATTTTTCTCATCTATTGAGGTTATGGTCCATAAAGTCACCACCAACACTGATTGGCAAATACCTGAGCCATTGCTCCTAAGGAGAAATACAGGGTCAGGGCCTTTTGAGCCTGTGGTCACAACGTTTACCTCAACAGATCAAAATCTGACCTTGTTTTATGTGTGTTTCTGTTTAAAGACACCTGATTTGGTATATATTGTTGACTGACGTCGGGCTCACAGCCAGCATCACTACAATCTGTGCCTGAATGAAGCGTGTCTGACACAGATATTTTCTCCATGGGGCACATCACAGCCTTCGTCATGCTCCGGAACACCAGGCAGCCCTCAGCACTGTGCTTCGGGCCATCTGAACAGCAAAATTACCAAGAAAAAGCTCAAAAACAGGAAAAATGTGGCACTCAACAGATGGTGAGAAGGACACTTGCTGAAGCTTTCACGCTGTAGACCAGGAAGGTGAGCGCTGCTTTGCTTAACCTCAGCTGAACACATGTGCGTCACGTGAGTCTCATTTCCCACACTTTGTGCGTGTCTCAAAATGACCTCAGAGTGCTTTGAGATTTGATTAGGGGTTACAAGTCAATTTTAGCAAGTAGGTCAATTCAGTTACAGAATTCACCAATAAGGATCACCTATCTCCGTCTATATACATTCACGTATTAGTACATGCATATACATACATACATATATACGCATATATATATTTATGTGTGTGTGTGTGAACATATACACATGCACACTCCTCCTGAGGGAGCAGAAAACTCATTTAGTTATTTATTTTTACATTTTTGGAGATGGAGTTTCACTCATTGCCCAGATAAAGTGCAATGGCACGACTTCAGCTCATTGCAACCTCTGCCTCCCAAGTTCAAGCAATTCTCCTGCCTCAGCCTCCTAACTAGCTGAGATTACAGATGCCTGCCAGCATGCCCAGCTAATTTTTTGTATTTTTAGTAGAGACAGGGTTTCACCATGTTGGCCAGGCTGGTCTCAAACTCCTGACTTCGGTTGATCCACCCACCACGGCCTCCGAAAGTGCTGGGATTATAGGTGTGAGCCACTGTGCCCAGCCTATATTTGTATTTCATTTATACATGTATTTACGTTTTCTCCTGAAGCAACTGAAATGAGGCGTGGACATCCTCCACAGGTATCTCTTAAGAATAAGAACATCCCCCGACTTCACCACACCATGTCACCCCAGGAAATTATCTTTAAACAATGATCGTTAGACATATTCATCATTAGACATACTCAGATTTCCCCAGTTATCCAAGAAACATAGTGTATACATGGGGTTTTTCCCACCGAGAATCCATTTGAGGCTTGTGCATAGCATTTACTATGAAACAAAATTACTTTTTTTTTTTTCTTTTTTTTTGAGATGGAGTCTCTAGGCTCACTGCAAGCTCCGCCTCCCGGGTTCACGTCATTCTCTTGCCTCAGCTTCCCAGAGTAGCTGCGACTACAAGCACCCGCCACCACACCCGACTAATTTTTTGTATTTTTAGTAGAGACGGGGTTTCACTGTGTTAGCCAGGATGGTCTCAATCTCCTGACCTTGTGATCCACCCGCCTCAGCCTCCCAAAGTGCTGGGATTACAGGCGCGAGCCACCGCGCCTGGCCGAAAACAAAATTATTCTAAAGGTAGCTATGTCACTTCCATAAACAGGAAACCACATCACTCGATAGAAATGAAGGTAAAAGTGAAAATAAACTGACGATGATAAAAATAAAATCCTTAACCATGTTCCAGCTCAAGTAAATCATAGCCTCATCACTCCTGGGAAGCGTGGACCCAGCTCATTCCCCGATCCTGATCCACACACCCTTACTAGAACACAACAGCTAAAAAGCTTTTAGAACAAAGGCTACTAAGTTGGTATCAAAACTTAACTGGCAGCAAAATGTGAACCATTCGAATGAATGCTGCTTGCCATCATTTTTTTAAATCCCTCTTAATACCAATAAGGATGCCTTTTGCTGCAAAAACATTAATGCATTCATGTGTAATTACAGAGTTCTAGCCCTATAGGTGTTAGATGATTCCAGGCCTATTTTAACCAGAAAAAACTTTCTCTAGCCACGAATGAGATAATGTTCAATGAGTGACTATCAACTCCCAACCATAAGCACCTATGTCCTGAAAAGGAAAGCAAACTCTCAAAGCAGTGTAAGCAGCCCCTCCACAGTGTCTGTTAACACAGGCTCCTTCTATCTGCCTGGCAGAGGCTGGCACTAAGAAGGGCTAGGGCCCTATGGGGGAGAACACTGCGAGGCAGACATCATATGCTTTCATTGAAAGGTTTTTGCCAAGTGGGAAAAGACGTCCGTAATTTCATCGTCTCAGAGCAACACCTCCACCCAGCTCGAGGGACATCTGCGATAAATGCAATAAAAATGACCACTCAGACTGGGCACGGTGGCTCATGCCCATAATCCCAGCTCTTCGGGAGGCTGAGGCAGGAGAATCACCTGAGGTCATGAGTTCAAGACCAGCCTGGCCAACATAGTGAAACCCTGTCTCTACAAAAATACAAAAATTAGTCAGGCATGATGGCAAGTGCCTGTAATCCCAGCTACTCAGGAGGCTGAGATGGGGGAATTACTTGAACTTGGGAGGTGGAGGTTGCAGTGAGCTGAGATACTGCCATTGTACTCTAGCCTGGGTGACAGAGCGAGACTACATCTCAGAAAAGAAAGAAGAGAAGAGAAGAGAAGAGAAGAAAAAAGGAAGGAAGGAAGGAAGGAAGGAAGGAAAGAAAGAAAATCGATCTTATTGACTGAACACCAAACTCTATGCCTGCATTTAGCACTTGCTGTAATGGCATCTCATTTAATCCTCACAACTGCCCTGTGAGGTGCACACAATTTTCACCTCTGTTTTTTAACGTGGGAACTGAGGCATAGAATGGTAAGTGCTTTGCCCAAGCTAGTACTTCACAGCCGGATTCAAACTTGTGAAAAAGGATTCAGAACCCATATTCATAAGTGCTATTCTACCCCAGAAGGAATAAAAAGACAACTATCATTCCACTGAGCCTACAGAAGGCCTGTTGCCAGCTCTCAGAAAGAATAAGGAACCCAGACCAGGAGACAGTATATGACGGCCTCCACCCCAAATCTGGCCTGCCATCTATTTCTGTAATTTGTAATTCAAGTTTCAACCGGAACACAGCCAAGCCCATCTGTTTACCTCTTGTCCACGGCTGTTTTGCACTTCAGCAACAGGGCTGAATAGTTGCAACAGAGACCACAGGACCCACAAAACCTGAAATATTTCTTTCTTTTTTTTTTTTAGATGGAGTCTCACTCTGCCACCCAGGCTGGAGTGCAGTGGCACGATCTCAGCTCACTGCAAGCTCTGCCTCCCAGGTTCACGCCATTCTCCTGCCTCAGCCTCCTGAGTAGCTGGGACTACAGGCGCCCGCCACCATGCCCGGCTAGTTTCTTTTTTGTATTTTTCAGTAGAGACGGGGTTTCACCGTGTTAGCCAGGATGGTCTCGATCTCCTGACCTCGTGATCCGCCCGTCCCAGCCTCCCAAAGTGCTGGGATTACAGGCGTGAGCCACCGTGCCCGGCTAGCCTGAAATATTTCTATCTGGCCGTTTACAGAACAATTCCGTTGACCTCCAGCCCAAATCAAGATCTTCTAGTGGGACAGAAAAGGATTAGACCTGAGGTTAGAAACCCTTTAAACAAACCTAAATGTTCTCATCCACTTAACCTCTCCTTGCCTCAATTTATACTCATCTGTTAAATGGGGATGACCATACCCACTTTGCGGAAAAGAATTAAGATGATCACATGTACAAAGGACCTAGCACAGAGCCTGGCCCCAGGCAGCTATTCAAGAAATACACCACCACCACTACTGGCTGCTTGGATTCTGCCTGTAGAAACAGGTTTGGTGGGGGTGACAACTAGGCAGAAAAGAGGGAATTAGGACAGAAGGAGAATTTTAACTTTCCTTGCCTCTCTTTTTTTTTTTCCTTTGAGACAGGGTCTCTCTCCGTTGCCTAGGCTGGAGTGCAGTGGCGCAATCTCAGCTCATTGTAACCTCTCCCTCCCAGGTTCAAACAATCCTCCCACCTCAGCTTCCCTAGTAGCTGGGACCACAGGTGCATGCCACTGCACCCAGCTGATTTTTTTTTTTTTTTTGTATTTTTGATAGAGACGGGGTTTCACCATGTTGCCCAGGTTCTTCTCCAACTCCTGACCTCAGGTAATCACACCTCAGACTCCCGAAGTGCCAGGATTACAGGCGTGAGCCACTGCGCCCAGCCTTTCCTTCTCTTTCAAGGGTTCTGAAAGTGGGGGCCAGACAGAATGAGGAGGTGGGGTGGGCACGGAGCAGCCACAGGGTTCCCCAGCCAGAGCCTCCTAGGGGCTCTAGATTCCGGGAGTAACCTGCACTCTTGGCCTGCAGGGGGCACTAACACTTGGGTGAGAACTTGATGGCACTGGCTTTGGCCAAGATGGGGCCCAGGCCTTCCTACGTTTGGAGGGAGGCGTCTATGTGTGTTTGCCTGTCTGTGCATCTGCTCATCCAATCCTAGCTGCCTTCTTCTTTAAGTCACACCACCCAGAAATCAGCCAACTGACCTTGAGGTAACAAAGGCGTGCTCTTTGATGGCCTGTACGACGTCGTCAAACTTGATCTTGGTGGTCCGCGTCCAGCCGTGGTAGATGATGGGCTTCCCATCGGGCCCGTCCCAGCAGTCCACTATAGGGAGAAACGTGGCAGGCTCAACAACACATGTGTTCACCAACAGCCCCAAGGTCAACCCCCAGCCCACACACCAGTTCAGTTACTAGACAAGGACGCCCACACTCCCTCCATTCGGCTGCCAACACGAGGACATGGGTTTCCCTGTGTACGCTGGGTTCCCTGTGCGCTTACATAATGCAAGTGCAGCTGTCCAAGACAAGCTAGTTTCAATGCTGTTTTTTTTTGTTTTTGTTTTTTTTTTTTGGAAGATGAAGTCTCACTCTGTTGCCCAGGCTGGAGTGCAGTGGCACAATCTTGCCCCACTGCAATCTCCGCCTCCCGGGTTCAAGCAATTCCCCTGTCTCAGTCTCCTGAGTAGCTGGGACTATAGGCGCGTACCACCACGCCCGCTTAATTTTTTGTATTTTAGTAAAGACAGGTTTGCACCATGTTGTCCAGGGTGGTCTCGATATCCTGTCCTCATGATCCGCCCGCCTCAGCCTCCCAAAGTGCTGGGATTAGAGGCATGAGCCACCGCGCCTGGCCTCAATGCTTCTTTTTTTTTTTTTTTTTTTTTTTTGAGACGGAGTCTTGCTCTGTAGCCCGGGCTGGACTGCAGTGGCCGGATCTCAGCTCACTGCAAGCTCCGCCTCCCGGGTTTACGCCATTCTCCTGCCTCAGCCTCCGGAGTAGCTGGGACTACAGGCGCCCGCCACCTCACCCGGCTTAGTTTTTTGTATTTTTAGTAGAGACGGGGTTTCACCGTGTTAGCCAGGATGGTCTCGATCTCCTGACCTCGTGATCCGCCCGTCTCGGCCTCCCAAAGTGCTTTACCACGTGTTTTATTTTGACTTTGCCTGTTGAAAACCTTGACTGCCTTTTCTGCCCGTGGAAATGATACAGAGCAATGAGAAATTTATTTGTAAAGGTTCACAGGAAAATTTTCAAACAGAAATGGGTCATGTGGAAGGTGAACATCCCCAATCTTTTGGACCCCCTGAGGGCACAGGAGCTGACTGCTTACAGTTTTTCTTCTAAACATTTGATTTTTCCTAAAGGAGGAGAAAAATCATAAACGGGAGGAAAGTCTATAGAATAACCGCTACAAAACGTTGCTTCCATGATGAGTGGTTTTGGTAACTGAAGCCTAAGTCAGTGGTTGTTGCCTTTTTTTTTTTTTTTGAGACAAAGTCTCCCTCTGTTGCCCAGGCTGGAGTGCAGTGGCACGATCTCAGCTTACGGCAACCTCTGCTTCCCGGGCTCAAGCGACTCTTGTGCCTCGGCCTCCCAAGTAGCTGGGATGACAGATGTGCACCGTCACACCTGGCAATTTTCGTATTTTTAGTAGAGACAGCGTTTCGCCATATTGGCCAGACTGGTCTCAAACTGATCTCAAGTGATCTCAAGTGATCTCCTGATCTCAAGCGACCCGCCTGCCTCGATCTCTCACAGTGCTGGGATTACAGGCATGAGACACCATGCCCAGCTGGCTGTTGCCTTTTCTCAGCCAAATGCACCCATGAGCCTTTGGTCAGAGAAAGGCTGGAAGGAAAAGAGCCAGAGAGGCTATGAGAAGGAAGGAGGGAAGTAAGGCCTCTGCCATCTGCCCAGCCACAGATGCCGGCTGACCCTTCTTTTCTTTTCTGTTTAGACACAGAGTCTCGCTCAGTTGCCCAGGCTAGAGTGCAGTGGCACAATCACAGCTCACCACTGCCTCAACCTCCTGGGCTCAAGCGATCCTCCCACCTCAGCCTCCCAAGTTGTGGGGACCACAGGTGACTGCCACCACACACAGCTAATTTTTTTACTTTTTGTAGTGACAGAATCTCACCATGTCGCCCAGGCTGGTCTCAAACTCTTGACCTCATGCAGTCCCCTCCCACTTCAGCCTCCCAAAGTGCTGGGATTACAGGCAGAAGCCACCATATCCAGCCCTGATCGTTCTTTTCACATTTGCTCACAGACCCCCCAATCCAGGTGATACGGGGTACCTGTGCACACCTAGGACCCAGCTGCCAAAACACAGTGGGCGTCTGTTTGCCTTCCTCTAATACCAGCCCAGGAGGAAGCTGAGGAGATACAGATGACAGGGACTCTGTCTCAAAAAAAAAAAAGAAAGAAAGAAAGAAACATCACACTCTAACCCCATAAATACGCACAGTTATTATATGTCCATTAAAGCTTTTTTAAAATTTGAAAGAAAACATAGAGCAACCACATGGTTATCCTCAATTTGCTGTGAGCGTGACCTCGGCCAAGAAGGAGCTACTCACGTTCAATGCAGCGACAGCCCATGCGCAGGCAGCGGATGTAAGCTTCCGGGGACGACTCGCTCCGCAGCTGGTCACCTGTGAGGTACCTGCAGGAGAGAAGGCAGGTGGCCGTGAGGGGGTGGCAGCCACAGGGGTTGGGGGGCAAGCCTGCACCTCAGGGTGTTGCAGGGGAACTTCTCAGCCTGAGTTCCCAAACCCCTGAATTCTTCCATCTAGAAAGACTCAAAGCTAAGGCCTAGGACAGAAATACACAATTCCACGGTCACACTGGGCATGAGCTTTGAACTCAGGTCACAATCACAGGAGGTGACTGCTGACCACCTGGGCAATGGAAGCATGGAGAGGACGTGTTCTTTTGAGGAGAAGTTGGTCAAAGCACGTCAGAAGCAAAAAAGCTGCAGAAGATGAGTTAACAAAGCCCCGTGGCCACCTTCTGGGTCCTCGGTCTAAACAGAGATGAGTGCTTCTTTTGATATCAGGGCCCGAGGCCAGGCACAGAACAGGCATTCAACAACTGTTGGTGGAATCGACTATGCGAGGAGCCACACCCACCAAAACTGCCATAAGAATGACTCCTTAACGCACTTTCTTCCTCACCATGATTCACCTCAACTTTTTTTAAAGTTTGTGTTCCGAGGCCAGGCACGGAGGCTCACACCTGTAGTCCCAGCAGTTTGGGAGGCTGAGGCGGGCATATCATGAGGTCAGGTGTTCGAGACCAACCTGGCCAACATAGTGAAATTCTGTGTCTACTAAAAATACGAAAAAAAAAATAGCTGGGCATGGTGGCATATGCCTGTAGTCCCAGCTACTCAGGAGGCTAAGGCAGGAAAATCTCTTGAACCAGGGAGGCAGAGGTTGTGGTGAGCCGAGATTGCACCACTGCACTCCAACCTGGACAACAGAGCAAGACCCCGTCTCAAAAAAAAAAAGAGTTTATTCCTCACACTGGGGCCTGTCAGAGGGTGGCAGGAGGAAGAGGATCAGGAAAAATAACTAATGGGTAGTAGGCTTAATGCCTGGGTGAAAAAATAATCTGCACAGCAAACCCCCATGACACAGGTTGACCTGTGTAACAAACCTGCACACATACCTCTGAACTGAAAATAAAAGGTTTTTTTTAAGTTTGTATTTCTTAACTGTCTTCTAGATTTTCTAGAATTCACCATGCAGAAACACAAACTCTTAAAATGATAGGCATGGTGGGGAAGAGAGAACTGTGAAATCAATTTTCCCCTGAAAGAGATTTTACCTTCCCAAATGCCTGGAGCATAACACCATTAAAAGCCTTTTCCCAGATGACCCCCTGGAATGCCACTTAGGAAAGTCCCCACCCATAGCTCCTGGAGCCATGACCCAAGGACTTCACCCCTCACCCAATAAGACACACTAAATACTGGAACATCAGTGCAACATCCGTTATCCTCACTCTGTTGCAATCAGAGTAACCATCCCAAGAGGCCCCTGTGAGCATCTTGTTTTCTGGTTAAAAGTCATCAGGGTCTTCCCGACAGTTCTCATGGTGACCTACAAGATCCCACTCCAGCAGGACCTGCCTTCCTCCCCTCCTGACACCGCTCTCCTGGATTCTGCACTCCAGCCTTAGCAGACTCTTTTCAGTTGCTCCTGCCCCAGGGCCTTGGCACATGCTGCTCCTCTGTCTAAAACACTTCTCCTCGCCTTACCACCTGCTCCCCACCATCAGCAAGTCCTCTTCTGGGGTTAACTTTCAATGGAGGCCTTCCTCCCAGCACATGAGGACGTGGCTGCCACCTGTTCACAGCCACATTCCCAGCTCCCAGCAGGCACAGGGTACACAGTCCCTATGAATCAATTCAATGAGTCACCGAATTGCTTTGGTGTGGCTACTGTGAGATGCCCAAATCACGAAAAACTAAGTTTACTACATTACTTTAGTTACTAAGTTACTTTAAGTTACTTTTGTTTTTACTAGCTTTTTAGGGCCACAGAAAACAGATTATTATTACAATGCCAACTGAGAAAAGGAGGTGTGTTCCCCGCCCCTTCCAGAAGATTCTGTGTATTCTAGTCCAAGGAATGTGACGCTACACCCTCCACCTGCTTCTCAACACGGCTCACCAGAGCAGCGCATCGGACCCCTGCCTCAACCCTCACATGCTCTGTGCTGCCCAACCCATCACAGGTTCATCTGAAACTCACGTGTTATGTGACGAGGAGATCCAGTAATGAGACAGGGGGTTGTTCATGTCCTGCATGTCCACCGCGTCATACTTCTCATCCCAGATGCTGTTTTCTCGTGAAAACAGGTACGTGAGGAACTAAAAGAGTCAAACACGAAGACTGAATCATCACGTTGACGGGAGGGATGGTGTCTGCTTGTTTCTGTTCTGTGTCCACCCAGGGGAAGAACAGCTCTGACGCGTGAAACCAACCGATGGTCTCCAGACCTCAGTTACCCACGTTTTCAATACCGAAGGCTCAGACTGCAATGGGCTGCAGTGACATATTTGTTCCATGGACCTATATAATATTTTCCTTTGTAATGCTTACCCTAAAATATTTGCTACTGCAAGGGCTTATGCTTACCATATATACATTGTTGTTGCCTTTTGTTTTTTCAGACAGAGTCTTGCTCTGTTGCCAAGGCTGCAGTGCAGTGGTACAATCTCAGCTGACTGCAACCCCCACCTCCTGGGTTCAAGCGATTCTCCTGCCTCAGCCTCCCAAGTAGCTGGGATAACAGGCATGCACCACCACACCAGGCTAATTTTTGTACTTTTAGTAGAGACAGAATTTTACCATGTTGGCCAGGCTGATCTCAAACTCCTAACCTCAAGTGATCCACCCACCTCAGCCTCCCAAAGTGCTGGGATTACAGGTGTGAGTCACTGCACTCGGCCTCATATATACGTTTTGTTTTGTTTTGTTTTTTTGGTTTTTGTTGTTGTTGTTGTTGAGACGGAGTCTCGCTCTGTCGCCCAGGCTGGAGTGCAGTGGCCAGATCTCAGCTCACTGCAAGCTCCGCCTCCTGGGTTTACGCCATTCTCCTGCCTCAGCCTCCCAAGTAGCTGGGACTACAGGCGCCCGCCACCTCGCCTGGCTAGTTTTTTGTATTTTTTTTTTTAAGTAGAGACGGGGTTTCACTCTGTTAGCCAGGATGGTCTCGATCTCCTGACCTTGTGATCCGCCCATCTCGGCCTCCCAAAGTGCTGGGATTACAGGCTTGAGCCACCGCGCCCGGCCCATATATACGTTTTAAAACATAACAGTAGCATGAAAAGTTGTGAACCCACTGCCTAACTGAAGAAACAGAGTGTTATCCATATCAGAATGTTGAAAGGGCAGCAAATTTCAAGTTACAATTCCTGGCCCCTTTAAAAAAAAAAAAAACTGCTTTAGCGACCTGGGCCTACTTTCTGCCACCTGAGAACGACCTCATATGGGGCAGGCGCTCCCCAGTTCCACCTCCCCTCCTTCCCTATGCAAGGTCAAAGGCAACCATTCTGACCTGCAAGCACCCAGACACCTTCGCATTTTGTTTCTGTGCTTGCAATGGTTCAACTCTTCCTGGTGGCAGATGCCCTCTAGTGGCAAAATCAAGAGTAAGAAAAGGCTATGAAACTGCTTTAGCAAAAATCAGAACGAGAAAATTATGACAGCAAAACAGACCTGATCTAACCAACCTCTCTATCTTGCCTTTAACCTCCAAACTGCCCTTAATTATTCCCGGGCTTGGGCCAAAGTAACTTTGGAAAACATTTAGTTTATAGTTTAAGTAACAGTCCTTCCCCAAAACTAAACTGCCTTTGTAAAGCTAAACAAAGACCAGGTTAGGAGGATGAGAGGGGCCTGAATTCCGCTAAGGTGGAGACTAATTGGTTACCAGCCATTTTTCTGGAGGTTATAAGATTCGCAACTTCCCCAGGTACTCCTACAGATAACATCACTCTCGTTCAACCTAAGACTGGCCTTTTGAGATGTCTTTTTGGGCGTTTGCATGGCTCTACCTGGACCGCCCACTGGTCCTGTGGCCTTATCCAGAAGCACACTATTTTCCGCACTCATAGGATTGCATCTGCAACCAATCAGCAGCACCCCTTCCCTAGCCCTCCAAACGATCTTTAAAAAACCCTAGCCTCAGCCAGGTGCGGTGGCTCACACCTATAAGCCCAGCACTTTGGGAGGCCGAGGCAGGCTGATCACAAGGTCAGGAGTTGGAAACCAGCCTGGCCAACATAGTGAAACTCTGTCTCTACTAAAAATACAAAAAAATTAGCCAGGCATGGTGGAGGGCGCCTGGAATCCCAGCTACTCGGGAGGCTGAGGCACAAGAATCACTTGAACCTGGGAGGCTGAGGTTGCAGTGAGGTGAGATCGCACCACTGCACTCCAGGCTGGGTGACAGACTGAGACACCATCTCAGAAACAAAAACACAAGCAAACAAACAAAGCCATAAAAAAACAAAACTCGAGCCTCTGAAAGGGAGAATGATTTGAGTAACAATAAAACTGAAGTCTCCCATTCATCCGGCTCTACATGAGTTCAACTCTTTCCCTGTTTCAATTCCCCTGCCTTGATTAATTGGCTGTGTCTAGGCAGCAGGCAAAATGAACCCACTGGACAGTTAACAGTTACAGTAATCTGGAACCTGGGAGAAAAAAAAAGAAAAAGAAAAACACTTCCAACTAACCAGTCAGTCGAGGGGACATCAAACAGCAAAGCTTTCCAAAGAAAGAGAACAGAAAATAAACTTCAGAAAGCACAAACATCAATCAAAATGTCACCCCCACGTGACAACAAGCCTAGCCTACTCACCTCATCCACAAACAAGAAAGGCTCAGCAGTTTCGCGCATGGTGTCATCGATGAACTTTGTCATCCGCTCACGAACTTTGCTCAGATCCTGAGCCCAATGCTCCTTAAAATGAGAAACAGAACAAGAGATCACCAGAATGAGTACTGATAAAATTCTTCGTTTCCCAGGGTCCAGACAGTCGCGATCAAAGACCGACACGTCAACCCATTCTGAAATCACTTGCGATCGAGCACCACATGTTGAGGCCTCATTCTGCACATGGCCCTCTGCCAGGGGTCAGCAAAGATTCTCTGCAAAGAGCCAGAGAGTAAATATTTTGGGCTCTGTGAGCCATATGGTGTCTGTCGCAACCTCTCAACTCCGCTGCTGTGGTGCAAAAGCAGCCACAGATAATCCGCAGGCAAATGGGCACGGCTGTATTCCAACAAAATTTTGTTTATAAAAACAAGGTCAGCTGTATTTGGCCCATAGGTTGTGGTTTGCCAGCTCCCGCCCTATGACAGCTCTTTACATTAGTATGAAGCAGCCTGGGGGCATGGCAGTTACATCAGCCTTCCAGGTCACTTACCTGGGTCGGCCTCTCATTCTACCTAGGTGACCTTGGGCAAGTTACATACTGTCTCTGTGCCTCCGCATCCACGAAGCGGGAGTAAGAGTATCTACCACACAGTTTCTGTGAAGCACTGTATGAAAAGGATACTGTATGAAGCATTGTATGAAATCTTATTAGGTTATGTGCCTAACGCAGCACCTGGCGCATAGAAAGTGCTCAGACCCACGTTGGGAGGCCGAGGCGGGTGGATTGCCTGAGCTCAGGAGTTCAAGACCAGCCTGGCCAACATAGTGAAACCCCATCTCTACTAAAATACAAAAAAAAATTTTTTTAATCAGCTGGGCGTGGTGGCAGGCGCTGTAATCCCAGCTGCTCAGGAGGCTGAGGCAGGAGAATTGCTTGAACTAGAGAGGCAGAGACTGTAGTGAGCCAAGGTTGTACCATGGCACACCAGCCTGGGCAACAGAGTGAAACGCTGTCTCAAAAAAAAGAAAGTGCTCTGACCATGGCAGCTTGTGCAAACAAGCATCTATCTTCCTCCTATGGTCATCTCACTTAGTCTACATAACTCCGCAAGTCATTTATTGCCATTGTCATTTTAGAGACAATGAAAGAGGCCCAGGAACAATACCTCAGGATCCTAAGCCCACACAGCTTGTAAATTGCAGAGTCTCAGCTCCAAATAGCTAAACTGACATGGAATGTAATCATATGCCCTCTTTCCAAGAGAATAGGCAAACAGGGCTGCTAAAACACTGACAACGTCTGAAATATACATGACCAGTTCCAAAGCAGCTGCTGCACAGTCCTAGACATTCTAGAAACCCTTTTAAAAAAGAATGTATAATATGAAGTAATTATTGCTTTCCTCTCCATGCCCTGAAATGCCAAATATTCATAGGAAAAGAGCATGAAATATGTCATGGAAATTCAACATTGATCAATGCTTTCTTCACTTCAAATATTCTAAAACCTTTATCTTTGTGACTAACAGGAGCAAATATGCTACCAGATGTGTGTGGTTCGATGGGAAGGGCCGGATGAGGATGTCTGAAAGAATGAAAAATAGAAGAACAGATGCAAATGAGGTGGTGACCAGGAGGCCTGTGATATGCATGGGTGTAAGACAAAAATGAACAGCTGTTGACTCTTGCAAATTTACCTGGATCAGGAGCCCAAAACAGCCAGGAAGCTGGGAAACTGCGAGCTCATTTGAATACAGGAGTGTCAGAATCTTTGAATACTACAACATGAAACCCAAATTGTGGGATATTTTATTAAAATACTTTGCCTGACCAAGATGTCCCAAAGAGGCTGGAGGTATCCTCCTTCCTTCCCCCTACAAAGTTTTTACATTTATCAAAATGCACAGGTACTTAGCTAATACTACCTGGCACTGGACTGACTGCAAAGAAAGAAATCTTCTGCCTAAAGGAGATTGAAATATCAATATTCTAGGGATTGTAAAATGCATCTACTTGGTGTGGGGTATTGCACTAGACACCTATAATAGTGAAAATGGCAAAGAATAATGATGAAAATAAAAATAAATGGTGATGGCTATCAACACTGGACACTGAGACTCTACACCAGGCCCCACATAGTGGCTCATCGTGAACTTACCACCACCCCAGGAGGCACAGGTTATTCTCCATGTCATATAAATGGGGAAACAGAGGCCTGCTTCACATGGGCCAAAACGTATACAACCTATACAACTAGGCTCTAGTCGTTAACTCAGTGTTCCCAGACATAAGCCTCAGACTAAACCCAGAAACACTGATTCTGGGAACATACTTTTAACTCCCTTCCTATCCCATCACCCGTCCATCCCAGAGCTGTACTATGGCGTGCTGAGCCAATCCTCTAAAGACATTTCAAGCTTCCATTTCTAGTAAAAATGCTGCCATTATTTCCTTAGGATAAGTGTGCGGGAGGGCAACAGTTTACTCAAGATACAGAATCTAGTTTTAAAGCTTTCTTTTCATTGCATACAGCCAAAGTGTTTTCTAGAAACGTCATACTAATTTGCACACAAAGTGCTGCAGTGATTATTCCATATGAGCATCTCTGTGACCAACAAACATCGCATGGATGCTCATGGCTGGTCGGGTCCTAACTCCCCAGATGCAGAGAGAGAGAGCTCCTACTTTCTCCTGGCCGCAAATCCCTGATCTCTAAGGGCAGCCCAGCAAAGGGCCCTATTTGGGGAAAGCATGTAATAAAGTCAACCACCACTAGGTGGGGCTAAATCTATATACCCAAATCTCCCTACCAGGTGGTGAATTCTAGGAGGCGAGGCTACTTGTCCCCAAGAATTTAACCAATTTAACTTTAACTGTTCCCTACTAAACTGAATAATTTAGTGGAAGGAAAATCATGACAGGAAAAAAGTGCTTAAATTTCTCTGCTTCACTCTAGCACCAGCACACACCTAACATGTGACTGTGCCCAGTAAAATTAATGTATTATCTTCATTTTACCTCCTCCCTCAGACTTAGTCTCAGGTTGGGCAAATAAGCCTTCTTTTTGATCACTGTCATTCAACCCCGGCACTGGGAAGGCATGATGCCTACAACATGCATCAACATTCTCATTCACCATTTCTCAGTCTACTAGGGTAGCTACGACCCTTCCCTGAGCCCTCAGTGTGGCTGGCCTTGTGCAAAACACATCTTCCCTACTCGTAAGTGTCTCTTCCATCAATGAAATCCAAAAACAGGCTGGGTATTAGATGCCATTTAAAAATTACTGCTAATTGCACAAGCTGTAATAGGAGTGTTATGGCTATATTTTTTAAAAAAACAAAAAGCCGGGCGCGGTGGCTCATGCCTATAATCCCAGCACTTTGGGAGGCCAAGGTGGGTGGATCACGAGGTCAGGAGATTGAGATCATCCTGGCTAACACGGTGCAACTCCACTCTACTAAAAATACAAAAAATTAGCCAGGCATGGTGGCGGGCGCCTGTAGTCCCACCTACTCGGGAGGCTGAGGCAGGAGAATGGCGTGAACCCGGGAGGCAGAGCATGCAGTGAGCCAAGATTGCACCACTGCACTCCAGCCTGGGCGACAGAGCAAGACTCTGTCGCAAAAAAGAAAAGAAAAAAGGAAAAAAAAGTCCTATCCGTGAGAGAAACATATGGAAGTATTTACAAACAAAATGACGCAAAGTCTGGGGGTTGCTTTAGAATTCTTCAGAAAAGAAATGAAGAAAGGGGAAGGGTAGGGAGACACGTGTGTGGACTTAGAAATGGATGAAATAAAACCGGCAAAGTGGGCTGGGCACAGCGCCTCATATGTGTAATCCCAGCAATTTGGGGACTGAGACAGGCGAGTCACTTGAGTCCAGGAGTTGGAGACCAGCCTGAGCGACATGGCGAAACCGTTTCTACTAAAGATACAAAAATTGGTCAGGGCTGGGCCTGGTGGCTCACACCTGTAATCCCAGCACTTTGGGAGGCCAAGGCAGGTGGATCACCTGAGGCTAGGAGTTCAATACCAGGCTGGCCATCACTGTGAAACCCTGACTCTATTAAAAATACAAAACTACAGGTGTGTGGCAGACCTGTAATCCCAGCTACTTGGGAAGTTGAGGCAGGAGAATCATTTGAACATGGGAGGCGGAGGTTGCAGTGGGCCAAGATCGAGCCATTGTACTCCAGCCTGGGTGACAGAGCAAGATTCTATCTCAAAAAAAAAAAAAAAAAAAAATTGTCTGGCATGGTGACACCTACCTGTAGTCCCAGCTATTCGGTAGGCTGAGGCAGGAGGATCGCTTAAGCCCAGGAGGTCAAGGCTGCAATGAGCCGTTATTACGCCACTGCATTCCAGCCTGGGCAACAGGGTGAGTGGGGCCTTGTCTCAAACAAAAAGAAAAACTGGCAAAATGCTCATAATTTTTAATCTGAGTGATGATACATGGTGGTTCATTAAACCATCTGTCTGCTTTTGTGTATATTTGAAATGTTCTGCAAGACAAGAGGTTTTTTAAGTAAATGAACTTAATTTTGCTTCAACCCTAAAACTGCTCTAAAATATAAAGTCTATTTCTTAAAAAATGAATTAAAAGAAAAAAGTAAATGGAACTCCAACGATACAAACAAAATTTTTAGATTTATATGTGACTAGGCATGCATACATGTACACACACACACACACACACACACACAGAGATTCATATAATTGTCTCTGATCCCCACAATTCTCAGAGGTAGATGCTCTCAATCCCACTTAAAGAGGAAACTGGGGCACAGAAAGGGTAAACCACCTGTCCATGGCTGTGCAGCTGGTAAGCAGATTTCAAGTTGATCTCACTCTCACAACATTTTCTTGTCCTCAGCACTATAGGCACTTGGGGCTGAATACCCCTTTGGTTGGTTTGTTTTGTTTTGTTTTTGGCGGGGGGGGGGGTGGTTTTGTTTTCTGTTTTTTGAGACGGAGTCTTGCTCTGTTGCCCAGGCTGCAGTACAGTGGTGCAATCTCGGCTGACTGCAACCTCTGCCTCCCAGGTTCAAGTGATTCTCCTGCCTCAGCCTCCCGAGTAGCTGGGATTACAGGCACCCGCCACAATGCCCAGCTAATTTTTGTATTTTAAGTACAGAGGGGGTTTTGCCATATTGGCCAGCTAGGTCTCGAACTCCTGGCCTCAAGTGATCTGCCTGCCTCAGCCTCCCAAAGTGCTGGGATTATAGGCGTGAGCCACCCTACCTGGCCCTGAATACTTCTTTGTTGCGGGGAGGAGGGGGACTGCCCTGGGCAATGTGGGGTATTTAGCAGCATCCCTGGCCTTGACCTGCTAGATGCCGGCAGCAGCCTCCAGCTGGGACACCCACCCACGTCTCTGGACACTGCCCAGTGTCCTCTGGGGGCACCGTCACAGCAGTGAAGACCAATGCACAACACAAACCCCCCTTGAGTCTATAGCTGGGCTCAAGGCCCACAGGCAAACCCTGTCCAGGGAGACTGTCCCAGGCATCATCTGTTTAAGGACAGCTGGGCTAGTTTATCTCCCAGGAGACCTGGCAGGCTTGATGAATCTGGTCCCATCCTCCCATCAATCAAGGAAGGCTTCCCAGGCAGTGACACCTGATATGATGCCAGAAAAGCTGACGCCAGCCAGGTGAGGGCAGCTCCTTCCTCAGGCCCTCACCCCTCCTGCCCTGCCCTGGAATCTTCTCACTCTTCCCATCCTCAATGTGTGTCTTGAGAAGAGGCCCGACATGAGGCTCTTCTCATCCAGAGTCTCAGTGGCATCAGACAACAATCTGAAGTATCTGGCATCTGGGGGACTGCAGTCATTCCATGAAGACAGGTGGCCAGGTGAGCACAGGTGGCCAGGTGAGCACAGGTGGCCAGGTGAGCACAGGTGGCCAGGTGAGCACAGGTGGCCAGGTGAGCACAGGTAGCCAGGTGAGCACAGTTGACGCCAGGTGAGCACAGTTGACCAAGTGAGTACAAGTGGCAGAAGCGTGAGACCAGTCCCCGGCAGCATCCCGCCAGCTCCCCCAGTCACCCACACACCTTGTGCTTTCTCACCTGCTGTTCATGTATGAGAAACCTCTGGAAGTCATGCAGGTAAATAGCGGAGGCATCCGGCCTGTCTGTGTTCCTGTCCTCGGGGAAAAGGGGTACGGTTAGAGACAGGCACATTCAACAGAGGAGTAGAGAGGAGACGCCAGCCAATGGGGCAGCCTGCCACCCAGAGACTCACCCACTGAGTCTGGCCCTGTGTTAGGTACCAGGCTGGCCAACAGGAAGACACAGGTGAATGACACAATGTCCCTCACCTACAGGGATTCAGAGGGGCCCTGACATCGGAATCTCAAGGGGCAGGCCCTGGCGCCTGCATCTAGCCGCTCCAAAATAGCTCTGGTGCCCTCCAGTCTGAGGAGCAGTTCACATATGGCCATGGGGAAAACAAGCGAACCAGGCATTTGGGATACGGTGTAGCAAGAGATGAGTGGGGGAGGGGAGGGGCAGAGTGGGAACCGCTGAGAGGGCCCCAGACCCAGATCTGGAGGGCCAGAGGGGCTTTCCTGAGGAAAAGGCACCTACTTGAGTTCCAGAGAAGGAGGTGGGGTGAGCCAGAAGGAGGTGCAGAGAGTGCCAGGCAAGGAAACCATAGATGCAGCGGCCTCGAGGAAAAGAGAAGGGAGGGGAGAAGAGGAAGAGGGCTAGGAGAGAGGGAACACAGGCTGGAGAGAGGGATTGCAGAGTGAAAGGTGTGGGGAATGCAGGGACGTTAAGCGTGCCTACCCAATGCCCAGACAGGGCTGGACACGCCACCCACCCTTATAGGGAGAGCTGGTGTTGGAGAAAGGAAACGAGCCAGACCCAAGCGCCTCCTCAGAAGCCATGATCCAGAGTTCCCTGGGTCATTGAGGGCTCTGGACTGGGGACCAGATGAGGCCCCCCCAGACTCCAGGCCATCCAGGCACAATTAACTGGAGTGTGGAAAACACATCCCTGGACCAAGCAGAGGTCGGGTATCAGGGAGGGAACACTACACTCCGAATCAAGGCAGGACTCCCGCCTTGGCCAGCAGGTCACCAGAAAAACAGGGCCTTATTGGCTCAGCATGAGCCACATCCAGGCTGGATGAGGAGTACATTCTGCCACGTGAGGCCTTCCAGGGAAATGGGTACGTTTCCCTGAGCACTTGCAGGAACCTGGGGAAAAAAGGTCTATTTCACATAGTTTAAGACATCAAACGTTCCCTGCACTTTCTCTCTTTACTAAACACTCAGGGTCCAGGAGTCTGCTGTCTTTAATTATGAGTACATATCTAACCTTTCCTCGGCAGCTTCACGGTCTAACACTAAGCTTTTCATTAAAATACTATGTGGAAATTATGGCTGGGCACAGTGGCACATTCCTGTAATCCCAGCACTCTGGGAGGCCGAGGCAGGTGGATCACCTGAGGTCAGGAGTTCAAGACTAGCCTGGCCAACATGGTGAAACCCCGTCTCTAATAAAAATACAAAAAAAAAAAAAATAGCTGGACATGGTGGATGCCTGTAATCCCAGCTACTCGGAGGATGAGGCAGGAGAATCACTTGAACTTGGGAAGTGGAGGTTGGAGTGAGCCGAGATTGCGCCAATGCACTCCAGCCTAGGCAACAGGGGGAGGCTCCGTCTCGAATATAAATATATATAGATATTTTTTATATATTCATATATATAAATATATATGAATATAAATAATATATAAATTATATATATTGGATTCATTTTATTTATACTTTGGAGTCGTAGAGTTTCTGATTTCAGAAGTGACAGAGGGAAAAGTTGCTCACCAATGAGGACTGGATCAATGTACCCCAGACCATTAATTCCAGGGCCAACACTTCTCCCAGTCAGATAGGCTGGGGAAACACAAAACATCTCAGAAATTCCCCATTTGGGTAATCATGAAGCATGGTAAATGTCCTGATAAGTCCTGCAATACTGACTTTTTAGTAATAATATTACTATTTATGAGCCCCTCATGGATGCCAAGCACCATGTGAAGCAGTTTATACACTTGAACTCATTTTAATTCCGTTAAACCTGTTTAACAAGAAATTTTTCACTTATTTGATCATTAACATTAGTTTTTGTAATTAAAAAAAAAAAAAAAACTATTAACCTGTCACATCTCATGAGGCACATTCTGGGAAAGAAGGCCCTGAGGCACACAGGCCTTTCTACAGAACCTTCTAGACCATCCTCCCAGCGCTCCACACCCTCCTGTTGCTACTGCTCATGTCTATCCACACCATAAGCGTGGGATGGCCAATTCCCCAGCAGGGTACCCCTGTCCCTCTGGAGGTCAGCGCCTGCACACACTGGCATCCCCTCCTGGAGGCCGGCTGGGCACCAGGCACTGACGTCCGGCACACCCGCCCCGAACACCACGCAAGGGCTGCCTCACCCCAGGATGAACACGGACGAATCCTTTTTGAATTCATCGAGAATCTGAAATGGAAAGCACACACAAAGAACCTTAGACAAGTCAACGCAAAAACGCAAAGATTTCTTTTGTTGTTAAAAAAGCATCATTTTGTCAGATGCAACAAGATCATTAAAAATATCATTTTAATTGGTGTTAGTTGTAAATATTCAAATATAACAGAAACTTAAGAAGCAAAAGGTAGGAGCCCTCCTCATCCCCTCCACAGTCTTATTCCCAAGAAGCAATCACCCTTAAGAATTTCATAGGTTTCCTTCTAGAATTTGTTTTAGGGGTATTCATTTAATTGTATCATATTATATTATATCATTTACATACATCTCACAATTTTTTGCTGTGTTTCAAGCTTTACATATTACTCTTCAACCTCAAATAACCCTGTTTCCTTTCTTTGAAAAACCATTGTATTCCATAATACGCATGTCACTCAATTTTTGTTACATCTAGTATTATTTTTAAGTGTCCCTGTGTGCACATTTCCGTATCTTTGCCCACTTGCGCCAGTTTTTCCACAGAGTAGAGTCCTAGAAGGAAAAGCACCTAGACACAGCACATTGTAGGCACCCTGGCTTTGATCAATTCTGCCAAGGTGCTTTCAAAACAGTTGAGATGGGCGCCTCCACTGGGGTACACATTCCTTTTTCCACACCCTCACTGCCAGGTTTCTTTAGAGATGGGGTCTCACTGTTACCCAGGCTGGAGTGCAGTGGCACAATCGTAGTTCACTGCAGCCTCACTCTCCCGGGCTCACATGATCTTCCTGTATCAGCTTCCTGAGTAGCTAGGACTATAGGCACGAGACACCATGCCCAGCCAATTTTTTTTCTTTTTGTAGAGATGGGGGTCTTCCTATGTTGCCCAGGCTGGCCTTGAACTCCCGACCTCAAAAGATCCTCCCTCCTGAGCCTTCTGAGTAGCTAGGATTACAGGCAACATTTCCAATCTTTAATATTTCAAAGATGCACTTCTAATCTTCGAAGGCAAGAGGACGAAAGAAATATTGAACTGCTTCAGCTCTTCTCTTCACAGCCCACTGCCATGCCAACTGTTGCATGATGTAAAGGCTCCTCCACCAATGGGGGCGCCATGGAGCACCCCTCCCTCCAGCTTCTACTTGCACCAGCCCGTTTTCTGCGCACTGTACACGGGCACCCTGCACAGCCACATCTTGTCCATTGCTGCCCAGGTAGCCTTGCTTCAACAGTCTTCAATGACACTGTGACTGGATAAGCACTTGAATAAGCCCCGCAGAAGTGGAAATGTATCCACTAGCACATGATCAATGCTAATGACATAAAACACGTCCTGCCCCAGATGACCCAGGGTCCTCTTGCTGAACTCCTTGCAGCCCAGGACATCATGGGGAACACCAGTGTTCTAGAAAGCGAATCGCAGGCCTCTGGGAAGCATCAGAGAGTCCACAGCAGTTTGTGTGGGTGTGTGTTTCTTCTGGAAACATAATCAGCATCTCAAAGGAGTAGGTCCCACCAAAATGTTAAGAGCCACAAACTTAGCCTTTTTACACAAACTGAGAAGCACTTCCTTTTGTTTATGTGTAATTTACAGCATAGGTATTTCTTTTTAAAAAGGGGTGGTGGTGCAGATTTTAGATAGGGCATGCTGCTATATGAACTCATTTACTGCTTAGGTCGCCAGATCAGCCTGGTGCTGAAGGCATCGGGGGTTAGAACTCTTCCAAGCCCAAAGCCCCACACGCAGCTTATTGACATCTGGAGGGAGCCCAGCGTGTGGCCCCCCTCACTGACCACCACATTCAGTTCTTCAGCCCCGTCATTCCTTTACATTCCTTTCATTAAAGCACAGAAACAACCCGCACTGCATTCCCCGACTCATGGAGCTCAGACAATGGCAGAGGCACCACCACAGCACAGATGCTTCCCAGAATCAGGAAAGACCTCGCTTCTCCTCCACCAGACCCTGCAGCTCCCTGCCTGGACACTCTGCTTGTTAAAGCAACGTGTTTGCAGGAATCAGCGACCCCTAGGATGTAGAGCAGGACAGGGAACGAAAAAGAACAACTGAAAGCCAAGAGCCACAAACGCTGCAAGAGAACAAGCGAGGCAATAGAAGGAAGACGGTGTGGCATCCCAAAGGTGAGTTACAACATCAAGGAGCGAGTGACCAGCTTTGACACGTGCTGCTGAGTGGACAAGATAAAGACCACGGGGCAGACTTCTGGATTCACAACACAGGGAGGCGACGGGTGACGGGCCAAGATGAAGTGATCTAGGAGGCAGGGACGGAAACAAGATGGGAATAGACTCCAGAGACAGTCGGAAGAAGGGAAGCATAGACAGCTCTTGGAGTGGGTTACTTTAAAGGGGGCAGAGAAATGGGGCTGTAGTTGTGGGTATGGGGCAGAGGTGGTCAAGGAAGATGTTCTAAAGATAGAAGTTATAGTTAGTATTATACGTAGGATGGTGTCCCCGGGAATACGTGTCCAAGTCCTAACACCCAGTACCCATGAGCATGACCTTCTTTGGAATTAGGGTCTTTGCAAGGTGCAATCAAGTTAAGATGAGGCCATGCTGGGCTAGGGTGGCTACGTGACTGCTACCCTGCTACCTCCTGTGACTGGCTTCTTACAAGAGAGAGATTTGGAGACAGAGAAACACACAGAGAAAAGGAGGCTATGTGATGATGGAGGCAGAGACGGGCGCAATGCCATCTACAAGCCAAGGAGCGATGGCGTCTACACGCCGAGGAACACTTGCAGGATTGCTGGCAGGCCACCAGCAGCCGGGAGGCGCCCACACCCCGAGGAACGCCTGAAGCACTGCTGGCAGCCTACCAGAAACCACAAAAGAGGCGAGGAAGACATCCTTCCCTGAAGCCTTCCGGGGTGGTGTGGCCCTGCCAACACCTTGATTCTGGACTTTTAACCTCCAGTACAGTGAGGGAATAAACTTCTGTTGTTTTTAAGCCACAAGTTGCAGTACTTGCTACAGTGACCCCAGGAAATTAACATGGGCTCCATGCGCTGGGGCAAGATGGTCACAGTCTCAGTCGCTACAGTCTCAGTCGCTACAGTCTCAGTCGCTCCTCCCGCCGATCCCATCAGGCAGTAAAATAAGCCGTTTCAGAAACAAGAAATAAGCCCAGGGAGGCAAGGACTTTTCTCCTAACAAGTCCAGGAGCCAGAATTTCAACCCAGGCCCATCTTGGTAAATCTCCAGCATCCCACAATACACGTGCAAATGTACACACAATAAATGAGATTTCAGCAATCAGAGAATATTCTAGATGCTATGGGTGCACAGCGGAGATAGCAGTTAATTTATGTTTGGCATTACCATGGAGGGTTATGTGGTCAGACTCTACAGAACCAAGGGACAGGGGTTGGACTGGGCCTTGTGTCACTGTGGACAACATCCCAGAACCTTCCCACCCCAGCAAAGGGCCAGTGAGGTCAGGAGAAACAACTGTATCATTAACCATTGTGCCCTCTGGGGTCACACACACACATTTACTGGATGAGTGACTAAAATAAGAGATAAACAAATTTTCTCTGATAGCTAAAAGGCTACAGGGAAACGTCATCTTTGAGTCGGGCCCCAGGAGAAGTTACTAGCTGGACAAAAGAAGGGGTCATGCTAGGGGGAGGGGGTCACAGAAGCAGGGGCCGGGGCACTAAGAAAGGCAGGGAGAGAAATGGAGTTTTCCCACATGGCTGTAGGCACACGCCCTTTCAAAACTGAAGCTGGTCTTACACACTCAGTAGTACTTAGGCTGTAGAAACCATTTGGTTCTGGAAGGCCAACGGTAAAATCTCATTAACAGAAAAGCTAGCTCAGGCACAGAGGCTCATGTCTGTAATCCCAGCACTTCGGGAGGCCAGGGCAGGTAGATCACTTGAGCCCAGGAGTTCAAGACTAGCCTGGGTAACATGGTGAAACTGTCTCTACAAAAAACATGAAAATTAGCCTGCATGGTGGCACCCGCCTTTGGTCCCAGGTACTCTGGAGGCTGAGGTGGGAGGGTCATCTGAGCCAGGGAGTTCGAGGCTACAGTGAGCGATGAATGTGCCACTGCACTCCAGTCTAGGTGACAAAGTGAGACTCTGTCTCAAAAACGAAAGAAAGAAAGAAAGAGAGAGACAGAGAAAGTGAGAGAGAGAGAAAGTGAGAGAGAAAGAGAAAGAGAAACAGAGAGAGAGAAAGAAAGTGAGAAAGAGAGAGAGAGATAGAGAAAGAGAGAGAGAGAAAGAGAGAAAGAGAGAGGGAAAGAGGGAAAGAGCGAAAGAGGGAAAGAGGGAAAAAGGGAAAGAGGGAAAGAGGGAAAGAGCAAAAGAGGGAAAGAGGGAAAGAGGGAAAGAGGGAAAGAGGGAAAGAGGGAGAAGACGTAACCAGCGATTCTGTCTGCTAACTTCTCCACTGTGGACTCTCCTCTCGCCAGCAGCTGACAATGAGAATAAACTGCAAGATCTCCGAGCTCCTACACAAACATCGTCACAGAATGCTCATCACTTGCTCCCCCCATGCCCACACCGTGTAAAATCCAGCAGAACAATCCTTCAGTGTCTTACTGGATCACAGGGACAGCCACTGATAAGTCGTCAGGCTTCTCAATTTCCTTTTTTATTATTGGCAAGTGCTTTCTATTTTTACTTAAGAATGCTGTAACCACGGGGACTTCACAGGTTTGATCCGGACATAGCAGGGTAGCAGTCACGTAGCCAGGTACTAAATTACAACACTGGCAGAGGACGTGATATGCCGTGTGAGGTCTGCTGCAAAATGTGAGGAAAGGGCTTGGGTGAGGGCATCATCAAGGTGATAATGGCTGAAGTCAACTGATGATACATCTGCTGACTTAGCATCTGTTACGCTATTCTCTCTACGTGTATATGCTTTACATTTTCTTTAACACAAAGGATTCAAAAATTAAGAAGTATTCTGTGGCTGTGCATCGAAGTCGGGCAGAAAATCAAATCCTAGCTCTGCAGCTTACCAGTTAGTGGCCCATCCTTCAGCAAAGTAACCTCTCTGGACCTCACTTTCTTAATCCCTAAAATGGCAATAACAACAGCAGCTCTTCCACAGGGCTCTAGGGGGGAATCAAATGTTTACAAAACACAGAACAGGCCGGGCATGACGGCTCACACCTGTAATCCCAGCACTTTGGGAGGCCGAGGCGGGTGGATCACTTGAGTTCAGGAGCTCGAGACCAGCATGGCCACCATGGTGAAACTCCATTTCTACTAAAAAAAACAAAATCAGCCAGGCGTGGGGGTGCGTGCCTGTAATCCTAGCTACTCGGGAGACTGAGGCAGGGAGAATCGCTTGAACCCGGGAGGCAGAGGTTGCAGTGAAGATCGTGCCACTGCACTCCAGCCTAGGCAACAGAGCAAGACTCTGTCTCCAAAAAAAAAACAAAAAACAAAAAAACAAAAAACCACATAGGACAGTGCCTAGCATATAGCCCACCTGAGAAAATGTTGGCTATCATCTTTGTTAATGATATTGTTACCACAGCCTAGTTAGAGGTATATCCCCTCACCAGGGAGACACAAACATGAGATTACATTTCTTAGCCTCCTGCTGCTGCTAAACTTTTGGAAACTTTGAGGCTTGAGAGCTGGAACGTAGGCAGGTGGTTAGACACAAAGAGGAACTGGCAAGCTCACAATGGAAACCATTTGGCTACTGATAAGCATGAACCCACTCCCTGAATTTAGGTCTGGGGATTATGAGTCACCATAAATAGCTCTGTCTCCTGCAGGAGCCTGAGAAATCCAGCGAGGCCCTCCTCCCCTCCAAATCACAAAACAGGTACTTTTCTCTGCCCTGTGCTTCCAGCCAGGAGCAGGACGTAAACAACAGATTAGGGGATGGGCATTTACCTCCACAACAGCAGGGAGGCTCTTAGAGCTGGCTGGAAACCATCTATAGAAGCTTGGGACTTTGTTATTCAAATCTGTCTTTACATTAAATTTTGAAAATGCAGTGACCAAACTGGAGAGTTATACCCTCAAACAGTGGAGATGAGGGTTACCAAAGCAAAGCTCCTTTAGGGTCAGGTAAGCACCATAAATGAACAGATAGAGCTGTACAGGTCTGGGTCAATACAGAGAACGTGGACCATTCCATGGGGTGTTGTGACCCTATTTATAGCCAGATCTCGACTTTTTTCCCAAGGGAAGCCAAAAATCTAGATTTTAATATATAATACAATCTCTCAAGTTTTAAACGTAGGCAATTAATTTTTAACATATTTAAACCATAAGATCAAGTACAACCAGGTGCAGGCTCAATGTGGCATTCCGGCCACCAGGGGTCACCCTTTGGTATCTGCAGATTCCCATACAGATTCCCACACAAAGTTCACACATGGGGCAATCTAGGGTACCCCAGAGGGTTCCGAGATTCTGTAAAACTGACTCAAATTTCTTTTTCTCCCTCATAAACACAAACACCCAGACTAGCCTTAACAAGAGCCATAATTAAAAGTACAGGTTGAAATACCTCTTAGGTGGGATTTTACCACCGTGGAAACCATCAATGAATGGGTTAATCTGCTGGCAGGTGAAATAGTTTTTGTGCAAATCTTCTTTTTTAATTTTTAATATTATTTAATAATATAGACGGGGTCTCACTATGTTGCCCAAGCTAGTCTCAAACTCCTGAGCTCAAAGGATCCTCCTGCCTTGGCCTCCCAAAGTGGTGGGATTACAGGCGTGAGCTACTGCTCCCAGCCATGTACAAATCTTATTTTCAAACTTTGCCTGGCATCTGTCTGATAACACAGCATCTTGAAATGTCAAGGTAAACTATTATTTAAAAAAAAAAAAAAACTGTTATTTGCAACTACTTATCTTGAGTAAATCGAGTTTTTCTCAATCCTGGTCAATTGCATAAGATGACAATCGTCACCATTCCGAATTTCATACACACACTCTCATCATTGTTCTACGACATGTTCTGTGTTCAATGACACATGTCATTGTTCTCAAGGACTAGTTTTAAAGTTACAGGTTTTAATCTTAAAAAGTATTCTGATAAGCTTTTATGAATCATGGTTTTTGTTGTGGTTGTTACAGTTTCTTGTTTAAAGGAGAGGGGATTATAGACTTAAAAGTTCTATAACCATTGATCTCATTTAGTACCTTCATTTTATAGAAAAGGCTAAGTGAGAGGACAGAGATGGCTCCCCCAACATCACTTGGTCAGTTAGAGGTCAAGTTGGTCTAGAATCCAGTTCTCCCAACTCCCAAGCCTGTAATCTTTCTATTTCATTTGGCAAACCAATAACTAATTATTACATATGTGAAAAAATGAACACATTGCAATTCAATGATCCACTCTATGAAATACATTTTTCCCCAATCTGGGCAGATAGGAAATGGCCCTTCCATTTCTCTACCTCAGATACATCCAAAGTCCCATGGCCAGTGGTCACCCATCAAGTGGTCTCACTGCGTGGCCAGCCCACAACCCTGCATGCAGAAAGCAATTAATAACTGTCTTCTAGGAACATTCACGTTCATCACTTAAAAATGCTTCTATTCACAGCTCCCAATTTCCCATTGCACAGAGCAGAAGACTGAGGCTAGGAGCAGTCAGTGGCTCATCCAAGATCGTGTAGCTAACTGGAGAAACCACAGCCACCTGACTCCAAGTTCCGGGTACTCCTCACACCCTCACAGCTTTCCCTGGGAATTCTTTTGCAGTCTGCAAAGCCCTTTCCTGACAGCAACAGCAGCAGCCCCTACTTGTTGAATGTGTGCCACCTACCAGGTACTGTGCTAGGTGCATCACATAGAATAGTCTCAGTTTTAAAACTTTATGCTCTATGTAACTTTTTGTTGCAAAGGTAACATGTTACTTGGAACATATCAGAGAAAATGAGCTGTGCATAGAAAAGATAACTATCCTTCCTGCTCATCTTCCCAACCCCTTCCAGCACACACACAAAATCAACATTAAATGTGAGGTGCTTTCTTCCATACTTTCCCCTGCTCATGAAAAGAGGCAAAAGGAGGATTATTGCATTCTCTGTTTTTGTGTTTGTTTTGAGATGGAATCTCACTCTGTTGCCCAGGCTGGAGCGCAGTGGCACAACCTTGGCTCACTGCAACCTCCGCCTCCCAGGTTCAAGTGATTCTACTGCCTCAGCCTCCCGAGTAGCTGGGATTACAGGAGCGCACCACCGTGCCTGGCTAATTTTTTTATTTTAAGTAGCGATGGGGTTTTGCCATGTTGACCAGGCTGGTCTCAAACTCCTGACCTCAAATGATCCACCCGCCTTGGCACCCAAAGTGCTGGGATTACAGGCATGAACCACAGCGCCTGGCCTGTATTCTATGATTTTTAACAAAATAGCAGACCTAACTCCTCATGTAAATCCACTGCTGGCTTTCCTCACAAAATGTCACAAATATCATCTCAGATTAACGGAAAGAGAACTGATGCATCCTTCTTAATCAGCTGCATAATGTCACACAGTACGAACAGACCGTAATTTACCCATCAATTCTTCCACTGAGAGACATTCAGATGGTGCCCTGGTACTTTGCCAGCATAAGTAACACTGCAATAAACAATCTGATGGTGTATTATCAGGCCCTGATGTTTTCCCTTTCATAAAATAGAGTCTTCAAGATGCCAGTGTCAGGTCAAAATGTACACACATCTTAATTTTTAAATAGTCTATTATTTTAACCAAAAAAAAGTCCTCATAAAAAATATGAATAAAAGTATAAAAAGGGCTGGGCACAGTGGCTCACAGCTGTAATCCCAGCATTTTAGCAAATGGAGGCGAGTGGATTACGTGAGGTTAGAAGTTCAAGACCTGCCCAGCCAATATGGCAAAACCCCATATCTACTAAAAATACAAAATTAGCTGGGCATGGTGGCACAAGTCTGTACTCCCAGCTATTTGGGAGGCTAAGGCACAAGAATCCCTCAAACCCGTGAGGCGAGGATTGCAGTGAACCAAGATCACACCACTGCACTCCAGGCTGGGCAACAGAGTGAAACTCTATCTCAAACAAACAAACAAACGTGTAAAAAGAAGAAACACATATATAATTCCTCAATCTGGAGATGCTTATTAATAATAACAGCCATTTGCTAAATTTCCTTTCAGAATGAAATAATGCAGTAGAGTGAGTTGCACTTTTTTAACAGACTCAGATCAAATTCCAGTCAAACTTACGGCCATTCACATTTCCACCAGGAAGGTATATGAACACTTTTCTCTACATTTTCCCCACAGCTCTGTCATGGTTAAAGAATTTTGCCAATCTAACAGATGAAAATGGTATGCTTTCGTCATTCTCATTTATATTTCCTTGACTAAAATGGAGATTCAACACTTCTTGTGGGTTTCTTAGGAACATGCCAGACTTGGAAATACGTGCAAAACAGAAACATCATTTGATCACTTGCTCAACAATCATCTTACCGATTTTTGCTGCTCGAACATAAGTTTTTTATAGAAGAGATGGAACTGTTCAAAGCTGAGCTCATCTCTGTGTGCTCCTATTTCCTGTAAATATGAAAAAAGTGACCACATGATTTTTGATGTCCACCGTAAGAATGGCTCCATGCTATTTATAGAATAATTTTATTTCAGAAATTGCATGCAATTTTATTGGCATGCTGAAGAGAGAGCTATGACCACATTGTGTCATGGCTTTTGAAAGGAAAAAGTCATGCTATTTAACATGGCTTTTCTAAAACATTGGCTAAAATCAAACTCACATTCCTCTGAATCAAAACCCTCCACACGTTCCCTAATGCCCCTGGTCTAGGAAAACATACTCACAGGGACACCTACCAAGTAAGACCCTCCTTTGAGCCCCAAAACGGAAGAGTCTCAGCAAGGTTTGCAAGAGACGTGATGCGTAACTCCTCCATTTTTGGGCAGAAAACACTCTCTTTGGACTTCCACCTTCAGACATATTTGTAGAGTACGCACATATAGGGCATTTTGTAAAGCACTGAGAGTCAGACAAAGCTCAGCTCCAATTAATTGCTTTACGGCTTTGGGCAATTTCTTGACCTTTTCAAACCCTCAGTTTTCTTAATCTGTAAAATGGGAGAACCACCACTACGCTCCTAGGGCTTCCCTGAAAGTGAACAAGATACCTGCAAAACACCTGGTTCAGTAAATACTTGATAAAGAATTAAATGCTGATTGTGTAGCAATCAATGGTAAATGCTTCTCCCACCTCTCTCCTCTTCTGACCTACTCTTTTCTCTTTTTCTATTCTTGGATTAATGTTGTTTATTGGGGGCAAGTCAAAGGATGCCTGATAAGCAATAAAACAGGATAATTCTTCCAGGAGTTCATTAGCACAAAAATGAAATGAGCTTTTTCCACTGAGGAACGCTGTAATGGAGCCGATATTGACAATGGGCACTGGGGTCCTCCAACTGGGGCTATTGGGATGAAGCGTTGCTCATTTCCTAAGAAGAATAAGTACTACCCTGTAGGCAAAAATCAGTGACCATCATCTCCATCCTTGCCTCACCTCCTCTACTATATCCCATCACTTATGGAGTGGCTTTACTGCCCAGCCCCACCAACAACTTGATTACACAACAAAATTAATTAAATGATATATGGAAGGATGGATGGTTGGAGAAACAGAAGAATAAAGAGCCAACTCTGACAGCTACACTACCAGGATGTGCATACAACCTGCCACGGTCCTGGTACCCTACACAACGAATTTTTCGTAATATTTTCCAAAAGACATACATGCATTCATTTCACTAGGGAAAAAATGGGCTGCAGTATGGTCAGGGAAACAGGGAAAGCTGGACTAATGAAAAACAGGTCTGGGGGTAGATGTTCCAAGCCCAACAGCTCAGTAAACATGGTCTTTATTGATTACATCCTCTGCGAGGATGGAGACTATGGTCCTCAGATATGTCTATGATCCCTCTGTCTGAACTTAAGATGTACTCTGGAGGCAAAGGACTTTCTTGGGCACTATTCCACAGAACTCAAAGGCAAGTCACGGCTTCATGAGAGAGGTTAAGTCACTCTGCATTCATACAATTCCCAGGCTGAGCCATGAAACTTACCACAAACTTATCTTTAAGGAACTTGGCACTGCTCACTTTAAAGTTGATCAGGGGCAAGATGGTCTTCAGCTCTCGGAGACTGATGCTGCAAAAAACGGAGACCCAGCTCTGTCACCCTGAGGGTTTTCAACAGCACAGAATTTAGCAGCTCCCATCAGTTCCCACCTCAGGCAGCCCTCTATAAGAGCGCCTGGTCAACAGTTGTTTATGGAGCACTAACTGGGAACAAGACACTGGGTCAAGGTCAGGGTGACACTTCAATGAGCAAAGCTCAAGGGCACCCTTCAGGAATGTCCATAGATACGGGTCACACAGAAGCCTCACAGTGTAGGGTGATGCCCCAATGAGGAGGCACCTACACTGGAGATCCCCAGTACAGGGTGATGTCCCAATGAGGAGGGCTGGTCCCCACCCTTCGGGAATGGCCATGGAGGAAGGTCCTGCCGGAGACTCAGTGTGGGCAGAAAATGGTGTCAGATGACCAGATAATCTCAATACAAAACGCCACAGAAATCCCAAAGGCCCAATGTAGGTGTTGACATGATGTGATTTCTGCCCAAGACTCTGAATGTCAAAGTGAAGAAATTCAGTGAAGTTTGGGTAAACAGCAGGAGTAACTATGACATGCTTCACGTAGCCAAACACTTTGTCACCTAATTCGTGACACACATGAAGGGATGAACAAGACTCCCACTGACTCCACCTGCCACCCAGAGGAACCACAACCACAGAACGGGCTTGGCAGAATCAGCCGGGAAAGACCCAGCTGATCTTGACTCTAGTCTGGCACTGTGAAGAGACAAGAGGGATTTAGAGTAAGTGGGGACACCCTGCACCCCCAAAATTAAGTAAGTTAAAAAATAAAGGTTTCTTTTAATGCCACAGGGGTTCAGAGCAAGGCAAAGTCACTAAGGGCCAGAGAGGGGAACTGGGAAGGAACAAGGCCTACATGAGCACCTACTGTATGCCAGGCAGCTCTGGGGTCATCCAGGTGTTACAGTTGCCTAATTGCTCACCAGATTCTACCTTCTGCAAAGTACACGATTGACCCCCAGGGCTCAGAACAGCCAAGGGCGGGATGTCATGAGGGTACACAACTCAGGGCTTGGAGCTGGATGGCAGGCAGCAGAACCTGGAACTGAATCAAATTCCAGTGCTCGGTCACAGGAATCTGCATGAGTGTTTCTTTGAAGCCACATAGTGAGGTTCAGCTTAAGAGGGAAGAAAGGGCCGGGTGCAGTGGCTCACGCCTATAATCCCAGCACTTTGGGAGGCCAAGGTGGGCGGATCACGAGGTCAGGGGATCGAGACTATACCGACTAACACAGTGAAACCCTGTCTCTACTAAAAATACAAAAAAATATTAGCCAGGTGTGGTGGCGGGTGCCTGTAGTCCCAGCTACTCAGGAGGCTGAGGCAGGAGAATGGTGTGAATCTGGGAGGCGGAGCTTACAGTGAGCCGAGATCACGCCGCTGCACTCCAGCCTGGATGACAGAGCAAGACTCCATCTCAAAAAAAGCAAAAATGGAGGGAAGCAATGGAGAACATGTCCCAGGCAAAAGGAGCAGCAGCAGTAGTAAGAATGGTAACAAAAGCTGAAACTTCAAAAGTGCTAATCAGGTGTCAGGTATTATTCTAGGCGGTGCCCTATAGGCATATTCACCTGTTAGATGCTTGAACAACTTACAAGGGAGGTACCATGATCATCTCCATCTTCCAGGTGAGGAAACTGAGGAACCGATCAGTTTGGTGCACACCTGACTGCCTCCCAGCAAGTAGCTCACACAACAACGAGAGGTTAAATTAGTGGGGTGAGTGGGTCAAGAATATGAGATCCAGACCCTTCTGGATGGAGCCGAGTGTCCAGCAGAGCTAAGACAGGGTGGTCAAGAGAGGAAGCTTGCCCCAGCTTGTAGGAGAGAACAGCCCTGTTTCCCTGCACCATCCTCCCAGCTTCTGCTGTGGCATGCGGAAGGAAGTAGCATGTCACTGCCCAGCCGCTGCCCTGGAGAAGGTCCAGTGTGACTCTGGCCATCCTGTGTCCCCACCTCCAGCCTTTTCCTCTGGTTCTAACGGCCTAACAGCAGACTTCAGCTGACAAGATGCTCCCCACCCACGTACTCAAACCGTAGGGACACCACCCACGGTTTTCACAGACAGACCTCGAGGGCAGAAAAAGTCCCTGTTGGGCCAGCTGGGGCTGGCTGGGCAGAGCGGCCAGCAGGCTAGGGAATTTGCCCCAGGGGCTTGCAAGAACCTTTCTGCCTCGGCCCTGGGGGTGGTCCTAGGAACAGCTGGGCCAGGGCAGGATGAAGGTAGAGGAGCAGCAGGAACAGGCGCTGCCAGAGCAGCAGTGAGAGGGGTTGTGGGGAGAGGAGCCAGACCATGCTGGTGCCCCAGTGGAGCTCATCCTGGGAGCAAGGGGGAGGTCAGGGTCTCCCAGGAGCCCAGGCAGCAGCAGGGCAAAGGAACCATCCCATGTTCAGAAAGAGAGAGACTGAGGGGCCTGAGGGGCCAGAGCAGCTGCTCGAGAACCAGTGGAAAAAAACCAGGAACCAGGGACATGAGCATTCAAGCACCTGGGACATGGGAGCCTACCTGGTCCAAAGGCCTCCCCTTACAGTGTAAACACTGGAGGCTGAGAGCTTCTTTGGGCCCCCAGTGCCGGGACAGCCTTACCCGATTTCCCCCTAGGCGAGCCCCTGCCTCACTCCCACCTCTGGGTGTGTGTGTGTCCTGCTGCATGGCCCGACTGAAACTAGCACAGGCAGGCTGAGCCCCAGCGCTGCAGGGGAGGAAGCCAATGGCTCAGCTTCAGCCCTCTCTGCAACCTGTCATCCCCTAGAGAGAGTGCCTCGTCCAGGTCAAAGCCTCTTCCGAGGCAGCCAGCTCTGACCTGGTCCACGCATGGGAACGAAGACCTGGACCTCTAGTCTCAATTCAGGACAGCTCCACAAGCCATGCTCAGAGCTCCCCATCAGGTCTGCCCGGGCCATGACTGTGACTCCCCGGCTGCCTGTTCCAGCGGCCTTCCCTCCCCCATGCTTTCCACAACCCCCCATGCACTCCCCAGTAAGCCTCCTGCACACAAACCTACATCTCAGATCGTGTTTCCTGGGGGCTCAACCTAGAGCTGTAGTTTAGGAACCAAGGAAATCCCTTCGGGGAAGGACAGCAACTATTCCCTGAATGAGTCACCAACAGCCCCTCCCTCTCCCATAGCAGATAGCACTGAACAATCACAGTGTCCTCCCTGCTCAGCCCGGGAGGCTCCCACGGTTCTTCAACTCTGCACCCAGGCAGCCATCACCAAACAATTAAAGATGGCAGCCCCATGACACTTACCAGTCACGCTGAGGCTGGGCCGGCACCTCCACTGCCCCCAGCTCTTTTGCAGCAACAACGGCAATAAGAAACGTTCATTAAGTGCTTACCACGAGCCAGGCACGGTCCACGCACCCTTCACATATTAACTCCTGAACCCTCACATCTGCCCTGGGTGGGGGGGAACTATTATTTTTATCTTTTACACACGAGGAAAACGAGGCCCAGAGAAATTAAATCATTTACCCCAATTCACACAACCAGTTACTGTGAGATCTGAGATTCAAACCTCAGCGCTGTCTGACAACTTTCGACAATAATGGAGACATCTATGCTGTCTGAGGTACTAGCCGCCAGCCACACGGGGCTGCTGAGCCCCTGAAATGCAGCTAGTTCCACTGAGGAGCTAAGTATTCTTATTTGGTTTTGTTTTGTTGAAACGGCCACCTGTGGTGAGGGGCGCCCCGCCGGACTGTGCAGCCCCAGAGTTCTGCTTCTGTAAGTAGCTCCCAGACCAGCAGCATCTACATCACCTGGGGATTGGTTGAAATGCAAATTCGTGAGCCCTGCCCACCACCGACTCAATCAGCCACTGTGAGGTGGAGCCCAGCAGCCCCCACGTTCACAAGTCCTCCAGGGGATTCCGATGCATGCTGAAATTTGAAAATTGCTCTCTAGTCAGCCCTAATCTTCAACCCCAGCTTCACAGTAGAATCTTATTTTTAAAAAATTCCAATGCCAGAGGCCATGCCCAGGACAGTAAAATCTGAATCTCTTCTGGTGCGGCTCTGCTAAAGCTCCCCAGGCGACTCTATTATTCTGGAACCTCGAATAGGAAGCCTATTTGCATTCACGTTGAAGGAGATAAATGGACCTACCCACCTGCCTTCCACCTGCAACCCCGTTGCCCTTTGCCACCTCCTCCTCTGTCCCTGCCAGGGCTAAAGGACAAAGGGAAGTGCACATCCTGCTTATGCAAATCCAATGTTATAGGCACGGGGGCAAGGGCAGAGGAGGGAAAGGAAGTAAGTGTTGGTGAGGATATGAAGAAAATAGAAACCTGTGCATTGCCATGGGAAGGTGTAGCTGCAACAGAAAACAGTATAGCAGTTCCGCAAAAATAGACAGAATTACCATTTGATCCAGCAATTCAGCTTCTGGATATATACACAAAGGAATCTGAAGCAGAGACTCAAACAGATTTGTACACCCATGCTCATAGCAGCACTATTCACAATTGCCAAAAGGTGGAAGCAATTCATCCATCGATGGACAAGTAGATAAACAAAATGTGGTCTATCTGTACAATGGAACATTATTCAGCCTTAAAAAGGAAGAAGAGGCCGGGCGCGGTGGCTCAAGCCTGTAATCCCAGCACTTTGGGAGGCCGAGACGGGCAGATCACGAGGTCAGAAGATCAAGACCATCCTGGCTAACACGGTGAAACTCCGTCTCTACTAAAAAATACAAAAATAACTAGCCGGGCGAGGTGGCAGGCGCCTGTAGTCCCAGCTACTCGGGAGGCTGAGGGAGGAGAATGGCCTAAACCCGGGAGGCGGAGCTTACAGTGAGCTGAGATCCGGCCACTGCACTCCAGCCTGGGCGACAGAGCGAGACTCCGTCTCAGAAAAAAAAAAAAGAAAGAAGAAGAAGATTCAAACACATGCTACAACACAGATGAAACCTGGAGACATTACACTAAGTGAAATAAGCCAGATACAAAAGGACGAATATTGTATTAGTCCACTTATACGAGGTACCTGGAGCAATCCAGTCCACAGAGATAGAGTAGAGTGGTGGTTTCCAGGGGCCAAAGACAGAAGCAATGGCGAGTTACCACTTAACGGCTGCAGAGTCTCAGTTTGAGACGATGAAAAAGTTCTGGAGATGGACGGTGGTGACGGGAGCATGACAACATGATACACTTCATTCCACAGAACTACCTATCTAAGAACGGTTAAAATGATCAATGTGGTTCTATGATTTATTGTTGTTACCACACTAAAACAAATTTTAACATTTGTTTTTAGTTTTTTTAAATTATAAGGTGATTGGTCAGGGTGGGGAAGGAAAGAGTTCTCTATTTTCTCCAGCTCTCAACAGCACAATTCTTTTATGTTTTTGTTGTTTTTGTTTTGTTTTTCGGTTTTTTGTTTTTGTTTTTGCTTTTTTTAAAAATGGGATCTCACCCTGTTGCCCAGGCTGGAGCTCAGTGGCACAATCACGGCTCACTGAAGCCTGGACCTCCCTGGGATCAGATGATCCTCCCACCTCAGTCTCTCAAGTAGCAGGACTACAAATGTGCACCACTACACCGAGCTAACTTTTTTGTACTTTTTGTACAGATGGGGTTTCGCCATGTTGCCCAGACTGGTCTCCAACTCCTGAGCTCAAGTGGTCCACCTGCCTTGGCCTCCCAAAGTGCTAGGATTACAGGTGTCAGTCATCATGCTCAGCCAATAGCACACTTAAAAAAAAAAGAAAGAAAGAAAAGCGGCCGGGCACGGTGGCTCATGCCTGTAATCCCAGCACTTTGGGAGGCCAAGGTGGGCGGATCACGAGGTCAGGAGATTGAGACTATCCTGGCTAACATGACAAAACCTCGTCTCTACTAAAAATACAAATAATTAGCCGGGCATGGTGGCAGATGCCTGTAGTCCCAGGTACTCAGGAGGCTGAGGCAGGAGAATGGCGTGAACCTGGGAGGCGGAGCTTGCAGTGAGCTGAGATGGCGCCACTGCACTCCAGCCTGGGCAGCTGAGCGAGACTCGGTCTCAAAAAAAAAAAAAAAAAAAAAGGGAAAGCAACACCAGTGGGGATAGTAAGTCTGCAAACCCCGGTGCCACCCCTGACAACCTGGGCTACTTTAGTCAAGTCACTTAACTTCTCTGGGCCTCAGTGTCCTCACATAGAAAATGGGTCTGAGAGCACCTAGCTCACCCATCAGCCAAGAGGGTATCCTAAGGATGTAAAGTGCTTATTACAGCCATAACTGCAAAGCAGGCTATAAACAAATGCCCGCTGCTACCATTTGCCTCTAGAAAAGTCTAAAAATGAAACAGGGTGCTTGGGCCAAGCAAAACACCTAAGACTTGTCCATTGCCCAGGCCGGGCCAACCCTGAGCCTGCCCCCTCTCGCCTTCAGCCTTTCCTCTGCATCTGTGGCTCCTTTGTTTTCTTTCAGGAAGCATGATTAGTCTCGTGGGTGACAGGAAAGGGAGGGAAATTGGCAGAACAGAAGTTGGTTGCTCTTTCATTGGCACCTTGGTCAAAGTTTCTTTTGCAAAGCTCCCTCCAGGCTTCTCAGAACCACGGGTAAGGTGGGATTTTCCACATGTTGACAGAGAGCAGGGCTCCGACCACTAGGAGGGAGGTGAAGGAGAGGAAACCAGTGAGCACGCAGGGATGAACTCAGTCCAGAAACAGAAAAGGTTGTCTCTGCAGAGGGTCCTGGACCAGCCGATGGGAAGATGGATCTTTATGCAGGACTTGCCAGAATCCCTCCTGAGCAAGAGGGAGGTATCCATTTCTTGACTTCACAGATGAAGAGCAGACTTCAGAGCCAGACTGGCCACCCCATACCAGTACCGCGTGGAGAGAGGCACTGAAGGTGGCTCCCTCCCTCAGCCCTGTGCCAGTCTCAGCTATGATTCACCATAAGCCACGGAGAAAGAAAATGCAGAGAAGGCATCACCTCCGAGGCTGAAAGAGACCAGTGTCTACCAAATATTCCAACACAAGGACCTCATTTAATCCACCTCAGTAACATTACAGGGTGGCCCAGCATGGGGGAGCAGGCAGGGCATGTTGGATGAGAAGAAGAGGAGGGAGAAAGGCAGGTGGACATGGAGTGAGCTAATGGCTGACCGAACTTTACTAGATTTTTAACCACTTCCTGCTTAAGAGTTCCAAATCCTCCCACTGGGCATAAGAAGAGACCAGGGAAGCTCACCCAAACCCTGAAGCCAACAAGTAACAGAAGACATTGACCAGACATGAAGTCACCCTTCAAGATGGAAAGATTTTCAGGAACAAAACAGGAGGGCTAATAGAGTTTAGTTATTGGATATTAACTAGGATAATGACATATCTAGATAGGATAATGACATATCCACATAGGATAATGACATAAATAAACCAAGAATGAACTAAAGGAATATTTTACCAAAAAAAATAAGGTGTCTCATGTGAGGCTAACATGAGATAAAGACTGAAGTGCTCAATGCAATTCCTGGAATGACAAATACACAGATGTTAAGTAAATCATAGGGGTTTTTTTGTTTTGGTTTTGGGTTTTTTTTTTGTTTTGTTTTTTTGTTTTTTTGGTTTTTTTTGCTTTGTTGTTGTTGTATTTTGTTTGTTTGTTTCTTTGGTTTGGTTTTTGAGACGGAATCTTGCTCTGTCACCCAGGCTGGAGTACAGTGGCACGATCTCAGCTCACTGCAACCTCCACCTCCCGGGTTCAAGCGATTCTCCTGCCTCAGCCTCCTGAGTAGTTTGGATTACAGGTGCACGCCGCCACGCCTGGCTAATTTTTTGTATTTTAGAAGAGACAGGGTTTTACCATGTTGCCCAGGCCGGTCTCAAACTCCTGAGCTCAGGCAATCTGCCTGCCTCTGCCTCCCAAAGTGCTGGGAATATAGGCGTACTCCACCACGCCCAGCCAAATGGTAGTTTTTATCACTACATTATTAAGAGCTGAATCATACCTCAGAAAAAAATAATGAATTAAAAATGCTCAACCTCACCCATAAAGAAAGCAAGTTTAAGCAAAAACACTTGGTTGCCTCGGTTGCAGATGAACAAAGATCAAAGTCTAATGGCACAATAAATCATGAGCAAATGGACGCCTTCTTGCCCCACTGGTAGAAATATTATATAAATTGCTACTTCTAGCTATCAAACGATTAGACCAGCAAACACTGTGCTGCTGATATTCATTTCTGGAAGAATTGCTACTTCCCCTAGCTATCAAGCGATTAGACCAGCAAACGCTGTGCTTGCTGATATTCATTCTGAGAATTTATCTCTCACAGCCACCTCAGATGAGTTTACAGAAGATAGACCCAAAGGTTTCACTAGCAGCATTATTCACAATAATCAAAGTTAGGAGCAACTCTCTGTGCATCAAGAAAGAAATGATTTCTAGAGGAAATGACAATGCATTAATCTAAGAAAAACCAAAATGGCGTTTACTTTTTAAAAAAATGAAATTGCTACTTCTAGCTATCAAACGATTAGACCAGCAAACACTGTGCTGCTGATATTCATTTCTGAGAATTTATCCTACTCACAGCCACCTCAGATGAGTTTACAGAAAGATAGACCCAAAGGTTTCCATAGCAGCATTATTCACAATAATAATCAAGGATTGGGAGCAGCTCTCTGTGCATCAAGAAGGAAATGATTTCTGAAATGACAATGCATTAATCTAAAGAAAAACCAAAATGGCGTTTACTTTTTTAAAAAAATGTCTGGGTAAGACCTCACCTCTGCAAAAAAAATAATAATAATACATAAGCCAGGCATGGTGACACACACCTGTAGTTCCCAGCTACTCAGGAGGCTGAGGCAGGAGGATCGTTTGAGCCCAGGAGTTTATGGCTGCAGTGAGCTATGATTGTGCCACTGCACTCCAGTCTGGGGAACAGAGAGAGACCCTGCCTCTAAATAATAATAATAATAGTCTGGCATAGAGCTTTGTGCAGGACTGATAGGGAGCTTCTCCAAGAGGTACTTTTAAGTGAAAAAGTCAAGTAAACTGAATACACATTATCACATCACCCAACATATCTCTACCAGCCCTTAGAACCACCTGGTGCCTGGGCGCAGTGGCTCACGCCTGCAATCCCAGCACTATGGGAGGCCAAGGTGGGTGGATCACAAGGTCAGGAGTTCGAGACCATCCTGCCAAACATGGTGAAACCCTGTCTTTACTAAAAATACAAAAAAATTAGCCAGGTGTGGTGGCGGGCGCCTGTAGTCCCAGCTACTCAGGAGGCTGAGGCAGGAGAATGGCGTGAACCCAGGAGGCGGAGCTTGCAGTGAGCTGAGATGGCTCCACTGCACTCCAGCCTGGGCGACAGAGCAAGACTCCGTCTCAAAAAAATAAATAGATAAAATAAAGAACCACCTGGTTTACTTCTTCACAGTCAGTCTCTCTCCTGTCACAAAGTATGGGCTGGTGCCATCAGGACTGTGTTTACTGCTGTATTCCCAGGATATTAAAGGTGCTCAAATATTTGTGATGAGGTCCGAATGCCCCATGGCAGAGATCATCTCTGAGACTGGACGCGAATTTTCTGCTGGAATAGAGGCTCCCTCCAGGAGGATGATTTTGTCATCATCAACCCCAGGACCCAACATGGCATCTGCAGATTACATTGGACGCAGTGAGGACCTTGCCCACCACAACTCATGCTTCCACCCTCTTGGAAGGTTTAAAGAAAGAATGAAGATGGAAATCTAAAGTGATCAGAAGAAAACTGAATGACTCTTACCTGTTTCTTCTAGTTTGATCCACAGAATATATCTGCTTTCTCAGCCAACTGGAAAGAAATTTGAGACAAAAGAAAGAGACACAGAGAAAATTAAAAAATAGCATAAGTCTAAGTAGGTCCTACAGGATATGCACAAAAGGAACTGGAACCAAAAGGAGGGGTTTTCCAACTTTCTAACAAGGGCAGCTTGGGAAGAAGTTTTCTCCTAGTATCTAAGCCAAGATTTCAACTCAAAAAGGCCAGGTTTCCTTACACTGACAACTCCTTCTAATGATAGTCATTAATCCCCAAAAACCTAGAAAGAAAAATAGTACAAAGTAGAGGAATTTGATTTAGTGGAAGGAAAATAACTCACACCCCGATGCCCATCCAGACTCCCATGACACTGAAGAGACAGTCTTGAGGTCTTCATCAACCCAGGAGGGAGTGATAGGTGGAAAATTCCAGACCTTGTATCTATCCTTTGATCAGTCCACTTAATCTCTTATTAAATCCTTTAAGAAGGAAGCCCTGTTTTTCCCAACACATACCCCAGGAATGTTTCTATCTCCAGTCCAATGCACCACTCACCCCAATAGGCCAAGGCTGACAACTAACACAGGGAAATGCTCTTATTTGAAACATTGTAACGCTCACACTGCTACTAGGCACTCATTGCATACCAGACACTCAATGAGCCTCAAAAAACCAATGTCCCTTTTTTTTTTTTTCCTGTAGCCCATGTTGGCAAAGGCAGCAGAATAAAGGAATCAGTGGCTATGTAAATAAATAGGCAAAAGCCAGCTACCTCTCGATAATGGTGGGTGTGGACGCATTCATCGCTTCTTGGTGTAAGATTTTCAAGCCGGAGAGCCAATTAAGTGCATCCTCTTTAGAGTCAGCTGGAGTGGAGAAAGGGAACAGAAATGCTGTGTTAATTCCTGGGAAGACGTCTGCTGACAAAGCCCGGCCCCATACAGATCACGAAGATGGGGGAAGCCTATGCTGGTGTCCAGTTTTGCAGGAGGCAAAGAAAGCATCTCTTTCACACTCTCATGGCTCTAGGACCTGCTTTTTGTCTGAGATGGGGCCACATATTCATGATGAGCTTTGTACCACAGGGGTGACAAGTGGGTTATTTCCTGTGCCAAATGGAATCAGCACATATATATAGATATACGTGCTAGACACTGTTCTAAGTGTTTTTCCTATATTGATCCCACAAGGGAAGTACTATTATATTCCCATTTAACACATGGAGAAACCACTGAACCTAAGACAGGCTGAGTGATGTGTCCAAGGCCACACAGCTCCTAGTATAGCAGGATGGGCCACAGACAAAACTCCTCGGACACTGGATTAAAGAAGGAAAAGGTTTTTTATTCGGCCGGGAGCGTCGGCAGACTCGCGTCTTAAGAGCCGAGCTCCCAGCTGATCCTAAAATGATCCTAAAAATGAGGAGGAATTTTGAAAAGCGACGAATTGAGGCTCGGCAAGAGAAACAAAGGCGCTGAAGAGAAAAAAACAGTGAGAAATACGGAGATGGATACAGAATGGCATTTACATGTTCATTTTGTAAATTTCGAACATTCGAAGAAAAAGATATTGAACTGCATCTGGCCAGTTCTTCACATCAGGAAGCATTAGATCATATACAGAAACAAACTAAATTTGATAAAGTAATTAGGGAGTTTTTGCATGAGTGTATGGTGAATAAATTCAAGAAAACGTCTATTCGTAAGCAACAGATAAATAATCAAACAGAAGTAGTTAAAATAATTGAAAAAGATGTTATGGAAGGTGTTACTGCAGATGATCACCTGATGAAAGTAGAGACAGTTCACTGCAGCGCTTGCAGTGTGTATATCCCTGCTTTACATAGTTCAGTTCAGCAGCACTTAAAGTCTCCTGATCATATCAAAGGGAAGCAGGCTTATAAGGAACAAATAAAAAGAGAGAGTGTCTTGACTGCTACAAGCATTTTAAATAATCCAATAGTGAAGGCGTGATATGAACGTTTTGTTAAGGGTGAGAATCCTTTTGAAATTCAAGACCATTCTCAGGATCAGCAAATAGAAGGAGATGAGGAGGATGAAGAGAAGATTGATGAACCTATTGAAGAAGAGGAGGATGAAGAGAAGGAAGAAGAAGCAGAGGAAGTAGGGGAAGTAGAGGAGGCGGAGGAAGTAGAGGAAGTAGAGGAAGAAACAGCAAAGGAAGAACCTGCTGATTTCCCTGTTGAGTAACCTAAAGAAAATTACATATAAGGTATTAGATTTAAAAGGAGCTCGGCTCTTAAGACGCGAGTCTGCTGACGCTCCTGGCTGAATAAAAAACCTCTTCCTTCTTTAATCCGGTGTCTGAGGAGTTTTGTCTGTGGCTCGTCCTGCTACACTAGCAGCCATTACAGACTGAATATTTGTATTCCTTCAGAATTCATATGTTGAATCACTAACCCCTGAGGTAGGGCCTTTGTGAGGTATTTAGGTTTAGATGAAGTAATGAGGGTGGGGCCTCCATGAGGGGATTAGTGCCCTTTTAGAGACAAGAAAGAGAGACCAGAGCTCCCTTCCTATCCAAGCACACCCTGAGGAAAAGCCATGTGAACACATAGTAAGAAGGCAGCTGTCTGCAAGTCAAGAAGAGAGCCCTCACCAGAACTCAACCATGCAACATCTTGATCTTGGACTTCCCAGCCCCCAGAACTGTGAGAAAATAAATGCCTGTTGTTTAAGCCCCTCAGTCTACAGCATTTTGTTATAGTAGCCAGACTATGCTGAGACGATGGAAGACATAGGATTTTAAACAAGAACCCATTATCTTACCCTGGCAGCACACTGACTCCAGGAATGAAAAAGCAAAGGAATTCAAACCCAGGTGTCCAACTCCAGAGCAGAGTTTCTCAACCCCAGCTGCTCAGGAGAATCACTTGAGGGTTTTTCAAAACCCCAATACTTAGGTCCCACCCTAAAGTAATTAAACCAGAAGAGAGGGATGAGGGAGACATCAACAGATGGAAGCACCCACATGGTGCCAAAGTGTGTCAAAGGTTATCAGCTTCCTCTGCTGCTATAACAAATGACCACAAACTTAGTGGCTTAAAGTAATACAGATTTATTTTCAAACCGTTAGAGAGGCCAAAATTCTAAAATAGACTGGTTGCATACAATCCTTCTGGATTCCTTCTAAAAGCTCTTGGGAAGAATCCATTTCCTCACCTTTCCCAGCTTCCAGAGGATGCCTGCATTCCTTAGCTCATGGCCTCTCATCTTCTGACCTTTGTTTCCACCCTCACATCTCCTTCTCTGGGAATGACCTTCCCATGTATCTCTTGTAAGAAGCCTTGTGATTCCACTGGACACCCGGATAGTCCAGGATATTTCCCATCTCAAAATCCTCAATTTAACTACACCCGCAAAGTCTCCTTTTCCATAGAGGATAATATATTCACAGGTTCCCGGGATTAGGACATGGACATCGTGGGAGGGCAGTATTCAGCTTCCCATGGCTTAGGAATTTAGCTTTTTGTTTTATTAAAGAGTGTTAGCTTTTAACCCTATGCTAACTAATAAGATGCGGGATCTGGAATAATCTGCACCACAACCCTAAGCAGCTGTCAGTATTTCCCTGCTTCTAATGAAGATGGCACAGAGGGATGGCAAGTAGAGCTTGCTAACAGCCAGGAGAGTATGGCTTGCTAATGCCCATGGTTGCTATTACCCTTGCTAATAAGCAGCATTGAGGAGTGGTTAAGAGCTTGGCATCTGGCAAAAGGAAGATCATAGCTTAAGTCCCATTGCACCACTTCAGGGCTGTGTGACATTCAGCGGGTTACTTAACCCCACTCTGTGCCTCACCTCACCTGGAAAATGAAGCTGACAGTGCAAACACCTCATGGAACTACGAAGCTCTCCTTAAGCACCAGGTACTTTGCCAGTGCGTATACCCCGGGCGGAGATTGCTGCTCTCATCTTTCCACACAATGCAGAGGAAACTGAGGCTCTGAAGGGCTGAGTTTGTCTCAGAGCAGTAAGTGAGAGGGTGGAATGGGAATCAAAATCTTGACCATCACTGTGCTAACCTTGAATTTAGGGTTCCAGAAGAGGCTCCCAGAGTGGGATATATATCAAAGTTCACATTCTAGCCCCCAAGGGCTGGGCTCTCGTGGTCTCCTCACCAAGTTAAGAACAGGGGGTAAGGGCTCAGCCTGTAGGTGGGGCTAAGGAGACAGAGGTGTGAAGCTTCATGGCCACGGGCCTTGCCCTCCTGCCCCACCTCTACCAACCCCCTCCATATCATCAATCAGATATTTGCTCCTCATTTCCTACATCTAACGTGCTATTTCCCTCCACCAAGCCCTGGCACACACCACAGCTTTTCCCTGGAGCGCCCTCCCTCTTTCCTCCAAACTCCTACTGAAGCCTCAAAACCCAATGTAAAAGTCACCTTCTTTGCCCAACTTCTCTGAAACTAAGCATTCATAGCACACTGCATCATGCTTGCACTAGGCCTTATCCTAGTGCACCCATCTGTCTCCCCAAGTAGACTGAGAGCATCTTAAAGGCAGCACCAGGTGCCATTCATCTTCCTAGATCACTGGTGTGTACACAACCTAACACAGAGTATAGGCTCAAAAGATGTGTAGTAAAAGAATGAATGAGAAATTCATAAGTTATTTGACCCTAAAGTAAATGTCCCTATATTGCTCAACTTTCAGAGCTGCCTCCACTTTGGTCTATTTTAATCGTATTGATTTTCTCTCTGAGTCATGAATGTATACATACTTCTAAGTCAATGAATTCTAGGACTGAACTTGAAAGTAACTACAAGCTTCTTCCCCTGAGTAAAATGAGGCAACTGCATGTGCGTGTGCAATAGAAGATCTAAGGACAGTTCCTTCACATCAGTCAGATTTGCTGAGCAACATCTGCTGGAGGAAAACAGGTTACATTTTTCTTTTCTTTTTTTTTTTTTTTTTTGAGACAAGAGTCTTGCTCTATTGCCCAGACCGGAGTGCAGTGGTGCAATCTTGGCTCACTGGTTCAAGCAACTCTTGTGTCTCAGTCTCCCAAATAGCTGGGACTACATGTGCACACCACCACACCCAGCTAGTTCTTGTATTTTTAGTAGAGACGGGGTTTCACCACGTTGGCCATGCTGGTGTGAAACTCCCGACCTCGAGTGATCTGCCCACCTCGGCCTCCCCAAGTGCTGGGACCACAGGGATGAGCCCAGTCTACATTTTTCATCCAACAGAGCCTGGCCTTCAGTGTTAAGACTATCTAATCATCATTCATTCAGCTCTCAGCATGAGCCAGAGAGACACTTATACTCCTCACAATACCCCCATGGGATAGGCATTACTATTCTCCCCATTTCACAGCTGAGCACACTGCAGCTCAGAGAGGTTAAGTCACTCATCTAAAGACACACAGCTAGAAAGGGGCAGGGCTGGGATTCGAAACCATGACCCCAAATACACATCAGCCAGCAGGCAGGGGTGAGCATTCTGCTATTAGTGAACTTCTTCAGGAAGAGACTAAGGCACGGGGAAGGAGAAAGGCACAGAAACATGCACCTACCTGCCAAGCTGAGTGTGTTGAGGACGAACTGAGTGCCATACAGGATGGTGAAGCAGCAATCTTCTTTCTGGCGAACCGCTTTTGCACGTTCGAAATCTTTGGAGTTCTTCCCTGGGCGGATTTCTTTTATTTCCATGATATCCACTACAATGAAATTAACATGAGCCAATTAGAAGCTGGAGTTCACTCCACCTGAGGATGCAGTCACACACCTGCAGCCCAGGCACAGGCTGGCTCCTTCCTTCCCCAACAGGATCCCGCAAAGCTATCTGTGCATCTGGATTCAGTGTCCCCTCCTTCTGGAAATGAACAAAGGGCCAAGAGCCTACCCGGGCATTTGCTGCCTCCCCACAAACCCCTGGAGTATGAAGAGTTTGGGGTTTCCGCTCACCCTGTTTCTCAGACAGACACGTTTTAAACTAGGACAATTAATTTTTGTAATGCAACTCAGATTTGAGGAAACAGGCACAGACTATTCTACCAAAACAAACAATGGACCAAACTGATGCTCACTAGAGATCACTCTAGCCAGCCTAAAAGTTCCAACCGTCCGGTTGACCTTGACCTTGACCATCTTTTCCCTTCACTCCCAGAAGCTACAAATGCTCTGTGGCTCAACTGAAAGGGGAAAAGAAAATGAAGGCACTGAATAACTGCTTCAAATTAAAAATAATAATAAGAGGCCAACCTCAGCATTGGGGATGGTCACAGTGGTTCTGGATATCACAGGTCCTACGGGAAGAGAGTGGTAAACTATTACTCTGGTAACAGTCTAGAGTAATGGACTGTTACTAATGGGCCACAGCCTCCGGTATTTATGCCTTATATAGCCAGCTGCCCTTCAATCCAGGTTGTCTCTGTGACCTGTTTTAACCAATAAAATGTAGTATAAATCAGGGACCCCCACCCCCACGCCATGGACTGGTACCACAAAGTGAGCACTGAGCTCCGCCTCCTGTCAGATCAGCAGCGGCATCAGATTCTCATAGCAGCGCAAACCCTATGGTGAACTGCATTAGGTTCTCATAGCAGCGCAAACCCTATGGTGAACTGCATTAGATTCTCACAGGGGCACAAACCCTATGGTGAACTGCATTAGATTCTCACAGGGGCACAAACCCTATGGTGAACTGCACATGCAAAGGATCCAGGTTGTGTGGTCCTTATTGGAATCTAATGCCTGATGATCTGAAGCAGAACAGTTTTATCCTGAAGCAATCCCCCCAATGCCCCCACCATCTATGGAAAAACTGTCTTCTAGGAAACTGGTCACTGGTACCAAAAAGGTTGGGAGCACGGGCACGCTGGCATAAATGATGCTGTGCCAGTTCAGGGCCTAACCCTCTTTTTTTTTTTTTTTTTTTTTTTTTCTGGGCTGGGGTCTCACTCTGTCACCCAGGCTGCAGTGCAGTGGTGTGATCTCACCTCACTGCAACCTCTGCCTCCCAGGTTCAAGCAATTCTCCTGCCTCAGCCTCCGGAGTAGCTGGGACTACAGGCATGCGCCACCATGCCGGGCTTAATTTTTGTATTTTTAGTAGAGATGGGGTTTCATCATATTGGCCAGGCTGGTCTTGAATTTCTAACCTCAAGTGATCTGCCCACCTCAGCCTCCCAAAGTGCTAGGATTACAGGAGTGAGCCAGCAGGCCCAGCCTGGAGCCTAATCCTTAAGAAGGCCTGGTACCTTCCATTTTGAGCTCTGGGGGAAGCCAGCCTCTGTGTAAGAAGTCAGACTACCTGGAGACCACCATGCAGTAAGAAACCCAAGTTAGCCCTATGGAGAGGCCATGGAAGAAGAACCAATGCCCTCAGCCAACAGCCCAGCTGAGCCCCCAGCCAACAGCCACAGAGCACTGCACCATCTTAGAAGTGGATCCTCTGGGCCGGACGCGGTGGCTCACGCCTGTAATCCCAGCACTTTGGGAGGCCAAGACGGGTGGATCACGAGGTCAGGAGATCTAGACCATCCTGGCTAACACGGTGAAACCCCGTCTCTACTAAAAATATGAAAAAAAAAAAAATTAGCCGAGCATAATGACGGGGAACCTGTAGTCCCAGCTACTCAGGAGCCTGAGGCAGGAGAATGGCGTGAACCTAGGAAGCGGAGCTTGCAGTGAGCTGAGATCGCACCACTGCACTCCAGCCTGGGCGACTGAGCGAGACTCCATCTCAAAAACAAAAAGAAAAAGTGGATCCTCTGGCCCCAGTGAGCTGCCCCAGCTGACAATATGTGGAACAGAGACAAGCTCTCCCAGTCCCCACCCATGCCCAGATTATAGAAATATGTGCCATAAATAAAATGATTGTTGTCTTAAGCCACTAAACACTGGGATAGTTTGTTGTATAGCAATAGGTAACAGAAACAAATAAGAAATTCTTCCTCTCTGCAAACTCTGCTGCCATGTGACTCCACCTACTCCTGGTCAATGGGCCAGGACGGCAACCTGACTGACTCAAAGGTGACTCCCCCTTCTCCCTACAAGATGACCAGTGAACTCTGGACTGGCACAGAGACACGAGCTCAATAAGCTCAACCAGTCCCTTCTTTCCCCTTCTTCTGAAAAACAACAACAACAAAAATCTTTTCATGGGATGAACCCATTCCATGTGCTGTATTTAGAGCTGATTCACTCCTCACCACCTTCAACCATAAGCTTAATGGGACAGCAGGGGCCTGGGAATGACCCAAGCGCCCTGGCTCAGTGACTGGTTCGGGGACAGACACACGGCCCAGCTGCACCATCAGCATCCTCCTGGGATTCATGTGGCCAGAACTACCAGTAAAACCTCCCCTCCACTGCTGCTCCCAGGCTGGTAAAACATGAGCCTGCAAGTGGCAGGGATCACCTTGTCTACCATGGAACAAAGTGTTATCAAACGCTGGTGTACCTTTGAACTCCAGCACTCCTGGAGATGAGAGTGAGAAAGGAGATCTCAGCTTTGCAGCAAGAAGAGGTGGCTCTGGCCTGGAATTAAGGAAGAGGACAGAACGAAGTCCACAGAGGTGAGCAAAGGCATCTTAGAGTCATAGTGAAACAGCAGGAAAGATTGGTGGCCATTTACAGGCAACAATGGGAGCTGGGGGAGAAGAGCAGACAATTAAGTTAGAGGAGAGGGGATGGGATGCACTCAAAGCTTTCTGAGTTCTTACCATGGGTCTAGCTCAGTTAGAAACAGCTCAGTGGGCAAGAGCCACGTGAAAACAAGCCGGGCCCGGTGGCCCACGCCTGTAATCCCAGCACTTTGGGAGGCCGAGGCGGGCAGGTCACTTGAGGTCAGGAATTCGACACCAGCCTTGCCAACATGGTGAAACTCTGTCTCTACTAAGAATACAAAAATTAGCTGGGCTTGGTAGCACATGCCAGTTGTCCCAGCTACTTGGGAGGATGAGGCAGAAGAATCTCTTAAACTCAGGAGACGGAAGTTGCAGTGAGCTGAAATCACCCCACTGCACTCCAGCCTGGGTGACAGGGTGAGACTTCGTCTCAACAACAACAAGGCCATGTGAAAAGACTAAAACAACAGCATGTCATCTGCATTCTGTGCATGTATGGTGGTAGATATACCCACCTACACATGTGACAAGATTTCACAGAACTACACATCAAAACAAACGCAAAATAACAAGAAAACTGAGTGTACCTAAAAAATGGTGAAAACCAATTAAGATCTGCAGTTTCATTAATAGCACTGTACCAGCGTCCACGTCCAGGTTTTGATAACTATGCTTATGGAAGATGTTATCACTGGAGCAGCTAAATGAAAGGTTCACAGAAACTGTACTATTTTTGCCACGTCCACATGAGTCTACAATTATTTCAAAATAAAAAGTTGCTAAAATCACTTCTCAATTATGGGTGGATCTATTATTAGGGGGGTGGTATCTCTAAACCTTGTTGGGTAGAGTATTTGGGATGAAGGTGAGAGAGAGTAGATATAGGACTCATCCCCCGTCACACTCCACTGAGAACCTCTACTACAAGCTGGCTGGGGGGACCATAACTAGTGGGGACCCCATCTAGACCTTGCACTATAAATCTTGTTCAATGGGCCATGCCCACTGATTGCAGACATTGAGGAAACTAAAACAAGCGGCTCCCATCTTAAATATTACTCAAGGGAGTTAACCCTATTGCCCGCATGCGCATGAGACCTGAAGAATGACCAGTCCTCCACCTTAGCTGCATTCTAATACTAAAAATCATGCCCAGGGTGGGGATTTAACACACTAATGAGATATGCAAACTTGAAGAGGCTCTCTATCCTGTTATACTGTGCAGGTGTCAGAAGTTCCCCAACTCTATGTGCTTCAATATCACTCCCTGCCCACTTGAACCCCTTTAAAATTACTCTCCTGACTGTCTTCCAGGAGCCAGGCAGAGAATTATCTCTCTCTTGTGCTGCTTCTCTTATGCCTGGGCATAAGCTCCAATAAAGTCTTGTCTGGGAAAACTCTTTTGGCCTCATGTCAGTTTCTATCACACTGAGAGCCCAAGAACACATGATCAGTAAAAGATGGACATGTCACCACTCTTCACCCAAACCAGAAATCGGAGTCTTCCTTATCTCTTCTCTTTATCTTCACTCCTCAAAAACAAACAAACAAAAAGATTCTTTTCATGCATTGAAATTTATTTTTTTATTTGTTTCATTTATTTGGGGGAAGCTTGAGTACTTAAAGTATACAATTCACGGTGTTGCACCCCAAATTACTTAATGTATCTCAGAAAAACGAGTACATTTTCTTATAGAATCATAAAACCTTTATTGCATCTAACAAAACTAATGAAAATTACTTAACATAACCTAACACCTCGTCTGTATTTAAATTTCCCCAGTTTTCTCCAAATCTTTTTACAGTAGACTTGAATACAAATAAAATGCATACATCTTATCTGGTTATGTCATTACATCTTCAATCCTAAGGAGTCTCCTTGTTTACTTTTGTTTTCTCTTGTGCCTTTGACTTTTTAAAGAAACTAGGCACTGGAATTCATTTTTAGAGGAAATCAACATGGCTGATTTAACTGCTTTAGCAATTATCTAAAAACTTGAAAGGTATTAAGGGTGCTTTCCAAAAGTTATTCACCCACCCAGTTGACTGCCAGGGAAAATGTAGTGACTTTAAGCAAACATTCTTTTC